GTCAAACGAGCCGACGGTTCACCTGATGTTAAGTGAATACCGCCGCCCATGGACATCTGCCACACCCGAGGGTTACAGATGCATTGACAACCTTTTGAAAGTTTTAGCTCCGGCTACCTCACTCACCAAACGAAACGCGAAAGTATTTGTCATACTTCCTCTTTACGCTGGTCTTCTGAGTGGTCGTGGTACTTACCCGGACGGGCCTGCCCATTCGTGCAACAGCCGGGGCTGCTGCGTGGCCCTGCCACCGTAAATGATATCTTTTTTTTTCTCGAAATATTCGAGAATATGCAGGTTTCCTTCTCCGCTGAGGACGTGATAATACAGCACTTGAAATGAACAATTTCATTGGTGCTGGCACCGGGATTTAAGCAAGTTGTTCGAGTATATTGAATTGAAAGAGAGCGCCCGGACGATGAGCTATCACAGCTTGCTGTTCTAACACATTAAAGTAATTCATATATCATTTCTCATGTGAAATGGTGAAGGCTTTGTTTAAATTTGACAGCTTTTTATGTCTGGCACTATTGCCTCTATTTCTTACTAATACTCCTTTTGGCTAGTGTTTGATTTTAAGGCGTTGTTAGATTTATTTATTTTCTTTATATTAAATAGCTGAACCCGCTCGCTGTGGCTTTTTATTCGATAACATTTGATGCGAATTATCGTTCATATATTCAGTATGTGTGTCATATATGTACTATATATTATTTATATTCTATGTAATACATACCCAGTATGAGAGATGGACATGTGCGGTAATCTAGGGGCTCTGTGTATCGAGCGCTGTAGTCCTGCTAATTAGGACAGTTAAAGCGCCATTAATTAATCGATAGAGCCCCGTTAATTATCTGAAATTACCGCAGCGTTACACCCCCACCAGGCTCGAGGGGGTCCAAAGGCGTCGATGTGCCGCCCCTGCCCCTAACAATTGGTGGCCTGTTGTTTTTATTAAAAGGGCGACTTGCACTTTTAATATTGGCGTAATGAGAAAGAAAATCTTGAATAAGAAACCATTAAATATCCATTTATAATAACATAAAGTCGGTCGAGCTTTCGTTATATTTTTAACGGACATTACTCAAACTGCAAGACACTCTATCCGGTGTAGCTAGACATTTCACTTACATAAACATACCCCATGCCCATTTTACTGTGGCTGGGCCACGCAGCAGCTTCTGCTGTTCTACGAATGGGCAGACCAGTCCGGGGGAAGTACCGCGGTATCAATGACGACCGGCGTGAAGTAAAAGTAATATCGCGTTTCGTTTCATGAAACAAGTTAATCGCCTCCGCGCTTGACAACTATCCGCATATATTCTGCTCTTCCGATAAAATGTGAGATTGTAAATGGCTATAATACACAAGAAGGAATGAGTTTATATATATATATATTCCAGGCAAGTGAGTGATATTGCGATGGGTTAGCTGTATCAACAAATGAAGGGCCTCCGACAAAATTAACCATACCCGATAAGTAAGAAATGTATATGGCAACACCGGCTTCGCGTCGCATTAAACCTATGCGGGATTCATAAACGAAAAATCTCATTCCACCGCAACGAACGGGGGGGGGGGGGGGACGAATGAAATCCGACTTTACGCCCGTGATTGAAGCGATGCTATGCGATTTCACGCACTCGATCCCCGCAGCGACCTATAGCCAACACCCCCGCACTGTGGACATAAACGCTGCGCGGGCCTTACTTCGAGGCGTTACACACCCTACATTTGCATTATTACATGCGAGAGCGTTCGCTTAATTTAAACAATATTTACCTACTTTGTGGACGGGCGATGATACGCTCACGGCGTCTTCTTCATTAAATAACTGTAAGACTTTTTTTTATGCGAGGTGGCGAGCGAGATGACGGTTCACCTAATCCTAAGTGATAACCGCCGCCCGTTGACATTTGCAACACCGGCTCATCCAACACACTCACTCAACAAACGAAACTCAGAAATATTATAATAAAATATACAATAAAATATTACAATTCAGTTAGGAAGTGGTGCATAGTGTGCAGTAGTGGTCAAGGTTTTTTAGCTCCTGAATAGAGCCTCGACTTAAATGCTATCGACCTGTGTTGCTTAATCGCCCAACGGGTTTTAAGGGCGTTAAGCACAGCTTACGCGATACGCTGGCCAGGCGAGTGCACGTTTCGTTCGCAGTCGGCAACAGCTAATCCGGCCAGCTCAGCGTAGCCGCGACGCGAAGCCCTCGCCGCAAAGAGCTGGAAACGCACGCTAATCGAGGGTCATATCCAGCTTATCCAGCTTAGCGGCGCGAGAGCTTTCGAAGCGATGCTACAACGTTGACGTCGGAAACCGAGAGGGCATGTTTGAAACAGTATGTGATTCACTGCCATCTGTGGGGGAGGCCTATGTTCAACAGTACACTTAAACAGGCGGAGTTGATGATGATGATTGAGTTCTGTACGTAACACGAAAACAGATAGACTTAAAAAAATTCCACCGCTGTGATTCGAATCCGCACCCTCACTGTGGTGATACAAAATAGGTCTGCACATCATTGTACTACGATTTAATTTTGATATATGCTAGAAAATAATTAAAATTTATAATCGTCAATAAAAAAAAATTATTAATAAATTTACGGTGGTAGGGCCACGCAGCAACAACGGCTGTTGCACGAATGGGCAGGCCCGTCCGGGTAAGTACCACGACCTCACAAAAGACCAGTGTAAAGTGGAAGTATGACAAATACTTTCGCGTTTCGTCTGGTGAGTGAGGTAGCCGGAGCCCAATTTTCAAAAGGTTGTCAACGCATCTGGAACCCTCGGGTGTGGCAGATGTCCATGGGCGGCGGTAGCCACTTAACATCATCAAAAAAAAATAAAGTTTAACGACGATATGACGATTAGTATAGACCTATATTCGTATTACTATTTATTTACCTATAATATATATTCGTAAAAAATGGATTCGTGCGAGTCGACTCGAGGCTGCACCTCTGACCATCTCATTCGGGCGAGGGTTGGTGTGAGAGTTCATTGAGCGAGAGAAGCGGCTCTAACTAGACTATTTTATATAATTACAAGCAACTGGTTGGCATAAAGGAAAAAAATACAACGCACAGTTACAGGTACAAATAATTTTGAACTGCCGAAAACGAACTGCCATTTTAAAGATAGGTTTTTACTCTGCTAGCGCGCTTACCATCAACGGCGGCATGAGGTGGGATGGCAAGTGCTGGCCCGTTTCGAATATAACCAAAAAAGCAGATTAATCACGTAGTACATTCATCCATTTTTTGTTGATCTTATGGCCTTCTTAAAAAATATGCTCATATAATCTTGAGGTTTATGTGTGATGTTTTATTGTGCTCTGAGGCTCCTAACAGACTCTATCGACTCTATCGGCTATTTCTATTTATAACACAAATCTAGCATGTCTATTACTTGGAATAAAAAGAAAATACATTCCACAAATTATGCCAATTTTGCCGTGAGAATAGTAAAATCTTTATATTATAAATAATACGGCATACTTACAGGCCCTGTTATCTAGGCAGCCTGTTTATTTTGCGTTAAAAATCAAACCTCTCAATTGCCCCTCTACAACAAACCAAAAGCAAAACCAAACCAATATATGAATGTAAATAACACTAGTTAAACTCGTATTAGACAAATCGTTAATCAAGTCTTTCTCATCATTAAATAGAGTAAAAGACTGAAACGTTACGACTTAAAACATTTATTTATAAACAAAGCGAAGGAATAAAACTTTTAAACACCACAAAGCGCTTAATAACCACGAATTAGAGTCAACGGAGCATCATTACGACGCCTCGCTGTCGGCTGTGAAGCCGTCAGCAAAGCTCCGAAGCACAATAAATACGCACCCGGGCCGTGCCCGTCTATCATCCGGACATTAACGCACGCTCGTAATCAACTACACCTATAAACCATTACCGTAACCTAAATAAACTTCCCAATGTAACCGCGAGAAGTAAATAACACCACAAATTATGTAAATTCAAATTACGAAAAATTCACCAATTGGACTTTATTTATATTTAATAGAAACAATCTTTATTGTATTTCTTAAATATATTTAAATAAAAACATAAGAATTGCGGCACATGGACAACACCGATCAATAATAAACGGCAATATTTAGAAGAAAGGGACTTACCTTTGGCACATGTAAACAAATGGATGCAGGCCAACAAGAAAATCCAGTTTCCGACGCCAAAGCGATACATCCCTGTCCGGCACATGATGCAATTCACTCTAACAACACTACACTATAAATTTTAATTCATAGTAATCACATTTTCACATAAAATTCCACTAAATTTCGAATAATCTTTTAGGAGACGCGACTATAATATCAAACTGAATAATCCGCCATGTTCAGGCAGGGACTACTGCGTTCGGAAACCCGGTACAAACTCAATAAGTAAAGGTCAACGTTCGGAACAATTGCGTTAGGGACTGGAGTGAAGTTCTCTCCCCATTTCTTTAGGTGTACTGGGAATCTAACGATGAAAAATAACATGATGTCTATGGGGAAAAATTAAGTTAATTTACAGTTATGTTTGAATAACTCGAAACATTTAAAAAAATGGCTGTGAATATTAAAACGTTTTTATTTATTTAAAATTAAGTATTCAATCAAAAGACGAGTTCAGTTCATTGGAAAAAACTAAAAGTATCTGTTAACTCATAGCAAATAAAGTACAGTGACCTTGCTGCTTATCAAAAGCATTATTATAAAAACTCTTACATACTTTAAACTACAATCCGGTCATTTTATAATTCGCAATTGTACCCAAAAAGAATCTGAAGAATCTGTACTGGAATAGTACTGTCGAAATGACATTGACGTAGAGAAAATAGAAATTGGAGAAATGTCAAAGGCAGGCCCACAGGCAAACTACTAGTTTGGTTGTTTATTGTTAGTGTTAAGAAATAATTTTAACTATTATATCACATTTATATGATACTGTTAATATTCAAACATCGACCACTATGGAGCTGATATATTCTATGAGGCGTAAGCCCTTAAAATGCGAACCGCCACATTTCGAAAAGTACATTTAATTTTATGAATTTATTATTTCTGTAAAGAGTTGTAAAAATATAAATTAATGCTGATGTTTTTGCAGTAATACAGATCCAGATGTGGTCAGGCCAATTTGTACCATATCCTCAGCTAACATTATTGCCTTTTCGTCTTTGACTGAGCTATCAGATGCCGATGGTGATACTTGGGGCGGTCATGTTTACGTTTGCGATTTGGATACTCCATGGGAAAGTCATAAAGTTGTCAATACTGTTCATCCTGTAAGTCCTATTTTTCAATATTTTTAATGAAGTATCTTTTTAGTGCTAAGAAAAAAGAAAAAAAAAAGTCAAAAAAACAAAAGGACTATAGATTTTGATTAGCCAGAGGATTAGTATGACAGTAATCTGTCCGGGTAAAGTCAGATATATTGGTCTTGCGACCCTGGCTTCCTTGAGTTACTGCTGTTACTTCCATTAACTATTCATCACAGTAGAATCCTTACTCCAATTCCGAGGGCTAACATCCGGCAAGTGGCTGGTAATAAAAACAAAACAAATAACTAAAAAAAAATATGGTTCCGAAAATAAATGATCATAGAAGGATGCAGCACCCCGCATCAGTGATATATGGACTAGGGTTGTTGCAATAGGGACAGGTGCTGCGTAAGTCGCAATTCCAAGATGTGAGTCTGAGGCTTGCAAGTAGGAATGTTAGGACGATGACTGAAAGTCAAAGAGGTGATTTGAAATGACGGCTTACAGTGGAAAGTGGAAGGAAAAGACTTCTTATGCCAACCCAACCTAGTGTGGGAAGAAGAAGACTAGTACAAAGTAGCATGTTATCATTATCAACATATCATTCCTCAAATTTTGAACACCATTCCTCAAATTTTGAATTGGAAATTAAAACACTCTTTTTCTTTTAAAGAAACCAAGTATAGAAAATTGTTTTATGTTAGATTTTAAATGGAGAAAGTATGTTCTTGTTTTGATCAATTGATTTCTGATTTAAATACAAAGTGAAATTTCACAATGTAAAAAATCTATAAATATTTTTTTGTCAATATACAAGTTTCTATAAAATGTAAATATGCAAACACCCCAGGTGTCAGTACTTGAATGGGATGGTGAAGGAAAACAGTTACTTGTGGCCACAACAGTTGGAGATGTGTCTGTATATGTGCAGAAAGATTATCTGCTCAATGAATGGACATGCTTATATTCGGCAAGCTTCCCTGGTAAGCTTTATCTCTCCATAATAATCTAATTTACTTATGCAAAAAATAAAATGCTTTAGCATTTCATATAGAACATGTTTTTTGTATTACTTATTATTTATTAAATTTATTACACCCAGTGACTTATGGATATTTATAGAATTATTTGTTTTCTTTTTTTTTTTTTTCATTTTAATTATTCTTTAAAAAAATTATAATACAATTTACAATGACAGCAAAATATCCACTTAAATGATTGCACCACCAGTGTGGCAATAATAGATATACCTATTCAACTTTGATGTAAACATTACTTTCATTCCATATATAATAATACATTTAATCATGATTTATTTATTGTTCTTAGGTGAACACATAATAAAATCAGTATTCTTTCATAATGGACGCAGAATAGTTGCCCTTGAAAAGAAGCCTGATGTGCCTATAAGTGATAGAATTCAAATGTTACGTTCAGTACCAACATTGAAGGGATTTGGGTGAGTTAAACAGATTTTATTCAGAAGACCATGGGGTAAGTTACATACATAATTGTGGGCCTGTGTGTGGTATAGTGATGCTTATATAACTTGTTACTAAAGGTGCCCAAATTCACACAGGAGGTTCAGACTCGGTAGTATAATCGTTTATTGAAATAAAAACAAACTTTTTTTTTTTTTCAAAAAAAAAATAGCCATTCTGTTCCCTACAAAAAAGAACTTGTTGAAAATGCGGTACTCATTCATAAATGCGTCGTATACTTTTGAAACGAACTTGTGTGCGTGTTAGTTATGAATGATCGTGCTTAAAATAAATGAGTTGCCCATAAATCAAGCACTTTTTGAGATAAGTTCAAATGAATGTGGTTAATTAATTATGACTGATTTTAAATATTTATCATTTTTTAGAATTTAATAAAAAATATGGATACACTTAGAAAAGCCTACCTTATTCAAACATGCAAACAATGTTCTCTCCTTATAATACTGGTGTGACAAGTAATTGAATATGCATATCCCACTGCTGGGGGACGGCCTCCTCTGTACAGACATCAAAATTATGTATTGACGTTCCATGGTCGACTATATAGTTGACCATGCAACCTCAGTGCAATTTGGCAAACAATATCGTTGAAATATTGCATTGCATTCTCACAAGTGCATGTTGAATCAGCACTTGAAATTAATTCTACTCATCAATCTACAATTTCATTGCTGCCGATTTTGGGTTTTGAACCAATGTTGCTCAAATATACTAAATTGAAAGCCCTGAGCCCTGTGCCAATTGGCTTTAATATTTGCGTAAGTATACATCTAATAAATATTGCTATATTGTTTCTTATTGCAGTGGGGCAGCATGTGAAGGGGCATGTGTAATAACAGGAACAGGGCTAGTTGGTGCTTTTACGCCTTCCTCGGACTCCCACCGTGCACTTGTCGCTTCAGATTGTCTCCGGGCACCCCGAGATCATATAATAGCTGCTGCTTTCACTCATAAGAGTACGTTATTAGATTTATCTAGAACTAGCCTTTCGCCCGCGGTTTCGCTTGCGTTGAAGCTCTTAAATAAATATCTTTCTTTAAAATATGTATATATTTTTTAAAGAAAGATATTTGCAACCCTTTACAAATATTTTCCAATTAAAAAATAACCTATGTCCTATCTCAGGCTCTAGACTATCTGTGTACCATATTTCATTTAAATGGGTTTAGTAGTTTTGGCGTGAAAGCGAGACAGACAGCAGAGTTACTTTCGCAATTATAATATTAGTATGGATATTTGTACTATTTGGTGGCGTCGTTGCTGAGCTATTGGCTCATTTATTTATTTATTTAAAACTTTATGCACATAAAACGTATAATGGCGGACTTAACACCATAAGGTGTTCTCTACCAGTCAACCAACAAATAAGTGGAGAAAATAAGGAGGTGCGAAAGAGCCACATAAGAATGGCTTAGGCGTCGGTGGTCGTGGGTTCGATTCATACACGGCACAAGTATTTGTGTGACCCACAGATAATTGTTTCGGGTTTAAGTGTTTGATTCCCAAGGATGTTTGACGTCAGGCATGCGGCCGGTCATAAAAATCATAGCCAAAATTGCTTACATAATTCACATGTTGTGCCAACCCAACCTATGTGGAATAAAGGCAGGAGGATGATGATGACTTCAAATCAACATTTTGAGTTTGGATTTGTTATCTTAGCTAGTGAAATCTTATTGGAGAGAAGGTAATTATAGTTAGGATAGGATAGAAATTTAAATTGTTTATAGTGCTAATCTTTGCACTTAAGATTGAACATTAAAATATGTAGAAAAAGTGCGAAAAGATTGTCGCCGCTGTGGGAATCGAACCCACGTCTTCGGCATTCTAAAAAAGCAATGGCGACATCTATCGTTCGAATTATCGTTGTAAAATGATATTCGAAGTTGTTTGTATGCTGGAAAGGATATAACAATAGATGGCGCCAAGCATTGCTTCAAATGCTAAGAACACTATGTGGAAGAATGCGTTAAGATTTTCGTCGGTGTGGTAATCAGCCGTTTAGCTCAGTGGCTAGAGCGTCAGGCCGCGAATGCCGAAGACGTGGGTTCGATTCCCACAGCGGCGACAATCATTTCGCACTTTTTCTACATATTTTAATGTTCAATCTTAAGTGCAAAGATTAGCACTATAAACAATTTAAATTTCTAAAATAGCAATAGCAACATCTCTCGTTCGAATTATCGTTGTAAAACGATATTCGAAGTTGTTTGTATGCTGGAAAGGATATAACAATAGATGGCGCCAAGCATTGCTTCAAATGCTAAGAACACTATGTGGAAGAATGCGTTAAGATTTTCGTCGGTGTGGTAATCAGCCGTTTAGCTCAGTGGCTAGAGCGTCAGGCCGCGAATGCCGAAGACGTGGGTTCGATTCCCACAGCGGCGACAATCATTTCGCACTTTTTCTACATATTTTAATGTTCAATCTTAAGTGCAACGATTAGCACTATAAACAATTTAAATTTCTAAAATAGCAATAGCAACATCTCTCGTTCGAATTATCGTTGTAAAACGATATTCGAAGTTGTTTGTATGCTGGAAAGGATATAACAATAGATGGCGCCAAGCATTGCTTCAAATGCTAAGAACACTATGTGGAAGAATGCGTTAAGATTTTCGTCGGTGTGGTAATCAGCCGTTTAGCTCAGTGGCTAGAGCGTCAGGCCGCGAATGCCGAAGACGTCGGTTCGATTCCCACAGCGGCGACAATCTTTTCGCACTTTTTCTACATATTTTAATAGGATAGGATAGTTTATTTAATCACAGCTTTAATTCCCCTATGAATTAGCTCCACATATTGTGATTGTATACCTTAACGCTATGATCAAAATAATTAATTATAATTACTTTGCCTAAAAATGAGAGTTGGATACCACAATTTTTTTTAGTGGGTCTAAATTTTACAGCTTTAGCGTGTCATCTTGACCACTAAGCATATTATTTTGACGTCACAGCGAAGTTGAGAGTTTTTAGTCAATTGTATGTTTCCCCTTAAATTGAATGCACTCAAGAGGTTTTCATTGAGGTCCTAATCCTGCTGAATGGCCAACTGCACCTGAGGCTATCCCTGTGAGCTGTTTTCTGAGAAGAACTTTCTAAGTCACCGTGAAGTTAGCGGTTCAAGGTTGGCGTCTTGAATTGATTGTGCTCAAGAGTTACGAGGTCTTTTTTTTTGTGGGGAAATCCGTCATGGAAAACCCCACTGTGGTCGCGATCAGGGTGACATTCCCCTGCCCGCCACCTGGGGACGCGCCCGATGGTAGATCTGGCAACTCCTCACGGGAAGAGTTACGAGGTCTAGGGACCGCTGGACTAACGCCGGGGGATTGGCGCAGACGGCAGCGTGCTGATAGCGGCTGCGTGGCGGCGCGGGGGCCGCAGCGGGGTGCGGTGCGCCGCGTGCGCCGTGAGCCGCGCGGGGGGCGCCCGGGCTTCGCCCCTCCAGCTCGCCCTGCAGCCCCTGCCCACCGTCTACCTGCTCGAGGACCACCTCTACTCGCCGCCCGGTGAGTAACCAATCATCCCTTATGAGTGATCACACACTCATGATCCACTTGACAAATAACGAGTACATTTTGGAAGTATACATTATTGAAGTTATGCTTCAAAAATTTACTTGTTATTCAGAGGCAGTCATAACACGAAATATTTAGGAGTGGGATTAATTTTTTACTTCCACCTTCCAGTATCATTGACTTGGTGCCTCCGTGAAGACACCGACTCCCTACTTATCGTTGGCTCATCGCTCACCCTGTGGAAACTCGCCGAGCGATCTTACCCCGTGCACAAGTTACTTTGCAAAGGTAAGTACATGTTCTGTAGATTCCTTTTTCCACCTTCACATAATTGGTGTATGCAATGCCATGGTTCAAATGAGGAGTCGGGAACAGGGAGGACTGCAACTGCGGATGCCCAAACTCTTAGCCTCCCATTGACCATAAACTTCGTAAAGGTTTTCGGTTTGGAGGAGACTATCTAGCTTCGAAGAGAAGACTACAATAAATATTCTAGATCGAAGTAATCGTTGGGACGTACTTCCCAACCCCTCCTACACATATAGAAAGAAAGAAAATACAATCAAAAATACATAACATAAACATAATCCAGCTAAGTATATAAAACCTACTGTTGAGTTGTATTTATATAAATCATAGTTTGAACATAGGCCATAACTCCAATAAACAATTCAACTTGAAACTGAAAACTCGTATAAATGGACATATAAATTCAAACCATTTAGAGAAATTCTTGTAATCTTGATGTCTTGTATTTACAGGAACGTCATGAGTATTAGCAAGGACAAGGATTTTACCAATTTGGTCAACATGATCCTGACTTACTTTGTACATTCTTCTAAACTGTAACCATGAAACATTTTAAACTAATATACATTAACCCAATTTTTTTATTTAAGGGCCCGTTAAACAGGAAATAAAGGGGAACACCACACCTGGTGGGGGACAAAAAACATCCACGGACTGTTATAATACAGTGGTGAGTTATATTTTCAACTGACTTTAAAAAAGGAAGAGTATTTTATATTCGATTATATTTTTGTTACCACAGAACTCTGTCATTTATGAATCAACTAGCTTTTCGCCCGCGGCTTCGCTCGAAACTACTCAAAGTCAAAATGTACCCGCTGTGGCACTGAAACTATACAATACTTTTATTTTATTCTCTTGTAAAAAAAGTAAAATAAAGTAACAGCCTATAAATGTCCCACTGCTGGGCAAAGGCCTCCTCTATACAGAGGGTATCAGGGCATAGTCCACCACGCGGCCCTCTGCGGATTGGCGGACTTCACATATCTTCGAAATATATTTTTTTTTTTGTTATTATTTCGAAAATATGCAGGTTGCCTCACGATGTTTTCCTTCACCGCGGAGCACGTGATAAGTCAGCACTTAAAGTTAAAAACTTCGATCGAAGATCGAACTCAGGTTGCTCGAGTATATTGAACTAAAGGCGAGCGCCCGGACACTGAGCTATCACGGCTCGTGTATTCACTTGACTTTAAAGGAAATACAAACAAAAATTATCCTTTTTTTTTTTTTTTTTTTTTATGCGAAAAGTTGTCAAACGAGCAGACGGTTCACCTGATGTTAAGTGAATACCGCCGCCCATGGACATCTGCTACACTCGAGGGTTACAGATGCGTTGACAACCTTTTGAAAATTGGGCTCCGGCTACCTCACTCACCAGACGAAACGCGAAAGTATTTGTCATACTTCCACTTTACGCCGGTCTTCTGTGAGGTCGTGGTACTTACCCGGACGGGCCTGCCCATTCGTGCAACAGCCGAGGCTGCTGCGTGGCCCTACCACCGTAAAAATTTTTATTATCCTTTGAGTTCAATCAAATTTTAATGTCCTAATAACATGGGCTCCAGCCATAGGTTGCAAAAAAAAGCAATTCTTATTGAAACATAATTTATTTTACTATAAAATATTACATTTAAACTGTTACTAAGAAGGTGAATCTATTTTGAAGTGTGAAGATACAATTGCCTATCGATTGCAATTTCGTAATTAGGTAAAACTATAACGGATATGTGTTGTGCTAACTTGATGCTTCGTGCTATCGTGTTGGAGTCCAATGTCGTTGCAACGAAGCGGTTTCCATGCTGCGTAACAAGTTACCTAATATCCATAGCACAAGCTTTGCTTAGTTTGGGACGTTGTGTAAAAATATATTCGGAAATATTTATTTATTACTAGCTGTGCCCAAAAAAAAAAAAATAAACAAAATTTCTAAGAGATTAGCCGGAACAAAACAGACAGCTGTTATTTTGGTGTATGTACCGTGTATCACATAACATCCACTTATTATTTACTCGTAGTAAAACGAAGTTATTTTAATATTACAAACAGACATTCCAATTTTGTTTATCTGTATAGATGAGAACTAAAACCATGTGGTTTGAGACGCTGGCAACGGCTGGTACTTTGTACAACACCTTGTCTGTTGCTTTGTCAATTTTGTATTCGGCCTTGGTTTGCGCAGGTGTGGCAGCAGACGGCGGTGTGGCAGGTGGATGGCAGCGAGGGTGCCACGCACGTGTGCAGCGTGCGCTCGGCCCTGGGCGCGCCGCACGTGGTGCTGGCCACGCCCCGCGCGCTGCATTTGCTCTCCAGGGACAACCACCACTACGTGAGTGCGCATAGACAACGGGGCTTTGTCTATGGGAAGGCCTCTGCTAAGGGATGTAATGTCTCAAAAAGGACCGGGGAATAGTTGAATCAGTTATACGTATATTTGTCTTTTATCTGCTGCGTGAAGACTGGAGACAACCCTCGTAAAGTTTGGCAACGTATCATACACACAGATTGTGTTTAATATGTCTTTTTTATGTAATTTATTATTTAATGTTCAACCGATGTTAAGTGAAACCGCCGCCATGGACGTCAACACGTTGGAGGTTCGGATGCGTCAGAACCGCTTTATCATCCACTTCTCACCGGTCTTCTGTGAATCCATGGTTTTACTCGTACGAGCCTGCCCATTCGTGCAACAGCAGGATCTGTTACCTGGTATTACCACTGATGACGTCATCGTATCGACCCGATCGGTGCAGTGGACCGGTCTTCTGCGTCAGAGGGTACGGGTTCGATTCGACTACTGGGAGAATGCTGTGTAAAAATGTGTCCTGAGTTGTTTGTTTGTCGCTACTCTCACGCAACGGTGGCGCCGTGGCAGGTCTGCTCGCGCGTGGTGGGCAGCTCCGCGGCGGAGACGGGCGCCGCCACGCCGCCCAAGAAGGCCAAGTACGCGCCCGGGGGGGCCACTTGTGTAAGCGGCGAATGGATAACTTGTATTATTTTAATTGCTTTCACCAATTTTAACCGCGTACATTATACTCTCTAGTATATAGAAAGCAAAGCGAGGATACTAACATATTGTTTATTTTTTTTATATTTCCTTTAGGATAACATTATCCTGTATTGTAAGGACGTTTAACAAACATAAATTTCACGCGGATAAACACCCAGATGTGAAACAATTACGCGCGGGTCGAACAAATAACTGTCCCGTGTGGGAACCGAGCCCACGACCCCCGACGCCGAAGCCAATACCTTGGCAACTGCGCCACGGCGTCATCAAATTCCTATCAAATTGTTTCTAATGATCGAAATTTGCTAACGCGATGCCTTAGAATGGTTTTACCTGCGCGACGGTCTCCTGCGTGGAGATCTCGCAGCTGGGGGCCGTCGTGGTGGCGGTGGACACCCACTCGCAGCTGCACGTGTACAAACTGCCGCAGCCATGCGCCGATATACGTAAGACCCCCTTAATGGACTACTTTTTCCTTCGAGGTGTTCAAAATGTCGGGAATTATAAATGAAAATTAAATTTGTTTCATGTAATCATGTATATTTTTCGCATAAAAACAACAAATTAATATAAGACTATTATTTCTGTAAGATGGCGGAAACCGAGAGGTTCACCTGATAACTTACGCGCCGCCCGTGGACATTTGCAACACTCGTATGGTTGCAGCTGCGTTGCCATCCTCACTCACCAGACGAAACGCAGAAGTGCAACACTTCCACTTCACGTCGGTATTCTGTGAGGTCGTGGTACTTCCCCAGACTGCCCTGCCCATTCGTGCAACAGCGAATATTGTTGCGTGACCCTGAGTTGAGTCTATTAAAAAACTCTATTTTAAAAAGCTCAACTTGTTTGGAACTGGATAATTAGACTGTACACAATCAACCAAACCGTACAGCACATTTAAAATTGAAAGTGAAATAAGACATCCAACATCTGGGAACAAAACGAACCGGTCTCCGAAACGGCCACGACTTCTCTGTTTGCATTCATCAATAACGATACATCAAAGTAATTATTTTTTTAACTAGTGACACGATATAGTTATGGTCGTAGGACCCTACCCTGTGGGACACCTCCATTAAAACACTTCAGTATTTCATCGATCGCCAGCCACACCGCTGTCCGTTCAGCACACCTGCATGATGTTGGAATACGCGATGGTCTCCGGCTACGACTACCTGGACCTCCTCATGACCCTGAAGCACAACATCGTGGAGGCGGTATACGAGAGGTGGGCTTAAAATTTGATGAATTTGATCAAATGTATCTCGTACTGGCTAAGCTTGGAAATGTATCTCAACCTTGCTTTAGTAGTATTTGTAATATAAACAGGCAAATAATTATTAAAATTTTGTGAAATACTTCAAAATTAAAAAAAAATTATGTTCAAATTTCAATCATAGTGAAAACACGTAAATTATTAATACATATTCTTTTAATTCATATTGTTTTAATTCAGATTATGTGAGTGATTCTCTAATTGATATACGTTAATTACTACTAATTTTATTCTTATACTCGTTTAAGTTTTTAATAAAACTGTCCATTCACAGGCTAACGGAGAACTTCCAACGACAGCCGCAGTCTTTCCAGCAGTATTACTACCACAGCTGGTTGAAGCTGAGGATCTCTTTGTGCAGGTTGGTACAACACTTCGTGTTCTAAATATTATCGCATTATTTTGAAAAACATCACTAATGTATTAAATGTCTTGTATCTGTCAGTAATGTGTATTTTAACAGAGATTCACAATCTGCTTTGTACCATTATTATTTTTGTCAAAAGGATTTATTTCCAATGTATCGTTTCAGTTATGACTTTTATGAAGTACAATGTACAAGTACAATGGGTTAATAAGTATTTGTCATTTAAAGTTGTAGAAAAAGTACGAAAAATTTGTCGCCGCTGTGGGAATTGAACCCACGTCTTCGGCTTTCGCGGCCTGACGCTTTAGCCACTAAGCTAAACGGCTGATTGCCACACCGACAAAAATCTTAACATCTTTTATCTACGTTGTTTTTTTAGCATTTGAAGCAATACGTATCGCATATATTGTTATATTCTTTCCATACAAACAATTTCGAATATCGAACGAGATACTTCTAACGAGATAATCTCTAACGAGAGATGTCGCCATTGCTCTTTAGAAATTTAAAGTTTTTTATAGTGCTAATCTCTGGCACTTGCTCCCAATTCTCCCCTTACTGAATCGTTTAGCATTATGCAGTTGACTTTCCGAACGGTTTTTTTGGGGTTCGGTTGGTAATTTTCTGCGTTCACCACATGAGGGTTGGGAACGAACGCAGCTCTGTTTCTAACGCTTTCAATTTGGGTGGACCGAAATTGTGGCATCGAGCGCAACCCCACGTTGTTTGCTTTCGGCTTCGGTGAGCAAGAGTCATTGACTGGTTTCAGTTGGTTGTGATGGTGCACAATTGATGTGTATAGCTACAGCTTTTTTGAGGTTTTGACTTAGATTCTCCATTTGCGAATAAACAAGATATTTGTTCGAATAGTAGAGGGCTGTGTCGTCCGCGACAAGCGTTAGATCTATTCGTTAGGGAAGTCGCTCGTGTAGATCGAAAAGAGCAAGGGAGAAAGACAGGAGCCTCAGGAACACCCGCCGTTAGGGGGTGGGACGGAGGTCATCGGTCGCTTAACTCAGTTGGTAGAGCGTCGGGGCGCGAAACGAAATATTTTTGTTCATATATCTTCAAACCTTGCGAACTGCGTACTGACTTATATTTACATAGATGATGATACATGTATAAACAGAGTACGAAATGAAAATATGAGATAAGAAGGAAGTTTGAAAGCTCAACGGTCAATCCGGATTAGTACCACGACCTCGCAGAAGACCGGCGTGAAGTAGAAGTGTTGCATTTCTGCGTTTCGTCTGGTGATTGAGGTAGCCGGGGGCCACTTTGTCAAGGGGTGGCAACGCATCTGCAACCGTACGGTGTTGCAAATGTCCGCGAGCTCGTTTGGCACTGTGAAAAATATAAAAAAAATAGCCTGGTGGCTGGCGCGAGCGGCAGCGCCGCTTCGCTGTGCGCGCTGCAGCTGGCGCAGGCGGCGTGGGCCGCGTGCGGCGCCGCGCTGCGCACCGACGACAAGCCCGACGCGCCGCTCGCCGCGCTGCTCGACGACCACGACCACGAGAAGGTAACTCGTCGTACCTCCCCCGCAGACTGCCACGGACCGCGATCCTGAGCCACCTGCATTCGTTGACTTACCGCACACTTGCACAGGTCGTCACTGCGTCTTCTGAGGGGGGAGTCGTCCTACTGAACATTTAGAGAACCTTTCTTCCCCAACGGTTATCACTTCTACGAGCTATGTCGCCCATCGCCACTTCTGCTTGCTCATCTTCTGTGCTATTTTGCCCGTCCAAGCTGGTGATGACAAGCGAGCTAGTTCACCTGATGTTAAGTGATAACCGCCGCCTGTGGAGATTTGCAATGCACGTGCGGTTGCAGATGCGTCGACACCTTTAGTAAAATGGGTCTCCGTTATCTAGCTCACGGGACGAAACATAGAAGTGTAACACTTCCACTTCACGGTGGTCTTCTGTAATTTCCTGGTGCTCCTCCGGACCGACACTATATATTTATATTCGTACAGCAATAAATGGAGCAGTAGCAGGCAGTAACTTGACAGATTTTTTTTAACAAACAGGTCTAACGACAAAAAAAGTATGAGTAAATATTTACTGTAGGCACCCTGGGCCCACTTTAGTAAAAGGTGGCCTGCGGGTGTTAAAAATGTCAATGGTTGGTGTCACAATACGAGGTGAACCGCCAGCTCGTTCGCCACCTTCTCACGAAAGAATACCACCAGAATCTGCTGGCGCTGGAAGCGAAGGCGGAGAGCCTGAGCGAGGGCGCGGCCGCAGCGTTTCTGGCGCTGCAAGCCCTCCGCAGGCCGCTGCAGCGGGCCCTGGACACGGCGCTCACGGCCCTCGCCGCCGTCGTGGCTACAGCCTCCTCGCCACAGCTGCACCAGCCGCACGGGTACGGCCGTCCCGCACCCTCGTGCTGTACCGGTTCTCTTTGACCTTGATAGACATGAAGATAGATTGTACGCGACACACTCATGATGTGATTCTTTCGGAAAATATAGATTTACAATTTAAAGTTACAAAACGTTTCGCTGTCAGTTTCAACGCTCAATCGACTTCAGCAACACTTGAACAAAATAAAAGAGAAATGGTTTGTTTTCGGTGAGTGCATGACATTGCTCGTAAGGTAGCGTTATTCTGCATCTTTAGCATGTGTAACATACAAAAATTTCGCGTCGAACAATCCGAAACAGTTATTACGCAAATACTTATAAAACCCGTGAAAATGGAAACCTCGATCCGCGGTGCCGAAGTCTTTAGATTAACAAATGTGCTAACCGAATAATCCAGACACGTGGCGTGCCCCAAGGCTCTTGTCCGGGTCCAATGCTGTTCAATATATATAAAAAAAATATAAGTACACTTACGTATTGCACCCCGAACACGTAACAAAATAAAACACACCCACACACACGCGCACGCATTGTAAAATACTTATTATACATTACTTATGAGCGGGAAAGCCTAGTTTCCCGCAGTACGTTTGTCATGTTTACTGATGAATAGCGGTTCAACACATGGACGCATAGGGAAATACGTCATTTTTTATACATTCCTTGTGAACGTAGAAGCCTAGAATCGCAAAACACGTTTGTCATGTGCACTGATGCATAGAGGCTCATCGTTACTGGTGGTCTTGAACGGTCAGTGCGGGTGGACAGGTACGAGCTGTGGTCCGACGGCGCGGCGCTGTCCGTGCTGCGCAAGCTGGTGGTGTGCGCGCGCGCGTGCGGCCGCGGCGGGGAGGCGCTGAGCCGGCCGCTGGCGCGCCTGGCCGCGGCCCCGCCCACGGCCGCGCCCAAGGCCGACCTGCTGGGTGAGGGCCGCTGCGTTAACTTACACTGGGCCTGCTGGGTGAAGGCTGTGCACCCTAGACATCTGTGCATCGGCTGGTTCTGGGGACTTACGAAGCTTGGACACGGGGAATGTTGGATGCGAACAGTTTTAGCTGGACCGTGATCTGTCCCGTGACCAAGAACGCTGTAAAGGGTTCGAAGTAAAATTAAAAATAAACACGATAAATACGTAAACATGTATCATTTAGTAATGTGATCTGTTTCCGAACTCCCAGCAAGCGCCCTATATTAATCAATCATATTTTTTCTGTGGCTAAATTATATATTGTCAACTCCGCCTGCCATCCCATGTATGTAAATGTCTCTTTAAATAAATCATTATTATGTGCCAGTTATAATTTCCAGTCGTAACATCTTTACTACAAACAATTATATGCCTAATAGGAACTTACGGATTTAGGCGAAGCATGACTGCTTGATGTTGCCTATCTCCTTAAACTTAGCCCAGGTGTAAACTTAAACTTTGCTATCAGTGCTGCCGTGTTCAAGTCAAGTCAAAGTCAAAGTATCTTTATAGGCTTAACTTAAGTTCAATAAGAACGTCAAAAAAAATCTACCACCGGTTCACTAAACTAGACCTGCACAGGGAAGAACCGGCAAGAAACTCTGCGGTCTTGTTCTTTTTGTTATTATTTTTTTTTTATGCAATTATCCAAACTTATTTAGGTGTAAAATCAGCAGCAGCCAGGTGTCTTGCAAGTGCATAGTAAGAGGAGGAGCAGGAGTTCGGATAGAGATTGCATCGGATAATTCTGATTTGTAGTAGCTAGGAATGGGGGCATTAATGGCGACAGATAATGGCAAGTGATTCATTTGTCGTCAGAGGAGTGCGCGTCGCTGACGGCTCAAATGCCAGCTCGCGTGTGGGACGCGCTACCGAGATGCGCCGTTGCCGCCCCCCACGGCAGAACTTGGCCGTACCTCGTAAGTCATGTCTCTCTTTCTGACTCACTACGCTCCCCACCCCTCTCTTTTGCATTCTCTCTTTTAGCGTTGATATACATACGTAATTGATACTTCTATCAAGTAAGTCACGATCCTGCCACATCTCTCTTTCTGACTCACTATGCCCCCCATCCCTCTCTTTTTCTTTCTCTCTCTTTTAGGGCTGATGCATCTGTAATTACTGTTTTATTTTTTTTTGTCACCAGGAAGGTTATCCTCTCCGGCTTTGTTAAATTGTCTTGTTCAAATTATTTTTTATTGCCTGTACCTAGTTGACTTCTAGATCACTCTTTTAATAATGTAGGTAGGTTTTAGAAATCGCAGGTAGGCAGCAAAAGTATTTATGGAAGATTATTGACATGTTTGCATCCTTTAGTTTAACGTTTATTCACATCACTATTTACATCATACCTAACACTTTTTAAAGTACTATCAATTTTATTGAAAGGGTTACATCAGCAGCCGTACTAGTATGTACTGCGCCACAGTTGCTTGTGTCTCCCACTCTAGGAGTATACATATAGATAATACAGACTGCGTATAATAAACCCATAATATTGTATTTAGTTGGAGTACGGCGTCGAGCCCGAGCCGCTTCGCTTCGTTCCGGAGCCTCCGCCCTACGCGCAGTGCGACGCCGCGCCCGCGCTGGCCATGGACTCCATTCGGTAACGTGCCAAGCGAGAGGCTCTCGCTCTTACTCCTACCGGGTCAGAAAGGGATGGACAGCTCGTGATGCGTACGGCAAGTGTGGGAGCACTCGCCATGGATTCTTGTCGGTAACGTTCCTAGCAAGTGGCTCTCTCTCTCTCTCTTACTTTTACTTGTCGGAAAGAGTTAGACAGCACGTAATGCAATATGGCAAAGATGTAGGAGTGTCATATACACATAGATTCATATAATAGCCAGTTCATTAAGCGGTCGGGGCTGATGCGCAAACTATAGAACATGGTGATGCGTAAGCGCGACAGAATGTGATCGAGGCTGTAGTGCGAGCGAGAGGACACTCGTTCGCATCGCTACTTAGGGTGTTAGTACTGTGCATAGTGCAGCGAAAGCGAGACGGAATGCTATCGAGGCTGTAGCGCAAGCGGTAGGACACTCCTTCGCGCTGATGCGGAAGCGAGACGGGATGTGATCAAGGCTCTAGTGTAAGCGAAAGGGCACTCGAAGCGAGACGGGAAGCGCTCGAGGCGAGGTCGAGGTCACGATAGAGGGCGTCGCTGTGCAGGTACATGTACCTGGGCGGGGGGCGCAGGGCGGCGCGCTGGCGGCGCTGCGGGCGCTGCGGGGCGCGCGCGCTGCCCGCCGCCATGCCGGCGCGCAACGCCGTGCAGCGCGCCTACGACGCCCGCTTCCTGCCCGCCTGCAGGTGCGCCCCCTACTGAACTTCCTTACGCACGCTCGACTCGGGGAGTAGGCTGGGGAATGCGCGACCACGGCGTTACGAAAACTGTGACGTTGCGCGAACGGTGATTTCTTGGTTGCTTCGTCATTTCGTTTCGCGCTTGAACAATTTTGTAAATTAATATTTTGTTCAACACGTTTAGTGTATAAAATTGTTAATTTATACAGATTACTTATAGATGGAGCTAAAGAAGTTTTATTTCAGGCGTGTGGTCTAAAGCACACTCGTTTTTTTAGTGGGTACTTGTTCTGACCAGGACCCCCGATTCCGTGGCGGGGGATCCATGAATGATTTTTCCACGTTGAAAAAGGTGCACTGTCCCTCTCGCACGCGTTTTACTGCGCTGGGGCAAACCATCGTCTCGTGACGGGTTCGGCCGGGGAATTGCCACCGCCTCGCCGGAGACCAGCGCGAAGTAAAAATTATACTTCCTTTTTAAGGGTTGTCAACACATCTGCAAGCCCTCAAATGTTGCAGATGACCATTGGCGGCGGTATTCACTTAACATCAGGTGAACCGCCCGTTCGGTTGACTAATTTTAACATATTATTAAGTAGTTAAAATTTTGATAAATAGTTCTTGCGGCCATACTTTTATTGGCATCAACGGAAACATATAGACTGGACTTAGACTATAATTAATTCATGTTGTTAAATGTTACAGGTGCGGCGGAAAGTGGACCCTATATTCGAATCTCTAAGTGAATTTTTACATGAATTGTCTGCTAACTTATGTAAATAAATATTTGATAATGAAAGTTCAATTTTTATTTGGTTTTCAATTGATCTGTTTCATGTATAAACAACTAACGACCCGTACCAGCATTGATAGCACTTGTTGTCCAAAAAAATCTGTTGATCACATTGCTACTACACTTTACAGGATCACTTAACATGTTGGACTAAACTCTTTGGGTCAGTTCCATATAAAAAAGCTGCTCGCGACAATAGGTACATCGAACGCGATACTCTCGCCTTACAGAACTGGAATCGGGTGAACTTCAGACACGCATTAAAGTTTTACGCGCCTTAACAATCATTGTTTTGGGTTCTATTGCGTTGAAAAAGGCCCCCTATAATAGTTTTTCTCAACTATCTTCCATACAGACAACGATCAGTAACATTTTTATCATATGTATAGATTTTGAATGATTATCTGTTAGTGACATAATACATTGTTGTGATAAGCTATAGCCCCCTATAGGCCCCTTCTGCTTTAAACTACTAGAATAAGAAATATATCAAAATATCAAAAAGGTTTTGACACAACCTTAAATTACGCGTCGTTTATTTTTGTTTTGGCAATATTATTTTTGCAAAATATTGATGACGGTAACAACTTATTGGTTTGTGACATTATTTACTCATATCACAGATATGGTAGAAATGCTAACGCATAAGAAACAACATGGCTCATATGAAACAAGTGCGACTCGGACTCGCGCACGAAGGGTACCCTTATCTATAAAAACGGTAAAAATGACTTTTTACCGTTTTTATAGATAAGGGTCTGCTGCATGGGAGCTCCACCTTTTAGTATCTGTTGTTATTACGATATACACCATCTTTGTAAGAGATGTGTTCATGAGATACAGCCTGTTGACTACTCAAAGAGTTGACATTTGACAGCTGATCAATTAATTTATACAATGATCAGCGTTTCAGAAACCGGGCGTGAACATTTTGACGAATTGATTATTTCTGTTAAAATTGTATTAACGTTGTTACTATATAAACAGATTCTTGAAAACATTTTTTTTCACTAATGAATTGTTTATATGATTAATTTATGAGCAATAGTTCGATGTTGATATGGCTTGATTAAATCACAATTTCGACCTTATTTTTTCCTCAGGGTAGGTCACACTAGCGATAGCCATTCAAGTTGATCTTCGAACCTCCATCGAAGGGGCGTTTAGAATGTGTCGTGCCCAACCCCCATTGTGGCGTAATCTTTCACCAGTTATGTCATTCTCTGGAGCAGACGACCGCCGAAGCTGTTAATCGCAACGGGTTAACAGCTAACTACACAATAAAAAAATGTTTTATTTACATCAAAAGTTGTTAAGTAAGCAGGCAAGGGTCCACCTAATTGTAGATACTGCTGCCCATGGAAGTCTACAGCTCTTAGGGGCTTGCAGATGTATAAACAACCTTTAAATAATTGGGCCCCGGTTACCTGACTCACCAGATGACTTCTTCCACACCAGAGTAGTTTACATTATACGAAAAATAAAATGCGTTCAAAGGTGATTAGACTACAAAAGACTGATCTATTTTTATGGATCAAATTAATAAGTTTTTAAAATTTCTTCCTTAAAAGTTCTATTTTTGGAACAGCTTACTTCTTGCACGTTGCATTAAATTTCATTACTATTTTGGAATAATATGAATATTTGATAATATGAATAATAATTTTTAATTTGAATAATAATTTTTTCTATTTAAAACTTTGTCACACTAAAAATCTATGTAAACCGGTATTACAAGTATCGATTCTGTCAGTTTTGTCTGCGCAGTGTTACATTCAAAATCTTTAACGCCATCACTAGCATCGTTGCTAGAATCGAAGAAGCGTTAGGTTGCGACTCCGTTACAATATTTTATATTAGTCGCGATTCTAGAAATCCTTTTGCAACGATCTGCTAGTTGTGTAAAATAGTATATAGTAAATACATTATTGTAATAAAAATGGCAGACAAAAAAGGTATTTATGCTTTTTGATTATATATTTTCTTTGTTCTTGCTATGTCCTCGAAGGTTGACATATGTAACGTCATTAGGCCTTGAAATGCTAGTTTTTGCAACAGTATGTTGATTTGTTGTATACAAATGTAGGCTATTAAATTATAATCAGATTATTCTATAACATTTTTAATTTCATATACAATCTACTTATTTGACCAAATCAATAGTTTGTAAATCCAAGATGGATGACACTCCTTGATCTTCCTAGGCGGGATATTTGGAGAAATGTTCTAAATTTAGGCATCTTTATCACCAATATGGAATTGTATGTAGCGTGTTCTAAGTTATATGTCTAGAATATATTAATAAATACGATATCTCTTAAACCTTTTGCTTTTTTGACCTTTTATTAATGATTGCAAAAATACCCCCAAAATATTAACATGAACTGTCTCAATAAATATATTATTATTCTTCTCTAGTTATTTAACAGCAAAATATATACTAATATTCTTTTTTAATTTTTATTCGCATGAAAATTAGATGCTACTGAAATATTATTTTAAAATATCTCCTTTTTACCAGAAATCTGTATCCTTTAATATCATTATAATACTTTTCTGTATTCCTCTTGTATAACGGTTCTGTATTGACTTAAGATATTTTAAAAATCATTTATTCCAAAAACATGTCTACTTTAGATTCCCTTCTGGTTAATAGACCTTAGATAAAAACATTGCTGATAAAGATAATTTACACCTATAATTGTTTATCACTTGGAAATTTACTGAAAAGTTCTTTTTTTTATTGGGCATATTAAAATAAAAAAATCAATACATATCTAATATAATACTGCATATCATATCATATAATACTGCATATCATTTTTCAGTTCAGTTATTTTGTTGTACTGTCAGTTAAATATGCTAATCATTGTTTACCCTAAACAAAGATATAAAATGAATATTATAATATGGTCTTCATGATGTTACATGTGTCAAGCAAAAATTTGAATTTATAATAAGCTTCTTAGTTACATGAGTTTATGGCCTTGTCTTGCTTGGAGGCTGCAGTAAATGTATCCAGGCACAGACATTGGCCAAGGATATAAAAAAATTCAGCAACAGGAAGTGTCATTATTTTGTTTCAAAGGGACAGGCAATGAGGACAGGTGTTGCTGTCCAGATACAGATTTTAGACAATATGATAATATGATTCCTGCTCCCTCCCTCCTCCCCTCTGCCCTGCCTCTCCCCCCAGCCCCCCGTCTGCAGGAGCCGCGTGTGAGCCGCCGCCTTCCCCGCGCGGCCGTCGACTAATCGCTACCATGTAATGACAACATATAGAATTTTTCTTTCTTTTTCATTTTTTTTTGGAAATAGTTGAAGAGAAACCAATATATGATATGTGCGTATCGGCGTGTGGACGATCGTATGCATTACTCTAATGTAACCCAAATTGGCAATTTGATTGTGTCTTCACTATATCCTCATGCATAAACACTTTTTGTTAGCAAATTTCATTTATGTTATTACAATTTTCATCTACAATTTTACCAATCAATCTTATTTAAAGCAGCAATCAGGTTGCCACAAAATATAAGAAAATTGACAATAGCGCATGTTTACCATAGATTATAGACAGGAATATTTGAACTTACTTTACAAATGGCTTATCTATTTAAAGGAATGGCATTCATCTAGTGGGACTTGAGGTATTTGACTTGAAGCTAAATGGTTGGCTGTACAGTAGATGTTTTTGGCTTGAAATTTTTTGTATAGTGTTTTAAAAGTCCTACTGGATTAGTGAACTCCATTAACCTAAAGAAGCATGCCCAATTGTCAGTTTCATTAGTTAAAACTAACCGTAAAGGAATAAGTTGTGTAAGTTTAATGTGGCATGTGGTATTTAACATTTGTCGCTCATGCACATTATAAGTTTCATAGACAACAGCTCTTTAAATACCACAGGCCACACCCTCAGTCATACCTACATATTTTACATTCTATGTGTTTTTTTTTTTTCTTCAAACCTTTAGTTCACAGCTTATTTTTTTACTAATTCTTTTACACTTTTTTTTACATAAGTAATATTGACTTATATGTCATAAACTTAATATTTAACATTCATCTGGTCAATATTACAATATAGCTTTTTTTGTGCACAGACAACATTGAGGCAAATAGATTTGAATTTAAAAATGCCGCTTAGTAAAAATTTGGCTCAGTGTCTTTATGAGACCCCTATTTGCGTTTTTTATTTGTAATGGGGCCTATGTTTGTTTCTTTTATGTTACAATTATTTTAACTTTAGATAAGTGATAAGTATACAATGATGTAGACAATGACTACATGATTTTATACTGGTGAATTTTTTATACACCTGAAAAATAATTGCCTTATATTTGGTTGATTGTCCACACCATTGTATTTATAGTGCAGTCTTAAAATACCACTTTTCAGACTACACATTTAGCACAATAAAATTCAGTCTGTGCTAGAGTATGGTCACAGTTATATTAAACCTTTTCTATTTTAATAAGTTTAAAACTGACCTTATTTCTAAAAGTTTATCTAAGATTGAGTGTTCTACTAACAATAAGCAAGAACAAATCAGGAAAATAAATGGCTATTGTAAACCTAAGCCTGCTTTGTTCTTATATTCACAAAAATCTAAAATCCACTACGGAATCTCTACTATCTTATATTGTTTACACTTTAAGAATTATTTCATATTCCGTTATATATTTGATGATTTTTGTGTAATACTTTGTGTACTTTTGTCAAAGGTGATGGTTATATCGGCGCCATTTTTATTTAGCAATTATTTTGCTAAATAAAATGGCATCATACCTTTAGTTTGTATTTTGTACACAATTAAGTTAACATTAACATTATTTTAGATTGCGTAACATCAATGCCACGTTGTGCAGCCTAACGACCCGTCTCACCCTTTCTCTTTTTATTTCTATTGTCTGATAATAGTTACTTGTTAATCGAAGGTTATATTTTCCAAAGGGTCGTTGGTCACATAGTTATTGATCGAATTGTTAATGGAATGACACATTTGTTAGTGCGTGTGACATATCTAGTGTAAGATAACAGATGGACATTACTTTTGAACTAATTTTTAGCAAAACTGGAAAGTAATCTCCGCTGTGTTGTCTACTGTTTCACATTTGAAGCGATAGACAAGTGCATGCGTAAGCTTATTTGAAGGACAGGGAATTATGCCGGTTCATGAGTCTTAATACCTTTTATTTCTTCAGCGACATCCACTCATATTACACTAAATGTAAGATGTATCCAGACACCATATTTTAGGATCACTTTTTCATGGAAGAGTCTCCTGTTTATGCCTAATCATGCCAGATCACGTCCAAGTTTTTTTCCAGGAATCCCGATGATCTTTCGTTTTGTATAGCTCCAATGCAATTTCCACAGTTTGATGATGTATTACACCAGTGTGAATACGGCACCAAACTTGCCCATTGCAGCAAAAAGTTTTTATGTGTGCCATCAAAAGAAGCATTCCCTTCGAACCTAAAACGGAATGCTTTTTTTTAAGACAAAAAAAACCCATTTAGTAATTTGTAACGGTGAGGGAAGCTACCAGGATTTTAGTGTTCTGTGTAAAATTTCCTAACGCTCTTTTGTTTTGTAGCATTTTGTTTTGCCCAAGCAGAGTTCGATTCAGTTTGTTTAGTTGTCTTTTGTTCATCTGTTTACCATATATGTATGTAATTTTTAGTCGTTGTGGTAATAACTTTTGTTACAGCATGAGAATATTAAGGTATGCAACCACGAGTAAACGTAGATTGTTTATGTTTTTATTCTTTGCATGTTTCTGTGTCCTTCAATGCACTCATATCATAGATTTTGTTTTCTTGCAAACCGCTTTTTGCATAGCCGCTTCTCACAATTCCTTAACAACGAATATTTCGCGAGAAAGAATTGGATTCCCTCTGTTGATTTGATTGGAAATTGAGACCATAAATCTTGGTACAAAGTGTTTCAATAGCTAGACCTTTATATAGATTCGATAATGTTTCTTTTATTTTTCGAAGAGTGTTATCGACTTTAAGTCAATAACATGTATAATATTCACGTTCTGTGGTCGTGTTTTTCGGCGGCCATATTTGTAATAGTATCGAACCAAGGCGGGAGCAACTAAGCTTAATCTTTTGTATAATTGCGTTAAAAATTGCCTACCTAGAGTAATATATACAATGACATTGTTATAAACATTAAGAAAGTTATATAGTTGCGCCCGCTTTTGAATCATACGCAGGTTGAGAGTAGTGGACCGTTATGTTACAATAACCTTAATAAATGAACAAATTTTACAGGAACATTTTCGTATTAGTATAAAACTGAACCTGTTTGTGAGGCTTTATAGCTCGCCTTCCAATCTTAGACGCTCTTGGTGGCCCTGAGAAGTATATCTGTTGGCCCTCTCACTGTCCAAAGGGCTTAAGCGGCGTCTACGACTGTAACGCGACGCGTAGTCCTCTACTACGCGTAGTAGACGACTAGTCGACTTTAAAAATACAACTAATGTCTTTTTTTCGAAGGTCCTTTATCGTGTGATGATTGTTTTGTTACCTAAGATGTTATATGAGAAACGATTGCACCCGACCCATCACAGCGCTCGGGTTGGTTGTATCCGTTATATAAGCATCGCTATTGTGATTGTGGACGTTGGATGCGATCGTTGGAGTAAGGAATGCATTGTAAATAACGTTTGGTAGGGTGATCAGCACTCACGCACTACCGTGTTGACTCGCTCAACCCAACCTACCAATTTAATGTTGCCAGCCGTCGGACCAGTTTATTACCTTGTTACCGTTTAATCTGAGCCGAAGGCAGTCGCCACTGCAGAGGGTTTTTTCAATGTGAATGTACACGTACAATACGTCTATATATGTTTCACTCTAACGTTCACCTAGACCGATTTGGAAAAACTCGAGCGGTTCTGTAACGCGTTGTATGGGCATCGCTTGTCGTTAACACCGACGCAGGCGAAATGTGTAGACGAGTTTTATTGTCTGTGGTGTTCCACATTGTTCGCCTACACTGTGCGAGCGGTGAGAAAATGGCGGCCTGTCATAACGAAAACGGCGAAAAGTCGTTGGCCCGTTCAGCCTAAAGTTTGTCTTTGGAATTTTATTGTTTCCTTTTTATTCGAACGGAATGTATGCGTGGAAATTATCAGTGAGGGAGCCATTTTTAAGCTGCGGACACACCGCCGCGTCTAGCGTGAATGCTCGGGCTTGGGTTGCGGCGCGCTTAGGCGCGAGGTACGTCGGACGACACGGGGCATCGACATACCCACTGTTGGTTTCAATCACCAAAATGCCTTTTACGGGGGCGAGCGATCTACCGAGTAACGATTTCGGCGCGAAGACTGCGTGACGGATGGACGAAGCACTTTTAATTACAAGAGATAGTTGTTATTGAGCCGATCGTCGCGTAAATCGTTGCTCGGTACCAAAACTAGCACTGCCGGCGCGACACGGTGACGATATGCGACACGCCACCAGTACGACAGAAAAACAGACGCACAGTTCAGCGGACGCTTTCCGCAACGGCCATAGTCGCACATCGTACGCCGTGGGCGCGCCGCCTGCGCCGCCACGCGACGGACCCGATACGACCTCGCGTAACGATCGCGGAACGACGCGCGGCGACGCACCTTACGCTCCCCTCGTCAAAGTCGCGAGGATGTCGCTGCCCCGGTCGGTCGGGCGGCCGTCCACGGAGCGGTGCCTGACGTTGCGGGTTGTTGCAGTGACGCCCCCGCTCGGCGCGTACCCTCAACCGCAGCCGCCCCAGGGGCCCTTCCTGCCGGCGCCGCCCCACCAGGCCGCACCGCAGTACGGAGGTCAGTGCCTTCTGTTCTTAATCTTGTCCTGGTCTGCAGCCCTGGTGTCTTGCGCGGCTGTGAAGCCAAAATTGACCATCTGCTCGAGCTATCTGCGGTGATCTGGAAACGGAGTCTCCTCGTCATTTCTTTACCCCACCATTTCGTTAACGAGCACGAATGGCTAGCCTACGAGAACAATCAGCTAAGTCGCGCAAGAATCTTAACTTGTTTCGCAAAGTAAGTAGTTTATTTGGTATTGAAACCGGTTGCTTTCGATTGAAGTAGACCATCAAACCGTGACCGTGATTTATAACGATACAGTAGCGGGGAAGGAACACATGGTAAGGAAACCAAAATGATAATAAAATATTTCGAAGATATGTGAAGTCAGAGGTGTGATCGCGTGGTGGAATATGCGCTTATACCTTCTGTATAGAGGAAGGCTTTGCCCAGCAGTGGGACATGTATAGGCATGTATAGTTACTTTACCTAGAAGTTTCTTCGTAACGAGTATGTAGGATAATCGTTCCTTAGATAATTAGCGAAGAAACCCGACCCCTATGTCATAATCTAATTTGTTGCAAGTGCATCCTAAGACTGCTATTCTTGAAGCATACAGTAAATCAAATTACTGCGCGCCAACTACACTCAAAGCCACTCGAGAATCTGTGTCGTCTTCTGTCGCTGTCTCTCTAGTGGAAAATCAATAAGTTCGAACCTTTGTTAGCTTTAAGACTTGCATTTCTGTACGAGTCTGCGTACTGGCTTGCGTCACTTTGTTTTCTTATTGGTTTTTTAACTAAGGGATTTATTTTTTACATACGCATACCCTACTCGCTATACAAGCTACACTAATAACGCATGATTGAAACCCAGTGATTCCAGTTTAACTACCATTCAGTTAATTTAATTAAACCATTTAAAGTATTATAATTATCAAATCATTAATAAGAATATTCTTCACTAGTAAACGATTTTAATCCTAGTTCATTGCTAATCGAAACTTCTGCTTTGGGCCGCCTATGAATATCGTAATTGCGAAGTTATTGATTTCTTTTTTTTAACGCGAATATTACACATATTAAATGAAACTATTTTACGGATTTTATCGCGTTTTGATTTTGATTTTTAATTCGCGACATTTTGAACCATTTCCAGAGCTCATGTTCCAAATTTTGCGAAAGCCATTAAAAAGCGTAGTAGCCACTACACGGATTTAAATGAATTTTAGAATTCTGATTGTTTGTACGTTATGCTAACAAATTACCTTACATATTAAAACAACTGTTTTATTTTTTCATACCGTAGATGGACATTTAAAACAAGCCAAATTAATTAACACATTAAACGCAATCCGCAAATGAATCGGGTAATGACATGAGTCGGGCGCATGATGCGGGATTAAATCTAATTTAAACGCTTTAGCAGAAAGTGCTAGTCTAGACGGTTATGTTGGTAGGTATGAATAAAATCATTTAGCAGGAGTTTTTAATTATAATATATCTATCCCGTTTCCTCTTTCGCAGCACCGCCTCTGCCGTTAGGTTGGGATAAATTTTGAAGATTGTCGACTTAATTTGAGATATATTTGGATAAAAATAAAACTGAATATTTTACGACTACCGTTCCTTTATTAGCGTTTACCACAGACCCCACATAAACAGATAACAAAAATATAGTTGTACCTACAGATTATAAATATTTGACTTTAATGAGGAAAGTGAAGATGAAGGAAAGTGAAGGCATGCAACAATACCCTAGTGCCGAAAGAGGCAAATGTTTTATGTATATGTCTAATTGTTTGGCACGTCTGCAGACTATAAACTTTTTAACGCATTTCAACATGTGAGGGAGGGGTCATTAGATTCGTCTCAGTTATAGTGACATATTATTTCAATATAGTGTCCACGAAAAAAAAATTGCCCATTACATAGTTACTATTTGTGCAGTCGTGTTTTTTGTTTTATTAATAATTTATGCTAAGTTTATTATCTCTTAACTGTCGCGTTTGTTTGGCCAATGGCTTCGGCGTGGCAGTTTCTTGAGAGCGACTCCTAAAGGCTTCAAGTGCTCTATAATAAACTACGGATAAATATCAATCCGGCACGAACATATTGTTCAGAATGTGTACTACTCACGGACCTTCGAGAAGATGCGTCCTCTGGGATTGGAATAAAGTTTGTATCCCGTTAGGTTGGATATTCGAGAATCGATCTGGGATTCTGAGGGTAGTAGGGCCACGCAGCCGCCTCTCCTGTTTCTCGAATGCCCGTTCGGGGAAGTACCGCGACCTCGAAAAGCGTTACGGGGAACGGTTAAAACTTTCTCGTTTCGTCTGGTGAGTGAATTAACCGACGCTCACATTTAAGTAGATTGCCGACGTATACGTATTACCGATGCACGTTTGTTCACGACGGTGTTTTAGAGATGGGCCTAGCTTGTGAATCGCCTACTCGTTTGCCAAACGTTTCCATAAAATGTAATATGGTGCAATTGGTGCAAGTCACACCGACTCGATGCTGAATGCTTGGTGGTTCGCAGTTGCCGGCGGTGGTCCGTACAGCGTGACGTTCGGCGGCGCCGGCGCGGGCGCTGGCGGCGTGTACGCTCCCCCGCCCTACGACCAGCTGCAGCACCACCAGGCGATACCGGCGCTCAGCCAACAGCTGCCGGTGGGTGCCACGGACCCAACATCTTTCCAGCCTCCGTCGACCGCAAAAGTCGTCTAACCAAGTCTCCGACACGTCTGGGCAATAGCGGCCTCTGCTAGTGGACGCATCATATATGGCTTCAAAAGGATGTGGGCGTTTAAGTTTAACAGAGGTAGGGGGCCACGCAACAGTTTTCGCTGTTGCACGAATGGACAGGTCCGTCCGGTTGAGTACCACGACCTCGCAGAAGATCGGAGTGAAGTGAAAGTGTTATATATAAACCTCTGCTTTTCGTCTGGTCAGTGAGGTAGCCGGGGCCAACTTAATGCAAAGGTGGCAGCGCATCTGCGACCCTACAGGTGTTGCAAACGTCAGTGGGCGGTGGCTATCACTTAATATTAGGATCTGCCAGCTCGTTTGCCACCTTCTCACACGAAGAGTAGGCTAGAAGAGTTATTCTAGTAAATGAGATGATTCTATCTTTTTACCTTAAGAAATACTATTTTTAATCACCGCGCGTTTCAGTAAAATTATTAACTGTATTCTAACCCGTGGCTCCTGTGACAGATGTACAGTCCGGCTGCGGCGATGTACGCGGCGGCGGCGGGCTACCCTGGCTACATCGGCTACCCCGTGCAGTACTACCCTTACTACCCGACAGCCATGCAGCCCTCCATCCAACCGCTGCGCCCCACCATCATGATACCGGTTAGTCACCATTCGCCCCTCGGAAGGTAAAAGGAATGGAATAATATGCCTACTTCTGCATTTCCTTGGTGCCTGCCTGCCTTGAGCAGGAGTAGTGAATAGGCTTTTACTAAGCTGGTCCATTTACCATCCACAGCTGCATCAACTCTTTCATCAGGTGAGGTAGCAATCAAGCACTAGGCAGTGTCTTATAAAAAAGAAAAAGTTTGTTTGTTTGCTTTGTTATTAGTGTGATCTAACTAACTTTTCTTTACTGAATACCTATAATAATTACGAGAATATACGAGCATGCACGTTGCCAGCAGCAGAACTTGTTGTTACATTATATCTCATACTAAAAAAAAACTTACCAATTTTTCCTAAGTGATTGATGGATTGACATCAGGTCATGACAGTCCAGGGTGGTCTTTGAAAAGACTCGTTATCTTTGCTTTATTTAACTTTATAATTATAGCTTTAACCTATAAAAAATTATAATGTCTTAGATTTCACTGTTTTAGGGTGTGTTTATATGAGGCGACAGGATATGCAAAGCTATGACTAAAATAGATCTTCTACGTCTACCTACCTGAAACTTAATAATTATAACTTGAATATATGGGACTGAAATAGATCTAGGACGGTTGCGCATGTACCAAGGAAGTGGAGTGACGAGGCGGTGGTATCGTCCCCAGCAGAACGGGTTCGAGGCCGGCGGGCGCTTCGAGGGGCTGGCGCAGACGCTGCTGCCGCCGGCGCCGCCCGGCGTGCCGCCCTCGCCCGCGCACCTCGCCGCGCTCCAGCCCCACCAAGTGCTGTGAGTACTGGGAGAGCATTGCCATCTTATCATAATCAAGTGGCCCACGGCTACCTCACTCACCAGACGAAAGGCACAACTATATACTGTCTTCTGTAAGGTAGTGGTGCTTACCTTGAAATACGTCGATATTCTCGTCGTTTTGAGAAACAATGTTTTTTATAAGCACCATGTGCGACTAGACTATGTGTTAGTATGTGTGATTTTCTTGCCGTGGAGAAATGGGACAAGTGGCGATATAATAAGCCACGCATACGAGTTTTGCTGGTTTCAACTAGTTCAAATATAATGTTGTTGTTTTCTTAGTCAAAATATAAAACAAATTCATCTAAAAGCAAAACCTCTCTGAGTGATGACTCAATAGCGCAGTTGGGTCGTGGGTTCGGTTCCTACACGAGACTTTTGAGAATTGTTTCGGATCTGTGTTTGTCCAAATGAAATTTTGTATAAAATGTCCTTACAAAACAGCGTTATCCTACAGGAACAATGTTTTCAAAAGAAACATCTGCTGGGTCCCAAAGGGACTTACTACCGACCCCTTTCACTTCAAGATTTCTTCGATGGGGCCCAAATTAGGGATTGTGTTGTCATTATATTTTTAGTCGACCACTAAATGTTGCTGTTCAACGCAGGTGGCGTTAGTGGCGGGTCCCCTTCCGCCGCCAATACGCAATGACGCCGCAACGACGTGCAAGAAAACATCCTTACGAGCGTGAAGAAGAACACATACAAATTATCTATCAAAATCTACTACCTATCTATAAGTCTCAAATGTTTTAGCGAGTTTATGAACCCGGAATATTTTTAACGCGGGCAACTTGTAGCACTCGAGGATTCTTTTGGATTAATATTGATCGGTGATGACGCGTTATCATTATATCACAGTAACGCAAAGGATCCGTATTAGGAATGTGTATGTTTCTATTATATAAATTTTATTCCAATTTACTTCTCTACAACAGAGAAGCTCCCAGTTGGACTCTGGTGGTCCTATTTGCGGTTCATCAATGGAAATCTTACCATATAACTGTTGAATTGGTACACGGTATATTTGTATATTTGCTTTGAGTACGGTGCGCGTCGTCTGTGGGTGGGTATCAGTTTAGCAAGTTGTAAATTTGACTGTGATGTCTTGTTTCTATTTGTTTTAATGTTTGCCACTTTATTGGACCCAATCAAGTACTCGAAAAGGAGTAAGACTGTCCGCTCTCTACATTCTCATTAGGGTCTATAGGTCTGATATGGTTATTATCATATATGATTCTATTAATGTGCCTTTTCAATTTCTATATCAAGCATCGTATTTGTACATTTTTGTTATTGTTTATCTATTAATCTCGCTCTTAAACGATTCTTTGTTATAGATACAGTGTTTGCAAATTTGAATTGAATAATTTTAACTTTACAAATAACTGGGAATGGTTAAGTCCTATAATTTATGTCACTAAACTATGTATAACTGCAGTAGTATGATAATATATATTATTATGTATTTTCTTATCTCTTAATGTATATATTTGTGGATTTGGATCTCTGTAATGAGGATAAAATCTCTATTAAATTAAGCTGCTAGGCAACTACGTGTGATGTAACTACATTTTGAAAATTTGAACATTTTGTGTTGAAAACCTAAGAAGTTATAGAATGGAGTTCTCCTAGAAACTAAAGAACTTGCTGTTAACATTTTCTTTGTATAAACTGACTTAATGTATGATTATATCAAAGGTAGCTATTTATGTCAAACTAGCTAAATATTTAGGGAAAACTCTAAATTCGAAGCTCGAATTGCCAAGTAACAAGTAAGCAGAGGGGTCCTCTATGTATTTTGATTGTTAATGTGAGTGGCAAACATGAAAACTTAAAACGGATGTGTGACGCCGTAAGCGGTCGATATCTCTGTAGTATTAAAGTGTCCGCAAATGTGTGGACACTTGTACGAATAGACTAGAGCCAGGTTTGTGCTGTGCTGTCTGTGTGCGGTACAACCTAACATAAGTACCTTCAATTCAAATTTTCTAAGTGATTTGATAGTAGTTACATCATAGGTTGGTTTAGATATTTTTGCAAATGATTTTGAATTTTGTTGTAAGAATTATGCTGTTGACAAAGTAAAATTATGGAATATATAAGCATTTATTATGCTGATGTCTGTCTGATCTGAACTAATGTTGCTGTCATTTAAATATGAGGTCATTTCTTTTTAAGTGTTACTTTTCAATTCAATATGTAATAGCCCGCCGTTTGTACCAGTTAGTACAAAAAAGTGTGTAAATAAATAAATAAATAAATAAATATATAATAATTTAAACAGGTAATCAAATTTAGGAAATAAACTTCATATTGCATAATAGATTGAAAAAATATTTTTTCCGCATCAGTCCAACCATACAGACAGCACACACCAAACACAAATTTAGTTATAAAATTGAGAAATTTAAACAATGAGGTTGTGCGTGACACATGCAAGTGAGAAATCTTTAGAGCGAGTGAGAGAGAGAATGATTGTTTTGTTCGTTCAGTTTGTATGTTTGGTATTTTCTAACGAAGCTGATATTGGGGCATTTATCAGTTAATTAACGGAACATTGTTCATTAGTAGAAAAGTAAAATTAGCAAAAACGTTTACGTGTTGTCTGTACAAGTGGTGGCATATCAGAAATTAGTTCAAAATAAACCCTAGCACTGTCAAATGCTCGATATCAGTTTCATAATATGAAATGTTATTAGAAGCTTGGGTGTATTATAATCTTTATCAAACGAACTGGTAAGTTAGGGAGATGGGTATAAGAGAATCTCAGACATACTTTATTATTGCGCATTCCTATTTCACGTGGACATATTTTGTAGGTGTCGGCGATAGTCCATGTAACTAAACAAATAGTTGAATTGATATAGTTTTACTGCTTTGACATTTAATTTACTTGCACTAGCTTGTAAAATGTCTCTAACCAAACAATGTATAATTATAAAGTATTAATGCTCTTCGTATTCGAAAAACTTAAGGAAAAATGTCAAGTTCTAGGAAATGGTTCACCAAATTCAATTGTCTGATTGTTTGTTGACTGACTAACAAAGATTGTTTAGATATATTTGAACATGGGATATTATCAAAGATTTATCAATGGCCACACACCACAAAATTTGTCTTGTGAAACTGGACTTTTATATAAAGCAGTTTGTTGCGATGCCGGTGTTTATTATGTATGCGCACATGATTGTTTTAACCGAATACAATTTCCAATGTGAGTTTACCTGTTTCTCCGTCGTTTGGAGTTGCTCCATCTGTAATTTACAATTAAAGAAATTGTTTCTAATGCAAGGACTACTATTTCTACTATATATTATTTACTAAGAAAGTTCTAATTTATAAAAAAATATTTTTAGTTTACTGAACGTTTCTTAGTACACCTAGTATTATTCAATTTGAATATCTGCTGATGGCATGACATTGCTAAACTATTAAAATATCATTATTCTGTCAGTTAATGTTATTCTTTTGCTATTCAAAACGATTTCAACCAGTTATAATTTTGATTAGAAACAATTTAGCAAACAAAATGACTACGAACGACGGAGACCAGACGATTTTATGTTCGTGTATTTGTTTGTATAATTTCTATCTCGCTATGTCATGTCGTCTGAAATGTAATGAATCGGTGGAATATCTTTATTTTTTTTTATTAATTATCACACTTTCTAATGATTTTATTCTATCCTGTTTGAAATCGTCAATTTGATAATGCGACAATTTATATGTCATCCTAGGCCTTTGCCAGTTTGCGCGTATCAGCGGAAGGTTCTAGCAAAGCGATGTCTTGTGTCCATCCATTGTCTGTTTGGATTTAAACTTGTATCCGGCAAATTATTGTGGTGCAAACCTAGTCACAGTCAGGATATTTCCAAGGCCCCTTGACCTTCGACTTACGTCATCGCGACAGCGTTGCCGTTTGTACCTTTATTATTATTTCCTTTTTACTAGTTTATATTATTATATACGAGCCTTTTTTTTATTATAACGCATTTTGTTTGTTAATTCAATCATGTTGTTGAGACTGGAAATGAAATGAGAGCTCCGCGGAGCGAGATTCGTAGCACTTCCACTTACTCTAAGGTCTGTTGAAATTCAAATTTGGGTTGAGCGTGTACTGTAACGTCTGTTTTTGTGCTAAATCTTACAAAACACCCATTAAATCGAGGCATTGATGCGGGCCGTCACAAAATATCCACAACGGAATTTACTCTGAACGCCAATATCGGTTCTAAGTGGACATGCAATTTGTAGAAAATTATAAACGCACAATAAAATGCATCGGTTTATATCGACGTCCAATCGATCGATTGCCCCTTTAATTGTTTAATTCAATGTGAGTTGCGCGTCTTATGTCTATTTTATGTGCGTGATGATTGCGTAAATTGTAGTTTTGGTTGTGGCTTTTGGGTCTTCTGTTTATTCCTCCACCCAAGTCGAAGGGACCATAGTGTAAGTGAATCGTTCACGTTGTCCAAAACCCCAGGCGCTGTACAGTATATAACGATAGTTTCACAGTGTTTTTTTTTTTCCTAAAAAAGTTACAATTATACCAACAGTCTGTAGAAGTGTTTTGACAGCAGTTTGACAGTTTGAAGTTTTTTTTTAAAACAAATGTATTCGAACTTCTGAATCATATCCGACTGTACACTTCTGTCCAAACGCTGCTATGGTAACTTAGTGAAATTATGATTGTTTCACCAGATACTTCAGTTGTTATATCACAAGTGGAAGATTGTAAAGCAGTCCATTAGTAGGGCAACACCGTGTAACGTTGCCAACATTCCCATGAATTCTGTTGGTCTGATGTAACGAGGTCCTTGAGATGTAAGGCATTCCTAAGCACAACTTCGTCTATATCTATGGGCTGTCTGACGTTGCGCTTGGCACAGTCCGCATCATCGCGGCGTGAGTATCTGGGATGGGCAGGAGGCCACAAGTTCGCACGCGCCTTGCGTCTCGACAGTCAGCCCGCGCCGTGTTCAGTCGAGTTGGCATGTTGTAAGTGTAAGTGGGTTTTGCTCAAACGCGTGTGAATCTAGCGACTTCGAGTCACGTGCAATATATAGCATAATTATTATTTTGTTTCCAATAAAATTTCCGTAAAACTCCCGTGTATGCAATTATTTGGCTCTTCCCCTCCCAATTCCTGAACAGTCGATATACTGGCGCTAATTGACAGTCTAGTAAAGTTACTCATCGCAGTCAATGTAATACTAGTGAGTACTTTCAAATTACAGACGAATAGCCGAATTTATTTGCAATTTGCAACACATCACTTGAATTTCCTTCAAGCGGATATTATAATAAATTAATGAACTATTTAGTAATTGTTCGATTTTTACAAATAATGACTGCGCCATTATATAACGGCGCGAATAAAACATTAATTAAGTTTTAGTATATTGACGAATAAATAGTAAATAGCTTTAGACGAATACTACGTTTAAGAGGAAAGTGGAGTTAACAAGTGTATAAAGTTGAATTTTCGGCTATTTTAATTCTATTCGGTCGGCAGGTGACCGAACACCAAGGTTAGGTACTATTTGGCCGGATTAAAACAATATGTAGATAAAATAATTGAAATATTGACCTTTTTCTACATCAATGTGGACTTTAACGGGTTGAAATGAATGAACAAAAAAAAAGTACCTATCAACCTATAGCTTTTGTTGGTTTTCATTGTAAAAATGTGTTTTACTTCCTTCTTTTAGGGCCTTGTTTTTTGCCTTTGCGACCTTTATCTTCTCTGATACAGATAAACCAAATAAAGTTTCCTCTCAGTTTAACCACGTCTAAAATTGATGTCTGCAGGCGTGACGTAAGAAATGTACCTATTACTAGTACTAGTAATATTTTATGGAGATTTTGCTTCAAGAGTTCGTGAGACAACAACGTTGGTTAAAAGAGAACCCGGCGTGATGTCATTCTTGGTTAAAGAGAATATCAAATGGGGTATCTTCGCGTCAAACGTAACCCTTGGATTAAAATTTGTAGAAAAAGTACGAAAAGATTGTCGCCGCTGTGGGAATCGAACCCACGTCTTCGGCATTCGCGGCCTGACGCTCTAGCCACTGAACTAAACGGCTGATTGCCACACTGACGAAAATCTTAACGTCATATCTACTTGTTGCGGCGACAATCTTTTCGTACTTTTTCTACAAATCTTAAGAGCAGAGATTAGCATTATAAAAAAAATTAAGTTTGTAACCCTTTGATGTTTGATCTTTGGGATGTGTTGGGCAAAAAAAGTGAAATAATGTAAGTGGTTTTGTATGACCGGCCGCCTGCCGTAGACCTGTGTCGACCTGCCTTGGGAAACAAACACCCAGATCCAAAACAGTTACCTGTTGGTCACAAATACCTTAATGATAGCGTAAAACACAACGCGTTGTTTGTGACGCGTTGGTCGGTTCACACCTGTTTAGAGTAAAGAGCAGGAATGAGAGATACGATCCTTGCGGAACGCCCGCAGAAAACACCTAACTGAACCTAACAAGACAGCTCGTGGTGAGCGTGCCCTCTGATTATTACAAAAAAAAAAGCGGTTTGAGAATGTCTTCATATGTATATTCACTGTGTATAGCATGCAATAATTTGATTGTATAAATTATTTTTTGTACTCCCGTGTTACTGTATAATCATAAATAAATACTTGATTAAATTTATACGTTTTTGGAGCGCTTGTGATAAATTATGAGTACGGTAGTTTTTATAATGCGTGTGTACACCGACAGCCAAAAAACGACATGATGAAGTTCGTTGCAAAGGGACCAATCTTCGACCAATTTCACGGTATTACGATGGCCACCATGTAATACCATGATAATTCTCCGGACGGAAGACTGTTGCATAGTCCTACTAAAGTTAAAGTAAAAACGTGATAACGTAAAAACTACCAACCAGTACGGTTTTTATGTTGAACATTGAATTACATAGGTATTTTCAACATTTTTTATTACAATCAAACAATTTGATATTATAAACGGTAATATGATTTCAGTTTTATAACAGTTGAGGAAGAGAATTATGAATGATATTGATTAAAACATACACAATTTAACAACAATACCATTTATTTAGATATACATATAGTGTACATGTAGCAACAATTATAGGAATATTTAGGCTAAGTTTACACATTATAAGTGACCAAAAATGTTTACGATAAACACTAAATTTCGAAACGCTACATATTACATAGGTTTAATAAACTTCAACATATCAATCAACACAATAAATAACATTGCTACCATATATATTTGTGTCCAAGGAAGACGTTAAACATAATTATGATACTTCATGACCTACATTGACGATGAAAATATATTCTTGAGCTGCTCTAATTGGTTTATAACATTACAATGCGTATATATATATTATATATATATATTTTTAATAATCACAATGAAACAGATTAAGACTCGCGCATTATAAACTAGAAAAAAATGGCATAACGTTATATATTCGTTGCTCGTGGAGCCACTGTTATAGGTATCCATAAAAAATTGCAGCAGCAATAAATAATGCGAATTGTGCATTTTTACAGGCCTTCGCTCTACATCGTAAATTTTTCTCGTTCTTGGCAGAATAAATATTTAGCAAATTATAATAAGAGCTAAATAACTAAACCAACTACATATTTACATATACGATTTTAATTTGACAGACAGTTTCATTCGAATTTTGAAATTATCTATAATGATTACTACTCCTTTCACATTCATTTATAACAGAAACAATCCCTAAGATAAAAGTACGAAACGATATTTATATAAAATTTGCAAGTTATAACAATATTTACCAAGTTTTTATAAAACTTGTAAGCAAAACACATTTAGAGACATCACATACGTAGGTACATGCTAGCTCTACAATTTTTATTGTCATTGTCACACTTAATACTTATTTACCTAATTAAACTCTAATGTTAATGATTAGAAGTATACGAAGAAACAATTATGAATTTTATATATTTAAAATTTTTAATTTTTTAACGTTAACTCTTTCACAACAATTCAATATTATCGACATACCTACCAATAATATAAAAATTAAAAAAAAGTATAATGTAAATTAAATACAACAAATATCAATTATCTGTAATGATACGTAACGTAAAGATTACTATAAAAGAGCGTAAATAAGCCGTATAAAATATACTATATTAATGTATAAAAAAAAGTCATATACTTACTTTCAATATTGATACAGATTATACTATTATGTTTATTCTGTATTATAAGTACTTATTGATTTCTTGTTCAATTTTTAAGCGAATATTAAACATGGTTAAATGAAACTATTTTATAAATTTTATCTGTATAATAGTTTCATGCATAATAGTTGTATTACCGATGATGTGATAAGCAAACCCTTTCAGAAAAACTAAGATTAAGAAATTTAGTTATATTGATGTTTTTATCACAAAAATAAGTTAGCATCAAATCGTATAATATATATTTTGAGTTATATACAGGAAACAAAAAAATGTTAATCTAACTATGAACAAAAGATAAATTTTGATTTTTAAGTTATAAATTATTATTTTATGTTAACTTTATTAATTATTATGAAAACTTTGAAATTGCAAAACATGCTCAGAGCATTATAGTAATTCTACTTGCTAACACGTTTAACAATCATAATACGATTATTGTACTTACATTATCATCTTCAAATTAACGTAATTGCAAACAAATATAAATACATGCGTGCACACAAACAATCACAAAATATTTCTCATTTAGACAATCTGACATCAACAGCACATTGAAAGCAATCAAAAGAGGGACACTAGTTCATAACAAGTTAACAACTACAATTTGACTTTTCCTAATACAACGTCATATTTATTACTTTATTGCCTAAAATACTTAATCCTATAATGGAAGACATTTATACTCTCGATAAATACATTACACGTCAGAATTCTACTAAATAATACAATTCGATCACATCAACACTAACATAGCCATATATTGTTAGCTAATAGATATATGTTTTATAAAAATATGATAAAGCTGACCTTTTAAAAGAAATCGGGCGGGCCGTCACAAGTGTAATAATTACGCAATAATAATAGCGCAAAATTTGCGATGAATCTAATTTCAAAGTCAATGTAGGTAAATCCTTAAACGAAAACCATAACAGACGTTGAGACAGACTCAAAAGTGATAACAATTTCACATATATATTATGATACGATACAATACAGTTATATTATCTACGAGATATTGAAAGACGGCTTCTGTCAGCGAATAACCGATCCAATAAGATAAAATTAATTATGATCTTTTATTTACACGAAATAATAAAAGTGTTAATAAATCATATAAAAGAGATCCTTTCCATACCACGATGAGAATTTGTTCATCGAAGCGTTTTCACTACTCTTTTCGAATGGCATTGTAAAATCGGGATAATGATCCCATAGACGCCGTCCGACATTTGTGTTCCTACCACGTAAAGCGAAGTACGAAAATACCACAACAGGATTCGAAAATATTACATTATTAAGAATACATGGAAATATAGTTCTTTATAGTCTGTGTAATTTTTTTTTTAAATCTGATAAAAAGGGAACTATATAAATAGGACAGAATAATTTGGGGAAATTCCCACGCATTATTTTCAAAATAATAATACCTACCCAGAATTCGCGTTCATAACTTTAAAAATATAGAAAAACATAACCGTTTGTCACGCAAACTCAAAAATATTTTTACTGAGGTCATTTTTTTCTGTTATTATTTAGTATTTTACCGTTTACTTTATTTTGGATCTCTATCATTAAATTTTGTTTCAAAAGAATTAATTTGGTACAGAATTTGAAATTGTCAAAAGTATAGATATAGATATATCGACTGAAGTAAAAAAATAATATTTAAGCGTTACTAAATTTAACCTATAGAGCAGTACAAATAACACGAGTTACAGTTCAGATAGAGACAGGTGAATTTATAAGATGAACACAGAAAAGATGTAGACAAAACATTAATAAGGTTTTCCCGCCGTCGAGTGACGGACTAGGTCACAGATTAAAAACGCTCGATGGTTTTTAGTCGACGACGATATCATGGCCGAGGCGGTCCATCTCGGAGAGGAGGAAGTCTACGTCCCGCTCAGTGACCGCTGCCGACGAGATGATGTTGCGGAAGAAGTTGGGCCGACGGTCGTCCGGCTGGTAGCCCACCATCAGAGTGCCTGTCTGCATCATGCGCCCCTTCAGCTTGGCGCACACCTGAGCCGTTCACGATTTAATTAACCGTTATGACTGAGTTACTAAATTAGAGTATTTTTACTGGATTTATCACAGTTACCTACGCCCGGTTTCTGAAACACTGATCATCGTAGAAGTTAACTAAGCAGCTGTCAAATGGCTTTTCAAATGTCATTTGTGTTGCCAAAAGAATTGTTAATCTCTCTGAATTGATCGGAATGATCTTCTTAATCATCAGAATGATTAATTCTAAGAGTCGCGTGTACAGGACCGTTAGTATTATGTAAACGTGTACTTTCAAAGTCAAAATCACAGTCAATAAGAGCTTAAGTTAAGCCTATATTGAACAAAGTATTACCGAATCCAAGCTTCCCAAGACGGAGAACTAGCGCGGCAATATAAAAAACAAAAGATACTTTGACTTTGTGCGACGGACTGCACCAACCTTGCCAAGCTTGATCTCCTTGTCGCGGTTGTGCGGGAGGCCGCGCAGCTGTCGCGGCAGGTACCAGAAGGACACGTTGACCATCTCCGGCTCCAGGATCAGGTGGAACTTGTCCGGCTGCTCGCGGATGCGGCGTACCATGTACTCGGACAACTCCATCAGACGGTCCATCAGACGCTCGAAGCCAGACGTACCCTGTGTCGGAGAGACAAGTGGGTAGTATATTTACAGATAACTTTGGTATGGCCATCGCAACAGACTTGCACGAATGGCCGGGCCCATCTGATTAAGTGAAACGACCTCGCAGAAGACCGCCGGCGCGATGTGGAAGTGTTTTGTTCCTGCGTTTCGTCTGGTGAGTGATGAAGCCGGAGTCCACTTTATTAAGTGGCAAGGCATCTGCAACCATACGGGTGTTGCAAATGCCCATGGGTGGCGGTTATTGCTTAATGTCAGGTGAACCGCCGGCTCGTTTGCCGCCTTCTCACATAAAAAGTGTATTTGTCAGTTGGTCCGTCTCGAAAATAAAACTATCAACAGAACGCCGTGTCCCTGGCGAAGAACGCGAATGACATCGCCGCACAAGGCTACTGGCCTTGGGGCCACGGATAGTGTATGTAGTGTATGTAGATGGAACCCGAAAATAACATGATTTACCTCGTCCTGCTTAAATATAATTAGATTCATATTATACATATGTTTAGTAAGATCTCAATTCGTCACTGCCACCTCATTACCTGTTACATGTTTGCTTGTAACAAAACTACCTTATCCGCACCCTAATATCACACATAATTCTATGACCTATAGACGACTATACTGGACCCATTTTTTGTAGAGAAAATTTTACTTTAACATATCCAACTATTATCCAATCGGTTTTGGGATCAATTGAATTTAGTTGAAACACGAATAATATAGTCTATCGCTTTCTATCCCTTTATGGTCGAAAGCAGCAAGAGCGACCCACCTTGCCCCTCCATTGCAGCCACAGCTTGAATATGTCGTTGTGGCGGCCGCACTGGATGACCTTGTCGCCGGTGTCGAAACGAGGGTCGTAGATCTTATCAGTCATGAACAGGTATTCGGCGGACATCGCGTTGCAGCTCAGCAGTATGCCCTGGACCGTCAAATTCAACCGTTTAACACAACGTTCAACAATTTTTAGTGGTCACAAATACAAGGCGAATATTTTGCATTCGATAAAATAGGGCGTAATAAACAACACTTATTTACCTAATTGCAAATTGAGTGTTTCTTCAAATTACACTCTTAAAATGCAAAATGTAATCTTTAAAAATTATAACTCGACTGACTTTTTACTTATAACTTCATAGGAATATAATAATAGATAAAAAAAAGCCTTGGAAATTTCCTTTTTCAAGAAAAGCTGACAAAGCAGGTGGTTCTATGATGTCACTCAGATGAATTATAATTATATTAATTAGAGAGTTTAAAAACTTTTTGTGTAATTTATACTTAGTATAAACGTTTTTAATTTAGTATTAATTCTAAAATAAAAGAGTATAGTTGCAAATTAGCAGAGAGATACTCTTCTGTTTCGACAATATACAATATTTATAATTTTCGATATTTAGTTAGAGCAATAAAAACCTGTCTATGTCATCCGATGTCAGTAATGAGTAAATAATAACTATTTCTGCAATGCCTCCAAATGATTTTTGCCAACAATAAAAAGGAATATGAAAATTACATGCCGAAATAATTAATTCATTTTTCAAATGATATCTCCAACAGACTAAAAAATGAAGTTTAAGAATTATTAAAAACAAAGGTACTTTCTCGAAATAATTTCTTTTAATGAACAAGTTATTCATTTTCGTATCACAATATTAAAATTAACTTCAAACTGTATTTCAAGGTACTTTTCAGACCACGAACGTAAACAAATAAGGGCTTAGACAAAAGCAACCTGTCCATGGCAAACATAACAAAATATCAATCTTGCACCGCATTGAATATCTTGAAATTCCTCTACAGAAGACCATTTCCAATTTCTTCGAGCGAATTCGGATTTTCTGACTTCAGTGGTAAGGGCGATATTGCCTTGGGGTGGTTAAAGTTATTCCGGGGACATTACGACTTGTAAACGTCAGCTCAATATGCCTAGCAATAAATTTTCCCAGTCCCCGCCCCTTTGGCTGTGTTGTTCTAGTGTTGTAAATTAAAATGTCGATATACTACCATTATTTAGCTATGGTAGCCCTATAGCCAAGATCCAAGAGCTGGAGACAAAAAGCCATGAATAGATAGGACTTGCTTGACAAGGCTAAGGCCACTGGACACCATCGCCTGGTGTACTATGTCCTAATATAATCTGTGCACAACAGACATTTACCTAGCAGTGGAAAATATAACGTATTGGCTGAGTTAACTTTTAGGATTTGGTACCTACTAGAAACGCTGCAAGAAATCAATTTATAAAATTATGATGCGTTTTAAATTTTTAACAATATTAGATACTTGGAAAAAGTACAGGGCTATTATCATAAAAATCTATGTCATTATAATTCGTACAAACTTTATTTAGATAAAATGAGTGGTTTGGTTATGCTTCTCGGAAGATTCTGATAATTTATCTCAAATCTGTTAATAAACACAGTTTGTTGAACCGATGCACAAATTAGGATCGTAACATAAATAAAAAGATAACGAGGGTTGGCGCTGGCAACACTGTATACCGGATATAATGTTATCTACTCGAGTCAAGGGACAAATGATCGCATGGAGCAGCGGTCACTTGAATTCCGGCTGCGTTCCCGGAGGGTGATATAACCACTAGTGTTGCTTGTCGTTATAATAGTTGTTAATATTCAAGTTCATTAATAGTTAAAATATTAGAATCGAGGTAAAAACGTTAGAACTCTTAATGAAGGCAAATAAAATAATCTTATTGATGAAGGAACATAACATACATCCTATCTATCGATATATGTAGTGGGCCATCACTAAAACCGAACGATATCGGCACGCGCCACTTTTAATTAAATTCCTCTCCCGACACTTACAAACATATGTTGCCAATTTCGTCCCCCCCCTCTGTACGCATCCTAAGCCAAACGAACCCGTTTCTGTTTGGACATAAGGCCTGTATTCCCCTGCTATACTGTTGCCTTTTATAACCTTTAAAAAGTGACTGTTGTGTCAACAACAGGGTTGTTTAGGCGCCAGTGGTGGCTTCCGACGATTAGCCCTTAATACGACGTATTAAGATTATTATTTAACATTAAATAACGCAGAAGATTATTCGCAGATTCCGTAGTTAAGTGACTCTGCTAACGGGCTCTGATGGAAAATTTCGTTCTGAAATATTACAACTCGTCCGCCGTATCTCTTTAATCGTTCCGGTAGTTCCGGTAGTTAGTTATTTTTCGAAACCACTGCGCCTTTATGTTAAATTCTTTCATGAAATATTTTATACAAGGATTTCACTGCAAAACTCAAATTGAACCTGGTCGAAGCTTGGGCGGAACGGTAGTTAGTTATTATTGGTCATTTCTTATTTAGATAACATTCATCATCATCATTTCGTCCCCAAGACGTGATATATCCCGAAGACTTGGGTTCGATTTTCACAGCGGCAAAAAAATTACGTTACTGCTTTTTTCAATCATCATTTCAGCCTGTTTAAGCCCACTGTTGAACATAGTCCTCCCACTGCCAGGAGGCGTGATCGTGAACCGTGCATAAATCGACTTTAGATTTTGCATAGGATATCACAGCATCTAGTGGGGGTCGTACTAAACTGTGATGACCAATACGAGGCATTTTTTCCCCATCAGCTATCGATTCCGGGTCATTGCTCAGAATGCTATGGAGAGCACGATTCTCGGTCCATACCGAGCCATCCTCAGTAGAATACTGGTAAACGAGATTGCTCAGAAGATTGGCAGACAATATTAACCCTGTAAAGTATGTATGATGACTCGATGGCGCCGTTGCTAAGCTATTGGCTTCAGCATCGAGTGTCCTGGGTTCGATTCCCACACGGTACAAGTATTTGTTTGACCCACATATAATTGCCTCGGTTATAGGTGACGTCAGGCAGGCCGGTCGTAAAAAAACATAGCCAAAACCGCTTACAACAAGATTCACATGTTGCACCGACCCCATCTAGTTGGGTTAAGGGCAGGAATATAATGATGATAATATACAGGTATGTATTGATACTATAGAATCTGTTGTTATATCAATACTGAAAGATGCATCAAAAGGGCTTACAGAGTGCATTGTCAGCTCATACTTTATTGAATGAAATCTCGAAAGCGTCTCCCAGATGAAAATTATTTGTTCTTTATAAAAAAAGTGCATTAAACGTGCCTCCAAAATTTGAAAATTTTGATCGGAAATTCGAACAATATCACTTTTTGATCTGGTAAATCCTAAAAGCCAAAGCAAAAATAAATATTCATACTTTAAAGGGAAATAATTTGGGACAAGTTGTCAGGTTGATAAGGTTGTCAACGTTTCCGTCGTTTCGCTAACGATTCCAAATGGTGTAAAAGTAGTACAGAAAAGTAGTACTAAAACAAGGATAACCACTCACCTCGTGACGGAAATGCACGGTGGAGCATTGCAGCAGGGTGCCCATCAGCTTATGCGGGTTCCAGGTCACCGAGTTGGCCCTGAAGTTAAAATATTACTTCAATAAAGCTGAAAATTTCCTTATACTTCAAACCTATTGATTCATTTGAAAGGCGAGCTCGCCCAGGTACTATATACATTTTAATCTAGATAATATATCTAATTGTATATGTCATAATATTAATCTTCTTTCTCCTGCCCTTATCCCACATTACCTGGGATTGGCACAACATGTCCTTTCCTTCCACTCTTCTCTATCAGCCATCATCTCGGCCCTTTCAAAGACATATAATTCTTCATCAGTCCATCCAGATCTTGTGTTAAAATAAATAAATAAGTCAAATTTAAGCTTCATTACTGGATATAATTTCAAAGGTCCTCATTCTGTTTTAAACATTTTACCTATGATGTTAATATATTCAAAATTCACATTAAATAAGCATTTTATGAAATGATATACTAGTATTTTTTATACTTGTATTTTTACGCCAACACTTCATCTTATTAAATATAACAACATAAACAGGTTTTGTCGCGGTTAAGTAAATTTATGAATACTTTCCAGCATTTAAGGCCATCCCAATGCGTCTTTAACCTGAACTATAGGTTATAAAATATTGTTAATTTTAGTCCGATCAGCGCGGTTGAAACAGTTCAACATGACATTAATTTTAAAAATAAAAAGAGTATCTTAATTTAACTAACACTACATAACAACAGCTCTACAATTCGCCAGTTTGCAAAGTGTGAGTGAATTTTAAAGTAAATCAGTCTGCTATCTTCTATTGACACAGTTGCCGGGGCCTGCATGCGTTTTAGGCTAATCCCTACTCTTCAATGTTTAAGGGTCGACGCGTGTAGGCTGCCGAGTATCACACCGTAAAGTACATCGAATATTTTCAGTTATCAGAAATACGGGAATACTGACAACTGTCCGAATGCCTATAAATTGCAATATTCTATTATCTTAGTTTTCCGCTTATTTAGATATTGACGACGCCAAGAGCAAGAGATAAAAAAGAACATTCCGGAACCTTTTCCTTATCACATTTTTAAGTTATTTTTAGTTTTCTTTATAAAACTAGAACTCTAGTTTTATGAAGAAAACTAGAATAAATGTAAAGCCAAGCTTAAGAAACAAAATTTAAAATAAAAAAATTTAGATAAAATATGTTGAGATTTTTGTCAGTTTGGCAACTAGCTTAGTTTAGTGGTTAAAGTGATGACGTAAGAAGACGTAGGTTCGATCCCCGCAGCAACGAAAAACTTTTTGTCATTTTTTCTACAAAATTTTAATGTCTACAAAATCTTAAGTGCACAGATTAGCACTACAAAGAATAAAATTTTTAAAATAAACTATTAATAGTCAACATTAATAAATAGGTAAGAATATATTTTAAACACCCCACACTTCGGTACCCATGACGGTGTGAGCAGTGACCTGCTTTATAGCGCTCCGGATGATAAATGAGCGACGGAGCCGGGAGCGAAGCTAAGTCGATGGTTTTTTTTTTGTTTTTTACCAAGAGGGAAACGGTTTTAATTGATTGTCGGAGTTTACGGCGGCGAAGGGTGGTTTAGATTGACAGATAGACTGCGTACCGTATCTATACAGTTAAAATGTATATCGTGAGGAATATTTTACGTACACCAGCGTTTCATATGTTGCGAAAAAAATTGGAGTAAAAGGAACAAAAAAAAATTTTTTTCCCACATACCTCAAGATTCAGTGCGAAGGATTTATTGTTTTGTCTTTCAACGGCACCAATTAATACATTTAATAATCCGGGATCCCAGGCCTATTTTCACCTTTTATAACTAACAAGCAGATCATTTGTGAGTAGCTTCATTTTGACGAGACGCCCAACTTTTTCTTTACAACAATTTTGGTAAACGGTCGCCAACAGGGTTAGCAGAGGTGAAATATGTTGATTTGACGAATTCGAAAAATTTATTACTAACTGAATTTTTCTTTATTCATTCCCAAGATAATTCTAAATAAACCGAAAAAAATATTTTTCCTACAAAATTCAAAGTTTCTGACACGTACGTCATATGTTTTAAATTTGTACGTTTGTAATTGTTTTGATCCAAATATTGTTTTTATTCGACAATGGCAGTAGATTTTAATCGATAAATGATTCTCATTTGTCCCGAAATAACGATGTTACTGTTAAAATGCGCACAAATAGCTACGTACGTACGTAAATAACGAACTACCAAAATGAATAAGAAACAAAAATAAATGTAGAAAACTGCTACAATTATTGAGTGACGTCGTGTTGCCGTGACGTTGAAGTGACGTGCGAACTTTCCGGTTGCTACGACCCGTGCTACGGGATGAGAGCTTTCTAATCCCACGCGTAGGGTTGGCTCGCGTAGGCGCGTTCGTAGCAAGGAGTTATTAGTGTGTTTTATTTAGGAAATTATCGCGGTTCAATTGGCGGAATATAAAGTCCAATATTTAGGTTTTATTTCGCAATAATATGATTTATCTCGATTGGCAATTATTTAGTTTAATTAATTTGCAAATCTTTCAAGCGATTCATAAAAAAATTATATTCAATACAGGAGTTTTCATATTTCAAATAAACCATAAATAATAAAGAAAAAAAAATATGTTTAAAAATAATTGCAACGTGAACTTTAATATAAATATCCCACATTTTTCTACATATTTCAAAAAATCAACACTAACAATAACTGCAAATGGGTTGTGGGTTTGATCCTCACTACCGGAAAATTTGTGTGTATAATATGGTGTTTTTCCAGTGTCTGAGTGTTTATATATTTAAAATATGTATTTATTCACAAAGAATAGTATGTTTATCAGTGATCTAGTATACATAGCACAAGCGTTGCTTGAAAAGAATGTAGTGTAAAAATGTGTCAAAAAAAAGGAAATAAAAATTAAGCGTAAGTACAACACTTATTTTTTTGGATCCAATTAACAAACTGAATAATGAAAAAAATGAGCCGTCACGGGACGCTTGGCAGATGTGAAACATCGACATTATTTGGTAAAAGTAATATGCAGAAAAGAACTGATTGTGATAGGAACTAAATATTCTTAATGATAAAATAAAATATTACGATTTTTTTTTTCACATAACGATGACTATTTATTGAATAAACATTTATTTTCATTAAATACAAAAATTTACGAATTTATTTCAAATCGTGACTACTTAATTCGTTTAATCAGAAACACAATTAATTAAAGTTAATTTAATTAATTAATAATTTATAAATAATTATTAACAATTAATTTAAATTTTTGTAATTAATCGTACACACTACTGCATATAGACTGTATAGAAATCGGTTTTACGTGCGGCTATAGACGTTTCATATCAATATTCCAGCGCATTATAAACCAATATCCAACACAACCCTATTTCGCACGTCACACGGTCGCCGCGCAAGGCTCTACGAACGGATTTCGCACCCCCGCCCCACCACCGATCCCCATCCCCCGGCGGCATCGGCATTTAGCGCGGCCATGATTGATGGCGGCTAATGGCGGGAATGGTGGATTAATTCGCCGAGCGGATTCCGATGTGTTTTATTACTGCGCAGGGTTTAAAAGGCGGTCTGGCGGAAGAGATGCCGACGCGATTCCAGATCGCGAGACCGAACGCGAGTGGCTCGGGGGGCCGAGTTTTCTGGTTTTCGGATAACCTTGCAGAAATCAATGTCACAAACTATTCTATTGATCGAGATGTGCCTTCATTTGTGTTACACCTGATGAAAAGTTCATTTGCTTCATTATGCTCTTACTATTCATCGATATGTTATCTTTTGTGAGAAGGTGGTAAGTGAGCTGACGGTTCATCTAAGTTAAGTGGTACCGCCGCTTATTGACAACACCACCCCACGGATTGCAGTGATGTTGCCATTTTATAATAAAGTAGAACTATAACACTTCCACTTTACGTCGGTCTTTTGTGAGGTCGTGGTCTTACCCGCATGGACCTCCATTCGTGCAACAGCGAAGACTATTGCATGGCCCTACCACAGTTAGGGCTATATCTATCTACCATGCGTAGTTATATTAAATTAATTACTGTTAAATGCTCAATTTTTTGTTATATTTTAACCGTACCCAATATTTAATGTGCTTATGCTTACCACATAGAAAGAATTTAAGATGAAAAATAGATGCCTTCGAAGAATTGGAATAGAAACTGGCTCACTCTGAATAGCTAATAAGCTCTAAATAGCTCACTCACCTCTCGATGCCAGTCAGACGAGGGTGGCGGTACTTCTTGGAGAACAGCAAACCACCGCCCCAAGCAGCCTGCAATAGTAATTTAGTATTAATACTGACCGCCCGAGTGTTATGTGTACAATATACGATGTATTGTACATATATTTATTTAGGATCCATGGTTATATGTATTATGTTTATTAAGTTTAGTTATTATTATTATTGTATTGTACAAATTGTTCTAAAAATAAAATTAAATAACAAAAAAGCGATTTTGTTCCCAGAGTAACCAGTTTTCATTGTGAATCTTAAAATAGGTCCTTCTAGCCGGATAGTCGTTCGTTTACTACACAAAATTAAGAATCAAATGACTTTCTTTGTTTTTATAACACGATGTTTACTTAAACATCAATCAAAATTTCTTTGTAAAATGAGATTAGAACTATCTTTTTTAACCATGAGAACTAGTTGCACGCACTCGTGCTTTTAAGGCCTTATACGAAACACTTACGTCAACGTGCATCCACATGTCGTACTTCTGGCAGATGTCGGCTATCTCCACGAGCGGGTCGAAGGCGCCGAGCACCGTGGTGCCCGAAGTGGCGTTAACGAAGAAAGGCACCTGCGCGAGAGAGAAGACTTTTATTCTTCTCTCTTGTAGAGAAAGAAAGGCTGGTAAATTTTAATCTAGATTCACACGCCTATCCAAAGTCTCAATATTCGATTATTTAAGTTGTTGGAGCCGGACAATGCAGCGACTTCTGCTATCCACGGATGGAATACAGTTATCACTGTTTGACAGAAGCTCAAAGCGAAGGCATTTAGAGTACTGCATGCCATCCGTTAAAGAACCTACTGGAGCATGTGATCGGATTTTTCATTGGCCATTTCTTTTTAATTAAAATAAAACTAATTTCTTTTTCTGTCAGTAGGTAACACCTGTAACGATCCAGTGTAGGATACTCCACGTGTAGGGTGCTTGAAATTTTTCAGCTTGCAATAAATAGCAGCTTGAAGTGTTGCAGCCTAAGCTTACGTTGCCACGGTCCTTGTGGTAGCGCACGAGCCTCTCCAGTTCGGTTGGCAGCATGCGCCCGCGCTCGTCAGATGGCACGCACACGCAGTAGTCCGTGCCAAGGCCGCAGACAGACGCGCAGGACTTCACCGAGTAGTGGCACTGACCAAGCGATACCAAACAGTAACACTGATGAAACTGGTAATACAAGGAATGTTGTAGAAGTCCGCAGAAAATATAGTCTAGATGAGAAGGTCCTTCAGCCCTGTAGTACTGGGCTCATGGAATACGGCTAAGTTATCCCATGCCTGTCGTAAAAGGAGACTAAAAGAGGACGTCAGGTTCATAGACTGGCAATAGTACGTAGTGCTGTTTTGTTAGTCTATGCAAGATAGTCAGGGTAAGGGGAAGGTTCACTTCTCCGAGGCGTGCTCAAGCGCAGTACCGAGGGACACCGGTGCGTTCCGCAGGAGATCCCGGAGTCCCTCTAAACTTACAGGTGCCGAAGGTGGCCACCGAGGGGGTTTTAGTGTGTATGAGCCCCATATAACCCTGTCAAGTGAGAGGGGACAGCGTATCTTTTGAATATTTCCCCCCGAAAACAAAAAAAAGTTTGAGAAGTTTAACATGAGGCATTTTCCTTTCTTTTTTTTAAAGCATTGCCCGTCCTGTAGGATAACATTATCATGTGTTGTAAGAGCGTTTTACAAACATAAATTTCACGTGGACAAACACCCAGATCGGAAACAAATATCCGTGGGTCACACAAGTACTTGTCCCGTGTGGGTATCGAAACCGCGACCCCCGTCGCCGAAGCCAATACCTTGGCAACCACGCCTCAAAGTTCCCAAAGAGTGATTAGCACATTATTGGTGTGAAGTTATGCGTATGAAACGTCAGAAAATAATATAAACAAGAACTAATAACACAGTTACAACGAGGTCAAGTAGTCAAGGGGCGTCAGTAAAAGACGTACCTGATCGGACGTGAACATGACCAGCTGACCGGGGATGCTGGAGAGACCCTTCTCCTTGTACTGCGGGAACTTGTGATGGCGCGCCGCCAGGAACGCGTACAGGTTCGAAACCGAACCGCCTGTGCAACCACGAGCTTTATTGCAGACTTTTTAAACTTATAAGTCAACAACAGATGTTGTCATTTTAAAAACTCTAAAATCTATGAAACTAAAAATAGAATGTAAAACGACGTCGGGTTAATGTGATATGACCGTTCAAATGAATGAATGAATGGATGAGTGAATGAATGAATGAATGGTTTAAGACCGTTCAAAGTCTTACAACTTGTCATTTTGATCCATAAAGTGTAACGGGAGACTGAAATCTGTATAAAACCTGTCGAAGCATATTGCAAGTATTTTCTTCTTACAGTGATTCGTCATGATTGTAATTACCAGGTGCGAGGATAGAGTCGCCGCTCTTCCACCCGATCATCGAGCGCATCTTCTCCAGAACAACGTTCTCCATCAGGATGAAGACTGGCGCGATCTCGTAAGTGAACATGTTGGTGTTGGCGGCTGCAGTGAGCCACTCGCCAGCCAGCGAGATGATGTCCAGGCCGCACGACAGCTGGTTGAAGAAGTGCGGGTGTCCTAGGAAAGCCAAGTTACATAAAACTTAAGAGTTACATAACAAATTCCGTTGATTACGTTGATGTGCCTCAACCCGAGCAATTTCTGAGAAAATGTCTTATCGATTGATAAAAACCAATTTTATAAGTTTTAACAGTAATAACAATGAATAATTAAACTCCTAGTTTCATAATTTCGCTTTTAAGTTTGTACTGCATAAAAATGCAAGATTTTATTTTAATGTGTAAGGTTGCCAAGCGAGCAGACGGTTCATCTCATGTTAAGTTTAGTAACCGGGGAAAATAAACCATGTAGTGATGAACAGACAACTTTTATAGGTCGCGGAGTAACCATATATTTTTAATTGAAGTTCACGAAAATATGTTACTGAATCGCATAATACTACGTGAAGTTATTCTACATTGGTAATTTTAGATATTATTTCTAAAGTCTCATTCTCAATAGCCTTAACCTTACAAAAGCTACCCTCCGTTTTTCTATCTTCAGTTTCCTCCAAAAAGCATATCTAACGGAAATGGAAACAACATGACCGCTACAAGCAACCGGAAGTAATAGCTTGCACGGCCGCACAGCCTGATTGTCAATATACCTCCGGATATTCAACCATTTTCACGTGAGCCTCATAAAAATATCGCTATATTCTTTTATCATTGCATAATTTTTCAGTACTACACATTTCTTATTACATAAAGTGCATACATTTTTTAATATATTTGATTTTATTTTAGATATTTTTGGAAAACTTACAGCTAAAACAGTCATTGTTTGATCAAATTTAACAAAATTAAAGGCCAATTACAAGTTTTCACTATTACATATATACGTCATACATTGGATTATATACGTCTAGTACGCAATTATTTTTTTGGAATATTCTAGAGGACTAAATGAAGACAATTACTTTTCAAAAAATACTGCTTCACTAATTTAATTCTATTTTAAACAATAAAGAAGTAACAAAAAATGTTTCATATAAAATATCAACTTTGCAAGAAGTTTTATGACATAAAATAGTAAATACGAGGTAAGTTTTTAACTTATTTTTTATAACCGCATTAAACAATAAACGCCCCTCAAAAAGACTCCGAGAGGGAATCGTCGTATATAATTTATGTGTCAATCTTCCCGCGCTTTCCGGTACAGATAATATTTAGAGATTGTTTTTTTATAACAGATACATGACGATTTCGGGAAGTCAGTCTCATTTTACTGATTTTCTGGGTGAGATATATTCGTTGTCCTCATTTATAATGTTTATCTGATAACGTCGTAGATCATGTTTAAACTTAAGGAACTTATCTTCTGTGAAACACATTTTTTAAAATACTTTAAAACAATTTCATGGTTTTGGCGTTAATAGACAAACGTTTAAATTATCTCGGCACACTATGGGGTATTAAGTGTGTAATATTCGAAGTGTAATATGTAGTACCTATTTACTTCTCTTAAAACTTGGAACATTAATAATTATTGCAACCTCCATTTATCAAAGTCCTTAGAACCATAATCTCTATGTCAGAGCTTTTGAAACCTCTGTCATAGATTCTAAACGGAGACTATTTATAAGTCATCGTAGTCAATATTGAACTATGTAGCTCCAACAAAACTCTACTGGCCCTGGCAACAATTTCATTCAAACATTATTTCAAGATACACGATGATATTTTAAAGCTTCCACGAAACGGTGGTAGGGCCACGCACGTGTCCGCTGTTTCACGAATGGGCAGGACCATCCGGTTTAGTAACATGACCTCAAAGAAGACCAGCATGAAGTAGAAGTATTACACTTCTGCGTTTCGTCTGGTGATTGAGGTTGCCGGGGCCCATTTTATTAAAAGGTGGCAACGCATCTGCAACCCTACGGGAGTTGCAAACATCTTTGCCACTTTGTCACATAAAAAAAAAAAGAAGGGACTATTAATAAATGCGACTTTATTCTCACTGCATCATTCCGAAACCCCCCACAGAAGTTTCTTGTACAATCGCGTTCATTTAATTTCCGTGCGGTCTCAACAACCGACAGCATATCGCGGCCATCTCATTTCCTCGAGGCTTTGAAAAACTATCAAATGATAAAGTGAGAATTTGGGTGCACCGCGACGCTCCCCTGGGCAGGGTTATCTGTTGACGCAGGCGAGGGTGTGAGCGAACGGAATTAAATCAAAACCCTGCGCACGAATATAAATTAGGCGCATTGTCCGACTTTGGGGTTTGAGATGAGTTTATCGTTCGAATCCATATTGTTTGTACCGGTTTTTGCATTTGAATAATACTGTTTATAGTTAGTTAATATATAGTTTCTCGCAATAATAAATTCATTTTAAAAGTTTTCAATGTTTATACGTATCGTGTATTAAAGCGATGTAAAATGAGATAAAGTATTGTTTATTTTTCACTCTTATTAAACTTGTGTCCATAGGATTCGTTCGCAAACAGATAATTAATGATTATAATTTAAAAAGACAACCGAGTGTCTCTTGAGCAAACAACTTTAATTTGATCAAATCCCTAAGAAAAAATTTTGAAGTTAACTTGTATACTATTTACGATACCAATGTCAAATATCCTTCTACTAATATTCTACGTTTAACCGCTCTTTATACAAAATTTTAACAATAGAGTATAACGTATGAATTATTTAATTGTGAGCTTTATTTGTACAGCGACAAAGATGGAATTTGCGCAAAATTGTCAGGGTCGGAGCTGCCAGTACAAGAATAATATTAATTCGTCAAGAGGAATTTAATATAATCCCCTCGGTACGCGAGCAGATGGGGTCGCAATTAATTCGGGTTCGCCAAGTCAGGTGTTGCCATAATTCCGATTTAATCTGCATTTTAGAGGGCAGCATTGGTGTGGGGTGTTTTTTTTGCAGTGAAATTACTTGTTTGAATGTTTGCACAGTAAATTCCTATTGATATTAGCAGCGTAAATATTACAAGGTCCATTTTATTAGATAAGTTTATATGTACGACGTTATTATAATATTAATTTTATGTTTAAAATAACAACAGCTTAAAGAAAACAAAAAAGAAAATAAATTAAACTTACTAAGAAATTACGTTTATATCTCGCAAATCAAGTGAGTTATAGTTTTAATGTTAAAGTTTAATGCGCGAATAATAAATACAGAAACATATATGTATACCATTAATATAATATTGGATTAAGCGCTTTTTAAGAGATGAGTGAATGTAAAATATAAAACAACAACATAAAAACAACAAAAAATACGAATGTTATATAGAATTGAAAAGTAAGTGGATTTCTTAAAATATATAATTTATAATTAGTGTAATCATATAATATAAAGACACGAGCATAACAGACATAACGAAAATTCATAAAAGCCGTACACCCGATAGTAAGATTTGGTGATATTGTGGGTGTTATTTTTTAGACTAGAGAGTAAACTACTACATAAAAGCATGTAAAAAGGGGCGCTATGAACATTTTTAGACATATCTTATCGGCACGTCGCGGCCAGAAAAATATATCGCAACAGATAACCCTTGACACAAGAGCGCTCTTCAAGTCAATTCGGCATCGTTTCAAGCCCACTTATCTCTCACCACCGAAATCCCATGGGAACCCTCCCCCACGCGAAGGATCATAGCCACATTTCCTTTGTATGTACAACATTTTAGATACAAACCAATAGAAACCTTATACACAAACGGCTAAAAGCGAAACGTACAACTTTTGACATGGTCACGTGGCAAGCTGTCAAACTGACAGCAATCAGCGGCCATTGTGACGTTTCGTTTGCGAAAGAATTAGTCTGTGTAACCACAAACAATCAAACGTAGTGATTACATTCTCTTTGCCAACAATGTTTAGTTAGCGTTCAAATATTACCTGTTATAGAATTTAGTGAACGATATTTATTACATTTTAAATGTAATCATTATTGGAAACATGAGGTCCAGATCATTTACTTGTTTTTACGAACTTACTAGAGGTTAGTGCCATTTACTTGGAGTATCAAAAAATGAAGAAACGCTAAAATAACGCTCACTTTGTTTTTATAAGTAGTATAAATATATTTTGACTCTTTCCTACTTTTTACGGTGACTATTATTACCTTCAGTGATTTTTTATATTTATGAGAATACTAAAAGACTTAAATAAAATTATTTTACATATTTCATCTTAGTATCAATTAAAAAAATATGTTGTTTAAGTATATTGTGGCGGTTATTACAATAAACTGTAACAAAAACGGTTAAATAGCTATGGAAATTACGCACAATGAACAATTTTGACGCTTTTAAAAGTGTATTTAATATACATTAGTTTGTGTAGCAATAACCCTTAGACATTGCATTTTTATCTCCCTTTAAGCCATGTGAACGCAAAATAACATTCCGCAAGGATTAAAATAACAAATATACGGAACCATATTATGGTTTTTACCCACAATGGTTGATCCAAAGTACGTCCCTTTTTTAAGCTACAACTACCACCATGCATTTTATCCAGCATGATAAAGGATCCATCTTCTCCGTCGCAATCTCTATCACATAAAGCCGGGACTCCATAAAAATCAATCCATAACGCGAAATCCTAATCTATATTCAACGATAGACCGACGGACAAGGGGATGATCCATCAGACTATGTTAATACGGGTTTCAATAGAATGGGCAAATGCAGTGAGTCGGGTGGTAAGAGTGTCCATATTATAGTATAATATAAAATTATTCATGTATAAAAAGATCGATGCTATACTGAAAAAGCTTATTTTGAAATAGAATTAATTTTATAGGAATGTTACCACAATACTGTAACAGCAGTGAGGAATACATATGTTTAAGTTAAAATGTAGAGCATATTCATTTCTTAATTTTCTTCAAATGATTTCTTAATATACGAATAATATACATAGTAAATAAAATACGAATATATAAAATAATTATATCGAATAGTATACATATTAAATGAAACTAGTTTACGGATTTTAAAGCGTTTTAATTTTGATTTTTAACTTCCGATATTAATCACAATCAAAATTAAAACGTGATAAAATTCGTAAACTGTTTTCATTTAAAACGTAGAGCATTTAATTTTCGTAGCAATTTTGTAGCTGTTTTCATGATTTTGTTCCTTTTTAAATTTAATTGAGGTGCTTCGCAGACCATGGCGAAAGTATCAAAAAGTCTGGACGCCCTACAGTGGTAGCGTAATCCGATGATTTGCGTGACATTAGGGCCGGCCGAGAGCCGCTTGTAAATCAACGTGGATTTTATAACACGCCTTTATGGCGCACTCATTGTTTTTACTGCATGGGGATACTCCAAATATAAATAGCTGGATTTAAGCTGTATTATAGTATACTTAATACAGATATACAAAGTGGATCGGATAGTAAAGAAAACGATATAGAGGGAATCTATGTGTAATAGTTAAGACAAATTTTATCAACCGATTATAAATAAGACTAGGTGTTTTATGTAAGACGGTGACAAGCGACCATTGTTCACCTGATGTTAAGTGATAACCGCAGCCCATGGACATTTGCAACACCCGTAGGGTTGCAGATGCGTTGCCACCTTTTAATAAAGTGGGCTCCGGTTATTTCGCCAGATGAAACGAAGAAGTATAAAACTTCCACATCATGCCGTACTTTTGTGAGGTCGTGGTACTTTCCCAGACGCACCTGCCCGTGGCGCTACCACAGTTAGAACTTATAAACGAAATTCTACTGAATTATTTGGTTTCTTAAAATAATAAATAAATAAGTAAATATTTTAGGACACATTTTTACACAACATTTTCCAATCACAAACTAAGCAAAGCTTGTACTATGGTTATTAGAAAACTGATAAACATACTTAAACATACTTTTAAAATGTAACTAAATACATATTATACATATATAAATACCCAGACACTAGAAAAACGCCATGTTCGTCACACAATATTTCTCCAGTAGTGGGGATCGAACCCACACCCTCTGGCGCTACACACCCACACCCGTGGTACACTTACCACAACGCCATTCGGGTCGTGAATAAAAATTAAAAGGATACATAATGAATTATTATTAAATATGACATATATGAATTAATTAGATTTTGCAAACTGAGGGTACCTCAAGTGTCTCAAACCCAAAAATATAACGAAGACCGTCAAGACATTACTTCACACGAAATATTTGAACCAATTAAGCAGTAAACACCTACAACACCACTCTCAGTTCGAACTATATCAGCCGTCTGTCGATCGCAAAGCAGTTCCGCCAAGATCCTCGATCGCGCGGGCGTGTGGCCCTCGTATCACAATGCCTGTCCCGAGCACCCGTCACTTTCCGGGCCGCGCGGAGTCTCGAAATCACAAGATCGATGCCCCATCGCCCGCAGCTCGGCCGATTAGGAGACGCCCGGCCGAGCGCGTGATTCGGCCCGCCTCGTCTGCTGGCACCCCAATATCTCACATGGGCGACTCTTAAAGCGCGGCCGCGATGCGACGGCCCGCTTTGTTTCATTTAATGGATGTGCTGAGGACGACCTTTGTTGTATAGTGTGCTCTTTGCAAAGAACAGGCTCGAATACCGTCAGCGAGCACTTCTTTCGAGAACTTTTATTTGAGCTGGTTTATCTGATGTTAAGTGTGAAAAGTAACATTTCATTTGTAACACCTTTTAATTAAGTGGGCCTCCTACCTCACCCACCAGACGAAAGGCAAAAGTTTGACAATTCCACTTCTTCTTCCGACGGTATTTAATCAGATCGTAATACTTACCCGGACGGACCTGGCCACTTGTGCAACAGTAGAACTGCGTGGTCGTAGCACAATTCGCCGATATCCTTTTCGTTTTCGGATTTCTTGTACGATGATGCCCGTTGTACGAATGTACGTTGAATAATCACTTGTGTCGCATAACATCCTTATCATAACATGTTCGACAGAAGAAAGAATTCTTTTTAACAGAAAAACACGCCACATAACGTCGCGATCGGGCCGTGGTGACGCTTTGGAAGAACCGAGGCTTAGACTGGCTAAAACCAGAAAATCGTTTTATTTAATTGTAAACGCATTAACATTTATAATGAAATTAATGACATCCACTAAAAACAATTTCAAACACCCCACTAAAGCTACCTTTAATAGAAACAGCCTATTATAGAGTCGAAGAATAATTTGACAACAAGGATGTGTGGAAATGACTCTTGTCCTTCACTTGCAAGTCCTTTGGCTGCTGCTGATTTTATATTGACAAATTTTCATCTAATTCTTAATCTAATTTTTAATCTATCAAAATACGCAATTTGCAAAGACTAGCACTAAAAATAAAATTTAACCTGTTGTATATATATTTTAAGGAAATGTAGAACAAGACAGAATTTCTTATCGGTTCTTCTCTGGAGAGATCTAAATTAGTGAATCAGTTAAACAAAAAGGTTAAAAAACAAGCAATATTGAATATAGATATTTTTAATTTTACTTTCAATCGGGTAATTATCGAGTAAATAATTTGGGACACATCGTGTTTGTATTAATTCATATGATCGTTAGTAATTCATTTCCTATATTTGTTTATATTGTTAGGCCAGTCACATGCGAACTCAATTTGGATACAAGACAATCTGATCAGTGACATTCAATGAAACGAATTCCCTACGCGGTGTTAATTTATCTAACTTTCAGGGCACGTCCATGGCCGATGTTTGCAACAATTCGGCTCTCGTGGCAGGGCGCAATCAGGGCGCATTGTGGCAACCCTCACCCCGGGCCGGCCCCGCGCATCAAACAATTCAATTATGCCCACAAATGGCCCGAGATGATCGCGCCGTTACTTACACCAGGCGGAGCGGAATACGCGCCATTCGACGCTTAAATGCTTCCGTTGTAATTGAACTTGCGTTTTTACTGCTCACAACGAGCGAGCGAAGCGTTTGATACTCAGATTTTTAGTCACTCATCATTAAAAGAGAAAATGATTCATTATTACGATGGCGTCATTTGAAGATTTTAATTTTTTTTATATGAGAAGGTGGTAAGCGAGCTGGTGGAAGACCTGATGGTAAGTGACAACCGCCACTTTATAATGAAGTGAGCCTTGGCTACCTCACCAGACGAAACGCAGAAGTACTTCCACTTCTTCACCGGTTCTCTGTGAGGTTGTGGTTCTTCCCTGGATGAACCGGGCTCATGCAACAGCGGACTGTTGCGTGGCCCACCCACCGTGAATCATTTCCAATCTAGCATCGTCATTATTTAGGCTTTCTCTTGAATTACGTTTCACATATATTTCAGGTAATTGGAGATTGACACTGATTGATACTGATATGTCGATACATACTTCGATGACTCCGTGGCGCAGTTGCCAAGGTATTAGCTTCGGCATTGGGGGTCGTGGGTTCGATTCCCACACGAGACAACTATTTGTGTGTGTCCCACAGATAGTTGTTTCGCATCTGGGTGTTTGTCCGCGTGAAATTTATGTTTGTAAAACGTCCTTACAACACAGGATAATATTATCCTAAAGTAAGGGCAATGTTTTTTAAGAAAAAAAAAAAAACAAAATTGATAAGTAAATAATTAGCACGATGACGTCATTAGAAGATCGTCATTATTACAGCTTCCTCGTCAAATACTTTTCATCTGTGGCAGCTTATTGAAGACTGGCGCTGATACATACTAATATGTCTAGTAAAAATTAGGCGGTATGTAAATAACGAATAAAAAAAGGATGTGTGTACCCATGTACGCACGTAAGAAGTTACTTCTTTAGCCAAAAGACATTAAATGCAATTGTTGGTAAATGTCATAAAGTATTAATTTCACCGCATTACCATGGCAACCAAACATGATGAAGTTGGTAACCAACTGCATCATGTGTTTGACGGTGTGCGCGTACATTGTAAAAATTTTACTCTCATAATTTTTAACAAACGCGCCAAAAGAAGTATAACTTAAAAAAAAGTTTTTACTATACTCAAGAATAAACTTACCAGTTTTAACTTGATTTTTCAACGTGATCTTGCAGTCCTCTAGAAGCTGCTTGAGAGGCAGGGGCTCCTCGGGCAGGTGGAGATCGAGCGCCTTCTGCATTTCTTCAGGCATCTTGAATTCTAGGATCTGCGTGAATATTTTATGACCTTGTGTTTTTTAAACTACATAAGAATAATAGTAATATCGATGACATATTACATTTATTATCAAAGTATTTCCAACGGAAACTAATAAAACTCGAGGGCTGACGTGCTTAAGATTCTCAGGCAAAATTAAAATCGCATGAATGGTATATGATAGATGAAAGTGAAAGGAAAGGGCATGTTGAGGAATCCACTTAAAATGGGATGAGGACAGGAGAAAGAACAAAATCAGGGTATATGATAGTGACAACTAAATGGTGACGGAACAAAGAGAGTTTTAAACTTTATTAAAAATGGAAATAACTTTAAATACCAAAAAAAATAATTAAATAAGGTAGACGATAGGAATATTTGCACTACGAGCCTAGACCTGCAGGCTGCGTGGAACTTGTTGCAAAAAATTTTAAGTATTTGCAAGATAAAAAGTATCTCACGATATCTGGGCGTAAAATCTCTAATGCAAAAATTTCATCCATAACCGTTTATCTTTTGAGCGTGAGGGAAACATCCTTATCCGTACTTCCTTACTAATATTATAAACACAAAAGTTTATATGTATGGATGGATGTTTGTTACTCTTGCACGCAAATACTCTGAATGAATTCTAATGAAACTTTAAAATAATATAGCTTATACATCGGAACAACACATAGCTTATAATTTACATACATATTTTTATGTATATCTGTCTTTCTTTCTTCTTTCTTCTTCACTACACAGAATAGTAGTCGTAGTCGCGGGCAGCAGCTAGTAAAGTAAAGTAAAGTAACAGCCTATACATGTCCCACTGCTGGGCAAAGGCCTCCTCTATACAGAGGGTATCAGGGCATAGTCCACCACGCGGCGCCACTGCGGATTGGCGGACTTCACATATTTTCGAAATATATTTTTTTTTTTGTTATTATTTCGAAAATATGCAGGTTTCCTCACGATGTTTTCCTTCACCGTGGAGCACGTGATAAGACAGCACTTAAAGTTAAAAACTTCATTGGTGCCGGCACCGGGGATCGAACTCAGGTTGCTCGAGTATATTGAATTAAAGGCGAGCGCCCGGACACTGAGCTATCACGGCTCGCAGCTACTAATATGATATAATATCATACCTTCTCGTTGCGGTCATTGACCTGCTGCACGTAATCCAGGAGCACGTCGACCACACGCGCCAGGAACTCCCGGGTTTGCGCGTTGGCATCCTCGCGATATGGCAGGATGGCTGAGAGACAAATGTAGAGGCAAATGTCATTCGTGTCTACACATTGTTAACCCGTCTAGTGATTGGATGAGTTCGTAGCACCTCGTAGATTTTCGTAGCCAGTAGTAATTTTAATTTATCAATACAGTAAGTGAATACAAGATTTCAATATGTAATTTGTGATTTTTGTCTACGGTTTTTTTTATATAATCTGCTTTGTTTTCTATCATATATTATTTCTATTTTGTTAAACTACTTCTTCGTTTTTGTTATGTGGCTTACAACAATAAGTAACTTTTATAATCCGAATATTATAACATAATGACATAGAAACAAGAGCTATGTTTTTTTATGTGAGATAGTGGCAAACGAGCTGGCAGTTCACCTGATGTTAAGTGATTACCGTCTGCCCGGTATGGACATTTGAAACACCGTTGCAGATGCGTTGTCACCTCTAAATAAAGTGGGCCCCGGCTACCTCACTCACCATACGAAACGCAGAAGTGCTACACTTCTACTTCACGCCGGTCTTCTGTGAGGTCGTGGTACTAACCCGGATGGATCTGCCAATTCGCGCAACAGGGAACACTGTTGCGTGGCCCCACCGTGAATATATAGAATTTATCGCTGCTTTTATACCTCTAGACAGAGATTTAATGAAAGACGTTTTTACTCCAGTCAAAACTAAGGCTCTCCCTCTACTAATCACTTCCGGTACGGCAGTAAGCTGAATCTTTCGACGGCACTGAGATCCGTCTGCATTGTTGTAACTCATCCGTTTTTGTTTGCTCGCGCTTTGTCTCTGTTCATGTTTTCCTTTTGTTATTCTCAGAGAGTTGTAATAGCGGCCTTAACCCTCGCCAGCTGACTCCCGCTCAGAGAGGCACTGATTAAAAAGTCACCGCTTTCAATATCAGCCCCCGCGATGTCCAAGAATACGGCGTTAGGGTGGCCACAACTCTTGTACAGGCACTGGATATGTCCTACGATTTTTCGTGTTAATTGAGGTTAAGGAATGTTTATTATTAGATAGTTTATATATAGTTTCTGCGTTTCGTCTGGTGAATGAGCTAACTGGAGCACACTATTGTGAAAGTACAAGTCCACTTAGCGTGAGGTTACGTTATCAAAATTAAAAACATTTAATTTCGATGAATCAATGAATAGGTAGTTATTGACGCTATTGATCACTTTCAAGAATTTATAACGATACGAAAGGTTATTTTTATTGCGTATTATATGTATATTCATAAATTTTCTCCACATGATTTTGATGGATTGCATTACAGGATTTATTATTGGCTTGAGGATTGTTATATCAGATTACATATTATTGTATGATTATAACTAACCACAAGAGAGCCAACAAAACATTCTAATCATTGGAAATATTTCATTCTGTCTGTATTTTTTCACAATACTCATAATAAACAAAAACTTGTACTGTAAAGGTGTTCTGTAAACACAAATCAGAGCTCAAGAAGGACCGACATCCCCATCTGAAATAATTGTCTGTAGATAAAACGAATACACGTCCCGGTGGGGATTGAAACTATCACCCGCCACGCCAAAACCTATCGTTTAAATACTGAACAGTTGGCTCAAAAAGGCCTACAGAAATTGTGTTATGTATACATATAAAAGTGTAGCTCTGGTAATATTTATGATTTCCACAGTTTTCATAAAATGTGGACACCATAACGTTCAACTGCGTCATGTTGTAATAAGTACATCCCTACACAGATGTCTTTGATTTGTTATAAGAATGAATGTAGGGGCCGTGCATGCGTTACGCCGCCGTATTTTTTTTTTATAAAATATGTATCTTATAAACATACTAAAGAGGTAAAAAAGTTTTGCCTTTTGTCTATTTATATCGGATTATTTCAAAATTACACCTCCATATAGTAGTCGTAATATATAAGAAAATAAAAATGTTAAACTTCAACGTCTGCTTATCTTTGTGCATTAGTTAACGACACACGAATTTCCGTGAACTATTGAAATCTGGTCAACTCTGAAGCTTTCATAGTCACGATATTGATTATTTTGTGTTAAGGTTACCTGGAAGAATTTACTACCTTAGCAATAAAGCCGCTTATATGTTTCATGTATTACCTTTCTATTTATTTCCTTGTGTGCAATAAAGTATACCTATTCTATTCCATTCCATTTCATTTTTTACATCGTGCTGTTATTTTACGGTTTCAATTCCAAACTAATGTTACAGAATATAGCACGCTTAATTGAAATTTAAATTCTTGACTTTTTGTACACCCCCCCCCCCCCAGTCAAATTCACGGGGCATACGACATTGTCCATTTAATATTGTAGGTATCCAAAGTTTATATATTAATTCGTTATTAAATTAATTGATTATAAGTCATCATTACACACGAAAAGTCCAAGAAGCTACGCGTCTAATTATAGTCACAATATAATAGTTTTTTTTTTTTCAGATCGCTCAATCAACCTTTATTTATCTATGATTTTTTCAAAAAAAGACGAAAAGTTTTCACAACTGCAATCGAACCTACGTCCTCTGGATTCGCGGTCGTACGCTTAAACCACTAAGCTAAACGGCTGACTGCCACACCGACGACAACCCCTACTTGTTTTATCCACTAAAGATGTCTTTAGTACAGCAAAAATCAATTTATACGCGCCAAACTTCGCGAGTTAAAGTGTTGCAGCCTTAAAAGCCCCTCAGTCCGAAGCTGTCGACACCCACGCCTTTATTATCCGACCATGTTGGCACTATCTAATGCGCTGTCAAATACACTCTGACGTCGATTCCTTACTTTATTTTATTTGTATAGGCGATTTGTATGTGGCAACTCAGTAGAAGGACGCTTTAATAAACGGACAAGGTTGGACGTCCGATGGTAACTATCACGATATCATTATGTTACAATGCATCGACGCTATCAAAGTAAAGGTCGAAATTATTTTCTCAAATTTAAGGTTAATTCAACTTCCCACCGCAATAATCTTTATAGCCCCAACCGCCGGAGAAGAATCACTGTCTAACAGAAGAGCCTAAACGACAACATGTTAAAGGCTTATTTTCAGCGGATGCGCTCACAACGGCAGACCTCTATATTTTATTTATGTAGATTACTTATTTTACACTGTAGGAATAATCATTTTCTTGTGTGGTTGAGATGATAGATAAAGATGCAAAATTAATAAAAATGTCCTTAAATGAATCGAATCTTTGATGTTATGTGTGTTTGTTATTCGATTTGCGTGATAATTCAATTAATACAATCGTCAAAAATTTAATAGAATGTATTGAAATGAAAGTAAAAGTAAAGTAAAGTATCAGCCTATACATGTCCCACTGCTGGGCAAAGGCCTCCTCTATACAGAGGGTATCAGGGCATAGTCCACCACGCGGCCCCACTGCGTATTGGCGGACTTCAGATATCTTCGAAATATATTTTTTGTTGTTATTTCGAAAATATGCAGGTTTCCTCACGATGTTTTCCTTCACCGCTGAGCACGTGATAATTCAGCACTTAAAATTGAGAATTTCATTGGTGCTGGCACCGGGGATTGAACTCAGGTTGCTCGAGTATATTGAATTAAAGGCGAGCGCCCGGACACTGAGCTATCACGGCTCTGTGAAATGAAAGTAGTTCCATTTAAATATATCAAAGTATTTTCGTACCATCTATCAGAAAACATTCCTAAAGTGCACATCACGCTTACAATCGGCTTATAACGTCCGAAACATAAGTTCACACAAATCTTTCATCCCCCTGTTCTATGCCTAAATCGCTCGAGTAAATATCGACTTTATCGTATTAAGCATAAAAGATAAAATGGACTGCGATTACGGCGTGCGTAAGTTGGAAGCAACATCTGGAATGTGATGTAATGCTCGACAGATAAATGCTCAAAAAGAGGGTCATTTCGATATTTGCAGGGATTCCGTTGGGAAGGGGATCTTTTAGGTAATAATTTAGGTGTTATTTGCTTACGCGAAACGTGAAACGAGTTAATAATTTTACCCTCATTATTGTTCCACTAATTTTCAATCACAGACAAAGTTTTCATATTAAATTATCATTTGTAATAGTTGAATTAGCTTAGTTGTGTCCAATGTCCTGCCACTGAACGCAATTATTAACCGACTTCAAAAACAGAGGATATTCTCAATTCAACTGATATTTTTTTTATGTTTGTTACCTCAGAACTTTGGACCAAGTGAACGGATTTTGATGATTCTTATTTTATTTGAAAGATGGTGCTTCCCATTTGGTCCCATATTAATTTCATTAGTATTGGATCTTTGGCTCCGGAGATACTTAGGGAACTCCTCAAAATCAACTATAAAATGAATACAGAGCCAGGTATTTGAAGTCGGTTTTATTTTTCGTTAATAAAAAAAATCACTTGTTTTGTAGTCTTAATACTCCAGCCTTGAAAATTCCATCTTACGATCATACGCTTTGCTCTGTCTTTGAACGAGGTTTCTAATAAAGCTCAAACAACAATATTTTACCCTTTTTAAAACTGACAAATACACATTACTCTCTCTTAGCATTGGGATTTGAAGCCGGGCTGATGGTGTACTTTTAAAATTGCATTCCGATTCCGAGCATGCACATCTCCGCAGTTAAAATACGAAAATATTCCAATTAAAACAACACGCGTGGCGGAGGGGCTCGCTAGTATGGTGGTATTTCTGGAATGTGCCGGGGGCCCTTCGGCGATTAGACCCGGGACACGCGCTTCGCATCTGTACAGTACGATGGACAAGCCAATATCACAGCAGCACCACGACGTAGCGAAATTTCATTTAATCTATCATCTTCTTTCTATATATTAATACGTGAAGCAAAATATTTTTATCCCTTATTATAAAAAAAAAATTACAAAAGGCGCGTACTGAGGAGTATGTCTTTTCCCAAACTTATAGTTTATATACCCATGTCACCCTCCGGCCACGACTATAAACTATACGTATCTCCTCAAAACATCACGTCGAACCATTTTCCATTACTTCGGGAAAAGGAACAAACCAACGTACGCCCTTTTATACACTTAATATCGAGATTATAATACAAGGACGTATGTGATAACATGGTAGGATTTTTATCGCTGCTAATTAACAGTACTTCTCATACTATCAATTCAGAATAAGACAGAGATAAGTAGAGTTCAATTTAAATAATAAACGTATACCTTGTATTGAGGAATTTCGTACGTTTCATCCGAAGAACGAGACGGGGAAATCGATACATTAAGAACGAGAATTGATAGAGTGGGGCTCATGTGGGCTTACGGGAGGAAATAGATATTTTTATATTCCTCTTCGTAAATTTCGAGGGTAAAGTACGGGGGAGATGGAGTGTTTCAATTATTGTTTAAAAAAATCCTAACGTCTTATTCTTATTCTTATAAAGTTGCACAAGTCAGGCCTAAACTGCAGTTGAAGTCGGACTCTATCTATACAGATAAATTAAATTGAAATGTCTGTTTGTAATATTAACAGCTTTAAATACATATGGATGTATACACGCCACCTAGATCAAAATAACATTTTTTGCAATTTTTGCCTTTGTCTGTCTAATCTCTGAAAGAGTTGGACCGATTTGGACGGGACTTTCACTGGCAGATAGCTGATGTAATAAGGAGTAACTTGGATTACTTTTTATTTTAGAAATTTTAATTCTTTTAAATTCCATGGGCACATCTAGTAATATAATATAGTTCTTACAGTGCTTCTAAAATTTATAACTCGCAAGTGGCGCCGTAGCAAGCCAACAAGCGACGTCACGAGTAGTTAGTTCGATTCCATATTATCTTATGGATTTTTTTTTGATAAATATCAATCAGGCTTCCTCTATGGTAGGGCCATTTATTAATGATATTGTAAAGTTTGCGCCAGTTTTTCATAGAATTTATATATTTAATAACTTCGAACTATAATGTAAACTGTAAAATTTTCGCAGATAAATAATTAAAATAAATTAACCCCTGTGATACCCCAATAAAAAGGGAATCCAGAGCCGTCTTCCTCTCGATCCTGGCAAATGAGGGATTTGGTGTAAACCGGAGTCATTACCGCGGAAGGCGAGAGGATCAAGTTGTCCCGTCTATGGGTATTTATGACCCCATCGCCGGCCGGGGGTTGGCAGAACGAGCCGGGGTAATTGTTTTCTAATACGCTGCGGAGTGAACTGTCCTTTGAATGTTCATACTTTAAGCATACGGTAGACGACAGTGGCAAAGTGGTTGAGGATGTCGACTGCTGATCCGACGTAACGGGATCGAATCTAAATGCCGTGCAAGTTTTTGTTTTATGTTATGCCCAATTGCTGTTTTTAAACTGTTTCGATATACTAGTGGCTTAGTCGTCAGATCTTGATGCTTTTAATACTAATACATTACAGCTTTATAATTAAAAATCATTAATATTTAAAGTCAAATTGAAATTCAAATATCTTTATTCACTTACACAATGATCGTCAAAATACTACTACCGGTTCGATAAAAAAATACCTGAGAAGAACCGGCGAAAGATACTCAGTCTTTGTTTAATTATTTTGAGTAAGTAACTAACTTTTAATATTTCTGATACATAGATTAATTAGAGTTCAGTCGCCTTCACAGCGTTAGAATAAAACCCCCAGTCTACAACGTCCCGAATTTGAAACTTCAATTCACGCTCGGGCAACTTATCAATTAGCAAAAAACATGGAAGATCGCTTCCCCAGTAATCCTCACACCCTCAAAAGAGGGGTCGTGCCGGCACTTTGCTGAGCTATTCCCGGGAACTGTATGCGGGTAAGAGAATGTAAACAGAACTCAGTGCAAAACGTTGCATCATTCCAAAATGATATTTAACAATTTGAACATGTTGTGTTCTATGTTGCACGGACTAAGTACACAAGATAACTCTATGGCATCAATACGACAACATAAAACAATAATTAATAACAATAGAATTCTCACTCGTCAGGCCGCGAATGCCGAAGACGTGGGTTCGATCCCCACAGCGGCGACAATCTTTTCGTACTTTTTCTACATGTTTTAATAATAAAATTCTCACTTTTAAAAATCGCAGCTCTTCCAATTTATTCTTTAATAATACATATGTATTTAATATCAAATTTGAACAGCTGAATATAAAATAAATAACGATGTAATTTTTTCTGCAATTACCTATAGATCATTAATATAAAAATGAAACATTTTTTCTATTAGTTTTTTTTTTAAACATTGCCCTCACTTTAGGATAAGATTACCCTGCGTTGTAAGGACGTTTTACAAAAAATATGTTCATATAAAACTGGTTAAACTAATAACTAATAAAGTTTTAATTAAACAGGAATAACTATAGGGAAGTAGTTTTCACACGGAGGAAGTCTGGAAAACGCGATTTGAGAGGATATCATTATTTAATGTTATTTCATTAGGATTACAAAAAGGTAATTTTAATAAAGGATTTTGAAAATACTATTTTGATAACTGCATATAAGTCAACTTAGTTTAAAATCTTTTTAAATAAAAAAGTTCTAACAAGTTTCTACATTTATTCATTTTAGACGACATAGAAGACATCCAAACATAATCATATTGTTAAAAAAAAAAATCTTTCATTTTGTCCACTAATTCAAAAAAAAACATTCACTACTCCTCCATATTCTGGCAGTCATTTCAATACAGAATAAATAATCATAAAACGCGAATCCACCCCTAATGCCAAAGACAAATAACCGCAATCTCTTTAGTCCATAGTCGTAAATAAAAGAAAACAATCACTGTCTATGGACTATGAGGCGGGCAATGAGCGGTGGCAGCGGTAATCCCTGAAAATAAATTACGTGGCATAGACTATAAACAGCTATTTATAGAGGCGGCAAAATTATTGTCACACTGAACAATTTTGCAGAATTTCTTTCATTTTTAACTATGTATTGTTTTAATTTCAAAGATACTCAATTTTGATTATCTTTATAAAATACGTAGTTTTGTAGTAATCAGGTTCAATTCGATACGAATATTGTCGTAGATAATTATCGTTATTATTCTTTGTTATGATAAATTTAGGTTGATAATTATTATTTTTGTTAGAGCCCTATGGACTCCCATACAACAGGCATGCAATTTATTTGCCTTTTTTATAGATAATGGTACGGACCCTTCGTGCGCGAGTCCGACTCGCACTTGGCAGGTTTTTTATATTACTACGGTTTCTCTACGGGTGTTGTAAGAGCGTTTTACAAACATAAATTTCAAGTACACAATCACCAAGATCCGAAACAATTATCTGCGAGTCACACAAATACTTATTTCGTGTGGGAATCGAAGCACGACCTCCCGCGCCGAAGCTAATACCTTGACAACTGCGTCACGGAGTCATCTGTTCTGATATTCGACTCATTAATTTTATTAATTATTGCCTATGTAGTTTCTTGTTCAATGTTATTTCTTTACTTAAATTCTTCTTCTTTCTCCTGCCCTTATCCCACACTAGTGGGGTCGGCGCAACATGTACATCATATAATTTCGGAACCATGTTGTTATTTCAGTTATTGTCTTTATTTTTATGACCGGCTGCCTGCCTGACGTCAACCCTGCTTGGGAATTCTAGCAAATTTATATTCATCGAACCTAAAATATTTTATAACCAGTAGATATACTAATACAGGTACGAGACTTAGTAATATGCACAAATTTAAATCATTTCAAAAAGCCGATGCATATGTACTTATTCCAATTCGTTAATTAATTTTCTTTACTTAAATTATGATCGGTACATAATCAAATACCTATACAAGAATTCCTAAGTGTATATGTTTGATAATTATCGACTTTCATATCCTGATAGTAATGTATATGTACAATGAGTTACTCAGTTTAAAAGTAAAGTTATTAATCACAGTTGACTTTATAGCACTTAAGGCTGTCACCGAAACGCAATTAATTACGTTATGGACAATGCCATGGTGCGATGGTAACTCAAACCATGGATTGAGCAAGGAGTATGGTCCATTAATACAAGCGTCGCTTACTTTTCCATAATTATTCAATTGAAATTAAAACACAGCACGAGACTATATTATATTCTTTTTGCTTGGATATAATAAAACGTACCTACCTACCTTTGCAGAACTCAGGGATGATCATGGGTCTGCCTTTGTTATCTATTTATTTATTTATTATGAGGGTAAAGACACGAGGGTCAGTAATAATTGCGCTAAGATTAGCAGGAAATCTTAGAGGATATCTAAAGACTATTATTTTAATACAAAGAACCAGTTCATAATCCATTCAGTAGGTAGTAGAAAACCTTATTCCGGGCAATTTTCGGAATAATTATTTTTTGATGTTACACAAATGTTAAGAATGAGAAAAACCTATGATTGATTATTTATTATCGATTTAAATGTCTTTTAATTTAATTTTTATCTATATTTAAATTATAGATGTATTTTAAAATGTTGTAACCTATTAGGTATCTTGATTATACCAGTTAGTTTAGTTCGGGGGTACGTAAGTCGTGAAATCAAGTGTCACTTTACACACCGTCAGTCGTAAAGCTTATCTCTGCTTCCTGTAGAGGGCGTTATGGTCGACGCAGGAAATTATACGCGCGTGTGTAATATATCCAATACAAGAGGGTTCGGTACTGAATTCTAAGATTGAGTGTTACCGTGGTATAAAATTCACGAATTCGTTATACAGATAATTTGAAAAGTATTCTCGCGCGTTTGTGTTTCTTTTTTAGTTTTAGAATTAACAACAGATCTTAAAGCGCAATAACAAAGTTCGAGTATTCATTTATTTAGCTAATCGATGATCCCATATCCATGAGTATTATTTATTTTTTTATACTTACAATCATAGTAAAGGTTGCCGACGGCCGACGTCAGTTTGGGTGTGCTTTGTCCGGATAGGGATGCCATCCTCTCGCCCTGCGTACATAAATTAATTATGAAATTATATACATAATTTAAAATAAAAAGAACCGTACAAAGCGACCATTTTATTATTAAAACTATCGATGGTAGCATTATATAGCTGCGGATTTCGTTTGATTTACAAAAAACATCTTTTTTTTTAAAAATATACCGCTATTTGTTTTCGGTGTTGTCACTCTCAAATGTAGTTGATATTTTAATGGCATTGTTTAACAAAAAGTGATGTGATATTTAAAACTTTATTGCAATGTACATTAGCTTGCTGTATTAAAATCTCTTATAAAAATATTAAAAGGAGTCCAAAAATAACACAATAGTGATATTAACATAAGTCTTAAATTAGTCTAAGATATTCAGGCCAAATAATAGTTGGAAGCGTAAATTGTAATTCTATTTTAATCAATGTCGGTAATTATAATAATAAAAATAATAGTAGATACGCAGACAAACTATTATTTCTACTAACAAATCAGTTCTTATATTCAGCAGCAATAACAAAAAGTTAACGGTCATGCAGAACGGAGAAGAGTAAAGCGAGAAATCAAGATGGCGTCAGAAAATGGCGGCTAAAATGGATTTGTGAACGAACCAACTGGATATGCTCAGCAATTTGCTTGCAGTACGAAAAAAAGCCGTCCAGAGTTAGCTTTGACATTTTTGCTAACTTCTAGTTTGGTTATTTCTAGTCTGTAAAAAGAAAAAAAATATGTTAATTTAATTTATTTGTAATTAATTTATTTATAATTTATTTGTCTCTTAGAGGACAAAAAGTCATATAAATTGAGAACGGCTCTAACATATATGTTTAGTTAGAATATTCATCAGTGCAGTTTTAAATACGAAACCTATAAGAAAAACTTTTGTGCGCTTATGTACTGCACATGAGCTAAATCCATACGTGTATACTTAAGTCAACCAAATACGTATTAAATATATATCTATATGGTAATAATGTATGAAAATATATAATATGAGAAACATAAATATAATTCTAGAAACTTCTAATACATTACATACAAAATAAACTACATAAATACCAACCTTAGGATAACTGGTGCTTTTATAATATAAAACGTAAGGGTAAGGATATAGATAAACTATAGATTGTATTGGTTATCACTACTTGTAGGATATATTCTTTGTGGAGAAGAAAATTACTATGTGGGAGAAGGGGTCGTTTCCGTTACGACTGGAAATCGGACTCGGTGCGAAAGACGGCGACTTTTTGTATGTGTCTAACATATATGAGGGGGTTTCTGGGTTTACGGGGATATGCCACAGCTCTGGAAGCTGGTGCCACGTCTCCTGGAGGGCTGGAGCCAGACTGAACTTGCCATGGAGGCTTCCAGGGGCCAGGCTCGGCGCAGGCGCGTTGGAAAGGTCGTAAGGCGAGCGAGCTGTATTGGGGGCTGGTCAATAAGAGGAAACCAGGTCACCCCACCCTCCCCCGCTTAAGCACGCTCACTAATGTATTTATGGATAGGTGCATAGGTTTTCGGGTCGAGATATCTATCTACGGGCGCATAATTGCGACTACGGGTTGGAATCATTTATGTAATAGAACTTGCCAGTTAGATTTTTTTAATCTCAATGAGGCTATTTTTTTTTAATTTCAACACTCGTAGAATCTCGACTACGGATTGTAACAATGAGGTCTCGAAATTTCTGCTTCGGGTTGAGATGCTTCTATTATGGGAAATAACGTAACCTTTTTGTCTGAGATTTCGTTTTCGAGTTCTTAGCGATGTTTGTTTCAATTACTAATTTTAAATAATATATCATTACCAATACTTATTACTAGAGTTCATAATTTATCATTTTTAATATGTAAGCATGTTTGCTAACTTATTTGAATTTCTTTCACAAGATAAACTTTTTATGATTTAAAAGTTTTAATCTTTTCAAAATAAAACAGTCTTTTTCAAATTTTTAGATAAGTGACAACACTGTCATTGCAAAACTAACTGTTTGTTTGGGTAACGGGATTAACTATAAACCTCTATAATTGATAAAAAAATCCAGGGCCGTCTTAGATGCTTCAGGGAGAACTCACTGCACTTTTCGTCTATGAAATATAAAAGCACGACCCCTTTTTCCAGTTGGGGTAGAGATAACTCATGCGTCTCAAGATTTATTTAACTGCAAATACTATAAGTTACTAGCCTGTCGCTACACACTGCGAGACATTTTTTAAAATTTGTGCCACTGTGTCATCGACTGTAGAAAGTCTTAAAATCGATGTCGCAGGCAAACTTATTTACACGTCACTATTTAATATGCATACCAATTAAGTTGCATATTTTGTAAGAATTCGGCGTACAAAACCGCTACGCTGCCAATGTACATAAATTTCTATGCTTCAACTAACAAAGCGATATGAACTCTGGCCTTTGGTTAAAGCTGTAGAGTTCTCCGCCTACTTCGTTTCCTCCCACGCAACTTGTAGTCCTCCCACGCTTTTCATCGCCCACGCGATTGCCATTGCAATCAAGGCTTTTGCTTTTTCGCTCCTCTACTGTTAAAATTTTTCCCTTTGATGTATTTGTTTTGTTACTGGCAAAAATTTTCTACAGCAAAAGTTTAGTGCTGAGCTCTTTTGTTTGTTCACGGTATACTCACTCAATCGTCTTTAATTATTTGTGGAAAGAGAGAGTGATAATTTAATCAGGTTTTTCAGCATTTCAAACATGACATGTCACGATAATGATATATTAAATAACAACTTGATTTCATAAACGGATCGAAAGTTTAATTTAATCCAATAAATTATTAAAACTGAAACAATCTGTTCGACCCGATTGGCGTGGGGAGTAGTGACCCTGCCTCTCGCGCCAGAGATGTGTGATGAACATCGTCTTTTTCTGGTCTGGGTGTTTATATAAGTATAATATGAATTTATTTCTTTATATATTTATTTAAGTACGTTTATCAGTTATCTAGTACCCATAGTACAAGCGTTGCTTAGTTTGGGACTAGAGAACGTTGTGTAAAAAAATGTGTCCTGAAAAAATATTAGTTACACTCGAAGCTCAAAGATCTAAAATTTTCAGTGTTTATTTTACATGTAACTACCTATAAGTATGACAGCTGTTAACTTATACGAAATTTGTAAATTTTTTACTCATTTTCAGTTTTTAAACAAAAGTACTGTGGTAGGGCAACGCGACAGTGTTCGACTGTTGCACGAATGGGCAGGTCCGTCCGGGTAAGTACCACGTTCTCACAGGAGACTGGCATGAAGTGGAATTGTTATACTTCTGCGTTTCGTCTGTTGAGTGAGGTGGCCGGGGCCCATTTTCTTAAAAGGTGGCATCGCATCTACAACTCTTAAAGTATAGCAAACGGCCATGGGCGGCGGATATCACTTAATATCAGGTTAACCGTCAGTTGATATGCCGCTTTTTACTTTATAGTACCTTCCGTTCGCCTATCGCAATTCAAAGTTAACTGCTGATACTCCGTAGGAAAAACTTCCGTGGGAAAACGCAACAAAACGCCGGGCAAACGCAAAAAAAGGGCCGGTACCCTTTTATTGCGTTTATTGCGTTTTCCCACGCAATAAATTATCAGGTCTCCTTAATTGTAAAAGTGATAGATTTTGGCTCCATTGGAACATTTAAAAAAGATAAAAAAATAGTTATTTTTTTATATATATGTACTTTATTGTACACCAAAAAAAATATAAAAAGCAAATTACAAATGAACGTATACGGAAGTACAATAGGCGGTCTTATCGCTCACACAGCGATTTCTTTCAGACAACCATTACAGCAGAGGGAGGTGTACATGAATCACTTGTGTATAATCACAAGATGAATTACTTTATTAAATCATATATTGTATGATGTCATCTTTTTTCTCTTGACTACAACACTCCAAGAAAAATTTAAAAAATTGAAATGGAATCAACCTTTATATTGGCACATATAGTAGGAGACAAATGGCTAACAAAGGCGAGAAATAGAATAAAATAGAAAAAATGGAGGAGGCCTTTGGCCTACAAATTTTGTTTTATATTATATTATAATATTATAATACATTTTATGATAATGGATTGAAACATCAATAATTATTTTAATGTGTAACGTTGTCAAATGATCCAGTGGTTCACCTGTTGTTATTACCGCTGCCGCCATGTAACTTGCAGATGCATTGAAAACCTTTATAAATAAGTGGGTCCCAGTTACCTTACTCATTACACGAAACGCAAAACTATTCCATTTAACGTTGGTCTTCTGTGAGGCTCCGGTTTTTCCCCGGCGGAGCCTGCCCATTTGTAAAACAGCTTCTAGTACGTGGTCCTATCATATTAAAAATATCAGTCTACTACTACTGGAAAAATATTGTGTGGTGAACATAGTTGTTTTCTAATATCTGCGAGTTTATATATGTGTAATAAGTATTTATTTACAAAAGAAAATTACGTTTAAAAATGTTTATCAATTACCTGGTATCCACATTACTTTTGTTTAGTTTGGTACTAGATAACGTGTAAAAATATGCCCCGAAATTTATATTATAAATATTATCTATGATAAGAAGCGCAGTAACATCTTTAATTTTAATATTTCCTACACCCAATAAAATGTATCTACTATCTACTATATCATAGTTATTATGTATCTATAGTGAATGATAAAAGTTTTACTTATTTCTCGAACTAAATGCAACTGTTTATGCGCGGTCTCTTAATTTTGGTATTTTAATTAATTGTCGCTAATATACAAATATGTTAATGGTAACCGAACAATAATGAACCATATGTAACAAAAATTGACATGTAATTTTACTTATTTAACCCAACTTTTCATCTTTTTTGCGCATATACAGAACATTTTGAACAATACAGAAAGGAAAATCAAACATAAAGATTAACATTGTAATGCATTTGTATGATTAGAAAGCATTTATTTTTAACGTGAACAAATAAAAACTAAAACCGTTATAGAATTTAATCTGCCGTCAGACAACTCTAATTGAAATAGCCTAAATACCGGAGTCGCGTAGAGTCTTTGCAAAACTTGTCATAATCCCGAATACTATCATGGACGAGCACACTCGCTCGCGTTGATTCCACCCCTGCCCAACCCCTCGCCGCTAGCACCCCCATTGTGGAGGGGCGTATGACGTCTTTGGGCGGCGGCACGCCCCACCGCTCGATATATTCTACCATAGCTGGTTCTATACATATGAGTTCTCGCTAAACTCCATTAGCGCCATGTTTTAATGAAAAATAAATCACTGGTCTTTTTTAGTCCGGAGCAAAAAGTATTAGTTCTGTTACAGGAGAGTTCGCTCCGTCAGATGAAGCTTTAATAGTCTCGGCACTGAAAGCAAAAACACCAGTTAATGCAATGAGATTTCGCTGTGAACAACGGTTGTTAATAAGCGTTAATGTTGCCGACAAATATATACAAAACTGATTATGGTTTATTGTTTCGTAATTTGTGCTGAGAATTAACTAAAGGGATTAGAAAATAATTGGAATAAACATATATTATGTCAACAGATGTATTTCATGTATCTTTCACTTGTGCGATAATGTTTGGGTGTTTAAAAAAAAGTCCATACCTGTATAAATTAGGTATAATGATAAAATAATTCTAATTTTGTGATAATTGTATACATTAAATTAAATATTATCTTAATTACATGAATACATTTTCCTGAACTCGTTTGCAATTACGATAAAAATATTTTTATGTCAAATTTTATATCTCCACGTATTAATTATAGTGTATGCCCTTTGTTAATTTAACCTCATAAATAAAGTTTATTAAACTAGCCTTTACTTCTAAGATTTGAACGTATAAGTCTAAGCAAAGTTGAAATCCACCATATCGACGCTGCCTCTGTTGCATTGTGTGCAGAATAACCATTAGGCACTTGTATATATACAATTACAATAACAGTCTTCACGAAAAATCTAATTATAATGATGAATATCGCATACTTACTAATGTACTAAAAATTGTTGCAATTACATTTTTATTTGTCTTACCTAAGCGACGCCAACGTATTTTCAACCGACAAAAATAATAACCATTAAATAATAACTATTTTTAACATAACCATTCCTTAATAAAATATTTTTTTTACTAACGGAAAACAAAACCGACTCCAAATCGCTCTGTATTCATTTTACAATTGATTTTCAGGAGTTCCCTATGTATCTCCGGAGCCAAAGATCCAATACCAATGAAATTAATATGGACCACATGGGAAGCACCAGCTTTCAAATAAAAAAAGAATCATCAAAATTGCTTCACTCAGTCAAAAGTTGTAACGGACATAAAAAAAAATACAGTCGAATTGAGAAGCTCCTCTTTTTGAAGTCGGTTAATAATTGTAAAATAACTGTACTACTAACACTTTATACAAGCGATGCTTATTGTAAAAAGAATCGAGAAAAGAAATAGCGTCCGTCATTTCTTGCTTCGCTGGTTAGTTCTTTGTGTAGTAGCAAGAAAGAACGGACGCAGAAAATTTCCTCTCGTAACTTTGAATTTCATGAAAAACGACGAGCAGTTTTTGTTACGAAGTGTATTCAGAAAAAAATCCTATTCAGCATAAACCCTTTCAGCTCGAGCTATACGGGTGGTAGTTTTTACGTTTACTAATGTAGATTTAATATACAATATTTAATTGTTTCAAATAATTTGGAAATAATTTTAAATCGGCTAATTCTTAATCAATTATCTTTGTTTAAGTTTAACTAAGCTTCAAATTTTGGATGAATACGCAACTGAATAGAAAATCCATGGATTTCATCCTGTGACTAATGTAAGTCTTTGTGTAATTTGTAACTAAGAGGGCTATTACTTAACTGTGGTCGGACCACGCGGCAGCCTCGGCTGTTGCACGAATGGGCAGGCCCGTCCGGGCAAGTTTACGACCTCACAGAAGACCAGCGTAAAGTGGAAGTATAATATTTTCACGTTTCGTCTGGTGAGTGAGGTGGCCGGAGCCCAATCTTCAAAAGGTTGTCAACGCATCTGGAACCCTCGGGTGTAGCAGATGTCCAAGGGCGGCGGTAATCATTTAACATCTGCTCGCTTGGCAACATTTCACATTCACAACATTCAATAAAAAAAACTTTTGCAGCATCACACTTAGAAGTTTATCACCTCTCGTACCACATAGATATTAATTAAAACGTAAAATTAAAAGTCAACTTATGGTTGAAGCATATCACTGCGGAATATCTTGACGATGACAATGTGTGCAGTTAATACTGTTGATACTCACGCAGACTAGAATAAGACTATTATACCTGTATGTTATCTCTTCTCTTCTCAACAGAAACTGCTTTCCGAACCGGTGGTACCTTACGAACCTATATTTATAAATTTTGATGTAAAATTTTACGATTCATAAGAACGCGCAAGCTTCTATTTGAATAAATATATTTTTGATTTGATTTGAATAGTCACCGAATCGTTGTATCGCAAACGTTTTATACCTTAACTATCAGCCTATACACAAAGAAAACAAAGGGCAAAGAACTTCTCTGTACAGAGGGCATTAAGGCATAGTCCACCACGCGGCCCCACTGCGAACTAGCAGACTTCACACATCTTCGATATTTACGTTTCCTTAATATTTCGAAAATATACCGGCTTCCTTACGATGCTTTCCTTCACCGCTGAGCACTCGATAAGTCAGCACTAAAAATCAACGATTTCATTCGTGAAAATAAACAATTACGTAATGAATTAAAAAGCGAGCGCGTGGACACCGATCTATTACAGATCTCTGCTCTGATCAGGTAAAAAGAGATTTGTAGTCCTAAATTTGAAAGGTGAACCTTTCACCGTATTCCGATCACATATGTCAGGTCCTTACAAATTCCTTGTAGAGAAGGTAACAACAGGCGTGTCACCTGATGATAGGATCTGATGATCACCGCCACTTGAACAAGAACATGCCCAACACCCGAGCGATAGAAGCATCCATCCTCTGAAACGGTACCTCAATCGCTGGAGAATGGCAGAAGAAACAATACTTCCACATTACTCCAGTCTCAATCATGGAAGAAATCAAGCTAACCAACGGAAAAACAGAACCGTCTACGCATCTACGAACTTCGTACTGTTTTTATTAAATCTTTTAATTCCTAGTAACACATGCAAATGTATAAAGAATTACCTTGCTCTACCACAACAAATATTATAGAGATAGAAATACTGAACTAAAACAATTCTTTTAATTTTATATATACCTAGTGCTAATCTCTGCACTTAAGATGAAACATTAAAATTTTATGACTAACAATAGATGCGTCAAGCATCGCATGAAATGCGAAATAATAATGGAGAGACGTTGATATTTCCGTCGGTGTGGCAATCAGCCGTTTGGCTTAGTGGTTAAAGCGTTTGAGCTCGAATCCAGATGACGTGGGTTCGATTCCCACAGCGCAGCGGTGAGAAACTTTTCGTCATTTAGTGTGCAAATTGTAATATAACATTTCTGACATAAGTAGATAGTTTTCGAACTCTTTTAGGTAGGTACAAGCATTTGGTGTCACGGCTGTCGCCCGAATAAGTTAGCGACAGCCCCAGATAAACGATATCGGCTAAAAGCTGGTCGAAAGCCGCGCTTTTCGCGTTATCTCGAGTGCTCGTGTACAGAGTACATAAAGCTGTAGCTAATGAAAACTAGTGATTGGGCGCACAGTCTAGTCCACGATAGAGGTGACTCCTATATACGTGTTAAGAGATCGGCCTAACAAACTTTCAATTTGATTTTCAATCGACTTCAAAAAAGGCGGTTCTCAATACGACTGTATTTTTTTTATGTTTGTTACATCAGCACTTTCGACCGTGTGGTCCCATATTAATTTCATTGGTATTGGATCTTTGGCTCCGGAGATCCAAAGGGAACTCCTGAAAATCAATTATATATAATGAATACAGAGCGAGATATTTGAAGTCGATTTTGTTTTTCTTTAATAAAAAAATTAAATTGTTAAAACAAATTATTTTTATGTAAAAGTTTGCAAGTGAGCTGAGGCGGTTTCTCTGATGTTAAGTGACTACCGCTACCCATTGGCATCTTCAACACCTAAATGGTGGCGGACGACGGATGTGTCTTCAGTGAAACCGTGGTACTTCCCGGGACGAGCGTATCCATGGCGCAGTTGCCAAGGCATTGGCTTCGGTGCCGGGGTTCGTGGGTTCGATTCCCGAACGGGAGAAGTATTTGTGTGATCCACAGATAATTGTTTCCGATCTTGGTTTTCGTCCACGTGAAATTTATGTTTGTAAAACGTCGATAATGTCATCCTACAGTAAAGGTAACAAAATATATATATATATATATATATAATACATTGCACCCGTGTTAAGCTGGGGCCGGTCGCAAGTAAATAATAATATGTTTAAGAATTGAAACCAGCGTAATCTCTGAACAGCGCTGCTCTACAATCAATTCAGGTTTATCAGTATCGTTCGCCCACAGACAGTACGTTGAAAGCACGGGCGTAGCTCGGAACATACAGGTTGCAGAAGTAAGTACCTTTAAATTCAGCGCATTTCATTTTGCAAACCCGTGTATTTTGTATCGATTTTACAAGTTTTATTTCATTTTTTTCCTTTAAAACAACTAACTCAAATAGCCATATCACAGCATATCTCCAGGATATTGCATCTTCCGTTTTGACATTCACAAATTGTATTAAAATCTTTATATATATAATTCTACTGTACGTGTGTATGTCATTGAACTCTTTCTAACCTGGAGCGATTTTAATGAAATGTTTTGTGTGTCTCCAGGTCGAATCGAGAATGGTTTACATTTTTTTTTTTTTATTTTTTTGAGTTATCGGTTTTAAATCATGTGTACAGGACAACTTCTGCCTGGTGCGTTAGTATTTTTATATATTGCAAAACTCCTATTATAATCTACCAACTGTAAAAGCTTATCCGAGGCGTACCAACATACAAGGTTTGCGCGTTACGACTTATTAGAACAAAACAAGATTAAGAAATAAAAGTCAATAGTCCATCCACATCTCGCTAAAATATTTCTCAATTAAAATACTGTGTGTATGAGTACATCGATGAAAAATTTAATTTTCTTTACGTTAATATGATCTACGAGTATATTAGTATCTTACCATCAGGTGGGATGGCAGTCACGTGCTGGTCAGTTCGAAATAAAAAAAAAAAAAAAAAACATGATAAGATTTTTCATTTGTTCGCCTACTGTCGGTAAGTTTTTAACGTACTTGATCGTAATCTGGAAACCAACGAAATTCTACATTACCCTGGTAATATTTTATTCAAATAAAATATTTTTTATAATCAGTGGTAGGTAAGGCTAAACAGTGGTAAGGCCACGCAACAACTTTATTAAAACGCATCTGCAACCCTACGGGTGTTGCAAATGTTTATTGGTGGTAGTTATCACTTAACATCAGGTGAATTGCATGCCAAACACAGTGAAACCTTGTTAACTGGGTGCCGGATACATGAGAAACCTGTGTTAGTCATATTTACAATGTAAAATATATTATTCGAATTATAAAAATTTTAAACTTTTACACAAAGTAGATAATATAGCCAGAAGCTATACTTAAGCCGTCTCTAAATATTCACCCATTAAGTAAAAATCTATGGAAAATGACTGTTGGCTGTACATATCGACTTTACCAATTATATAAATGAATAAAACAGTATCCTGAAAATAAGCTGAACGTTTAGATAGATTCAGTTTTCATTTGATTCATTCTTCATAATCCAGAATTATTTTCATAGTAGACGTAACCGACTCAAATCAATTCCCGTACTCATACCTACGTTCCAAGTGCCTACATTGAAGCACACTGGCAAGCAATGTACATAGAACTTGTACATAGACCATGTAAATAGACTACGGATCAATACTCGGCATGTTTCCGACTCGCTCTGACACATAGCGCCTTCCCTTTCACGCCAATAAAGCCTTGTTCAAACTTGAATGTTTAGAAAGCACAGCCAGCCCTTTGTTCTACGTCCCAAAATTATCTTTGATTTTTCATTTCCATTAATTTTTTCTTACAACCATTGGGTTATAAGAAAAAGATAATTAAGAAGAAGAAAGAAAGAGAGAAAGAAGAAAGAAATCAAAGAGACAGTTTTGCGTACTAAACAATTTAGTTTATTTAATTACCTGCCACTGAGTTGGCAATATGTATATATTTAGTTTTCAGGAAAATATATCTATTTTAAGAGGTTCACATAGCCGAATAATTTGAACAGACACTATACATAAATACTTTTATACAAAAAACAACCAATATTACAATGCATGAAAATAACACAAATTATTTCGTTTCTGTTTTCAAATCTTCGCTTAACGTCAAATGAAACCATCATCGTAAAAGCGTCATGAACCAAGCGCGAGTTGAAGCCCGGTTTCACGTTTACCGATTAAGATTATTTTCAATAACTTGTACGAAGCATAAAAGATTATTTATCTGAAGTAAACGCTAAAGTTTTTCAACCTATCGCGGACTTGTTATGCTCGACCCCAACTGAAAAGTACCGGCAAGCTCGTGAGTGTTATCTGTAACGGAATGAATTTTTGATGTTTTCACCATTTGTAAAAGAATGTTGAAAGAGTAAAGGACTCCGCTGCTCCGTGGACGTATAGAGGCGTTAGAGCAATGGAGACGTACGGACGAGCACTGATTGATTTGTTGGATAGTTACATTCCTCTTTCTGGTCGTTCTCATCATGTCTGATGATCGGGGTTTGCGGTCATTCTAGCACGAATGAGATCTCTCCATCGATTCCGCTCCATCGCGGTCCTGACCACATCGCAGAAATTCGGAGACGGTTCTGTCCTTGGGCTGGTCCGTCCATCGTGCTGGAGATCGGCCACGTGATCTTTTGCCTTCAGTGTTTCCAACAACGATCATCCTTTCCAAGCTTTCGTCTCCTCTCCTCATTATGTGGCCAAAGTCACTTGCGAACCGTTGCTCGCAGATTGTGGACAGTCGCGTTGATACCGCAAAAGTTATATATATTCATTCAAAACGGTAATCACCTGACTTCAGGCTATCCGTCTGCTCGATTGCCATATAAAAAAAGCCTCAAACAAAAGCTGCGATACTAAATAACCGCGTTATATAACGACGCAACTTTAATTATACTGGTGGCAGTGGTCGAAATTGGACCATAATTAATTTAAATTATAAGTTTGAACAATATTAATTTATTCTCAATTTGATCTAAAGTCTGTGACAATAGACAAAAGAGTGTGTGTGTGTCAAATACATGGTAGTGGGTCCAATTTTTTTTATTGATATAATGTATTTTTATGCATAATTAAAAAAAAATATTAGCATTATGCACTCCTTCTCTATATAAACTATAGGTATGCGAAATTTCACACTCTTTTGACCGCGCAATTTTCGTAAAAAAAAAAAGGCTACAAAGTTTTTGCTTCACGTATTAATATGAACCACTTTTTAAATCGGCTGTACATTTTTTTATTTTCAATGTACGGTCACAATAGCATTCCGTGTGCCCCAGTTGGCGCTTTGTCTTATCAGACTAACATTATAGAAAGAAATCGGCACAAAGTATACTCTGGTTGTCATCGAGGGTACATTTGAAAAAAAGATTAATAGAAAATGTTATTTACATCTAGTTTTCATCGTCTGTTTTTCTATTTTCATATAGCGACTTGTTTACCATTTCCTATGCTTTGGAACTTAATACATGAGGGTAACATTTTACTATATCTGCCTATACGGTTTTATCTAAAGGTCGCTAATTTAGTATTAGTATTATATTTTATTCATACATTTCATTTGACGACCCGAATGGCGTAGTGAATAGTGTACCTGCCTCCTGCGCCAGAGGGTGTGGGTTCGATCATTACTCGAAAAATATTTTGTGATGAGCATAGTGTTTTTATAGTGTCTGGGTGTATATAAATGTATGATATGTATTTATTCACAAAAGAAAAGTATGTTTAAGTATGTTTATCAGTTATCTAGTACCCATAGTGCAAGCGTTGCATAGTTTGAGACTAGAGAACGTTTCGTAAAAATGTGTCCTAAATATTTATTTACTTGCTTAAAATAATATTCAACATAGATTAAATAGAAATTGATGCGATATAAGTTTAAAAAGATTTATAGGAAAACTTATTGATGAGGTAATCCCCCTAGTTAATCTAGTTTTTTATGGGAAACAGATTTTATCGAATTTATGGGATTTTTATTGGAAACAGAGGGCCATCCCAAAAACTTGTGCAACATCTTGGGTGCTTATTACGCCTATTGATATTATTTGTATAAGCCGATCTGTGGTTTGTTAATTTTACCTGCCTAAATATATAAATCAATAAGTTAACGTCAGCTTACATGCTACTATTCGATGATATTATATATATATTATATTCAAATACGAGGCAGATTTGACACTAGCGCACCAAAATCACGCCAATTAGTGTAATTAAATTGCATATTTTCGAAATAATAACAAAAAATGTATTTCGAAAATATGTGAAGTCCGCCAATCCGCAGTGGGGCCGCGTGGTGGACTATGCCCTGATACCCTCTGTATAGAGGAGGCCTTTGCCCAGCAGTAGGACATGTATAGGCTGTTACTTTATCTTTTTTTATATTATTTATGCAATATTAGGGTAGATATTAGCACATTGGATTTTAATTAAATGAAGTTCTAAAATATAAGCTTGATATCGTTGTGTGGCGACAGCTCTAACGGAATAATTTATTAAAATACAGATAGAAACACAGAATGCTTCTAAAGTGATAATTGACGTTAATTGTCATTAAAAACTTAATACCTAAAGACATCGAAAACATGGGCGGGGAAAAGTAGCCTTGTACTCGAGTTTATATACGAAATTATGAAAACAAATAATTCTTGCATTCAGCAATTTAGTGTGTGAGTGATAGTGACGACAAATGTTGGAGACAGAGAGACTTACATTAAAATATAATAAGTTATCTCATTTCATATGTATTTATTGTTTTTATATTTTAATGGATATGTTTATAATTTAATAGTTATATATTATAACTATTTAATAGTTAGTTTAAATTCTGATCGCAGAATATAACATGCCTAATCTTACAAATTAGCCATGAAGGATCAGCACCATTTAAACGCTTCATTATCACCATCATTGCAGTGAATTAAATAATCACGACCAGCCCCTAAATCATTTAGTCCTACCTAACGAACAGAGGTTATACACACTTAACCGAGCTAACATATATCCCAGCGTGACTGGTAGCCTTGTCACCAGATACAAATGTAAAATATGATTTCAGCACCTAAAAGTCTCAAAGATGCATGCCACTGGGATTCGAACCTACTAACCGAACCTAATAACCCCTAAATTACTACCAACTATTAAATTTCACAAGCTAATAATTATCAATAAGTAATTTAGTTTATAATCGCGAAAATTGATAAGCTAAATGAGAAATGATAGAGATAAATATAAATTAGTAATTAGCATATCTGATAACAGAATCATTGTCATCGTCATCAGGTTCAGATTGTTTGAGTCCACTGCAGAATACAAATCTCCCTTCATCCATATTTCGTGAACTGAAATGAAATAATACTGTCCAGAAAGATTTCAATTTCCCTGAGCAATGTTTGAAAATTTTATTAATTTTATAAAACGAACGAAAAATGTAACGCCGTTTTAAACTGCGTCCTTCGGTATACGCGCCCGACGCTATAGCAAAAGAGCTAAACGGCTTACGTTCACAACAACGAATTTCTTATTCTTATATGATTTTTATAATCTATGAGATAGTCTAGCAAAAGAACAAAAAAGACGTCGAGTAACATTTTTTAAGGAAAGATAAAACAAAGAAAGACGTGGAGTAACAAAGACTTTTTTTTCCAATCTTATCCCATCGCTGGACAGATGAGAGCAAGAAGCGTGCTCACCCTAGTGGGCGTGTCCTTGATGGCGTTGGCCGTTTGCCACCCCGACGACGAATCCGAGGGCGGGCTGGAGGGGCAGCCAATGGGGCTGGGGGGCGCGGGGGAGGGAAAGAGAAGGCAGCAGACCCCCGAGGTGGTGCTCCAGTTGAAATACGACGGGGGGGAGCTGGACAGGATATACTTGGCGCAGTTCAGGCAGGGCGCGAAGTGGGCGCCCTCAGTGCCCGCTCGGCGCGACCTCTGCGCGGACCTCTGCCACGCAGGTCTCTTTTGCCACTCTTTTGTTTTTTTTTTCTTGCGCGTTTTGCCAGTCGCCATGTCGAGTCGGTGCAGCGTTTCCCTTGGGCCTCCGAAGTGATAGAGCATGCCGTAAAATCGGTACGGTGAGTGAATTTTCATTTAAATGTTTTTAATAATTGTATTTATTGTATTTACGTTTTTTTTATATTTATATGTACGATTTTATTTCACTAAGTGTATGTACAGTCCCCACGTTTGGTTGCAAAAATATCAAATTTTATGCAATATAGCTGTCGTGACGATATAAAAATCAGTATAACAATATAATAATAATAATATATATAAATAAATAAATATGTCATTATGCATTTCATAGTTCTCAATATTAAACTCCTAATGGATTCAAGAAAAATTTTGTGTAGTCGAAAATATTTTTCTACAATATCGTTCTTCCGTTGTTCGTAATGGATCTTTACGTCTAAAACTAAAAAAATACTATTTTTCAGTATTTATAATTCGACGGGTGTGTCATAATATATGTGATATTAGTTTTAATTTTTGTTAGAAACTCTAAACAGTTTCAACATCAACTATTTAAAATTAAATGAATTTAATGCAACAATTATGTGAGATTTTTTTTAAAAACCCGCTCCAGATGTTGCAAAAGTTAATAACTATGAATACAAAATAAAAATAGACAATGAAAAACATTTTACAGTTTCTTATTCTTATATGTATAAATCTAACATGAAAATTGTCATGAAATTGATGTGAAAAAAAAAAACTATAATTTTCGAATTGTGCCTACAAAATCGTTCCGAACAATAAAATCAATTTTCACTATGAAACGCTTAATGAATTGGACGGCAGAACGTATATTGCATCATACAATTCATACTTTTCGCTGCATGATGATATTTGCTTATAAAAATACCTTTGAGGTTTTATTGCACAAGGCTATATATATAGCTATTATATTAAAATGTTTTTTGTACGTTTGTTCGTCGTAAAAGGATGTTTTCTGTTTTAATTAGAAATGTTTACAAGCGAGCAAGCGTTTCACGTGATGTTAAGTATTCACGCACGGACAACCCTTAAAAAGTAGGCCCCGGACACCTAATTTACTGGACAAAACGCACCACAGACACGGTACCACTTCACGCCGGCCTTCTGCGAGGCCGTGATATTTTCCCGGAGGAACCTGCCCATCCGTTTTTGATTTATTACAGCAGCTAGTCCAAATAATAATAGGAAAAGGGCGTAATTATCACTGGTAACAATAGATATGAAAACAAAGATATAGCCTAATTAACGAGTCGGCGGAAAATATTAAAGTGTGTGGGTCTTTCTTTAAACTGAAAAACCGGCCAAGTGCGAGTCGGGCCCGGGCACGAAGGGTGAATACCATTATCTATAAAAATCATTTCTTTTGTATGGGAGCCCCACATAAATATTTTTTTATCCTGTTTTTAGTACTTGTTGTTATAGCGGCAACAGAAATACATAATCTGTGAAAATTGATAGCCTTGTGATAGCATTAGCCTTGTGACAGACGGACGGACAGACAGACAGACAGCGAAGTCTTAGAAATAGGGCCCCGTTACACCCTTTGGGTACGGAACCCTAAGAAAGGAAGATATTCTGAATTGGTCGGATTTTTTTAAATATATACATTCCGCTATAAATCTGTGAAATTTAAATATATTTAAATATATACATTCCGCTATAAATCTTTAAGACGAATCTCTTAGGACGAAGCAACTATTTGTTTGAGATCTGGTAACGTGAGAATTACTTATAAAAAACCAGTTCCGTACTTTGCCGTCCGTGTTCCGTACTTTGGAGCCGTGTGCTAGAAATTACTCTTATAATATAAACACTTATGTGAATAAAAGTTGTACACATTAATGTAGCAGTTTTTAACTAACGTAACTTGGGCGTAAGGCCTTGGGGGCGCCGCGTGCGGTGCCACGTGCCAGCAGATGCTCCCCGTGGGCCTCCAATCGGCGCTCCAGAGCGGGAACATGTCGGACACCGTGTACGGTGAGCCACGCGTGTACGTGTGCCCGACGCTGTGCGACAACTACCTCGGTAAGCGGTGCACTGTACCTTACTTATCGCGGCCTTAGGTCCCGAGCTTTAGTAGTGCCACGGTTTGACGTTCACAAACGAAACTTCAACGACAACTACCTCCGTAAGCGGTGCACTGTACATTACTTATTACGGCCTTAGGTCCCGGGTTTTGGTAGTCGAACGTTTTGACGTTCACAACCGAAACTAAACTTCACACGTGTAAAGTTATGAGGCGGAGAGATGGGAGAGGATTGACCGTTGGATTTTTACGTTCGTTAAAGTTTGAACTGTAGTAGTCATCACATAAATAAATAGTAGTACCTGGAGGACCGATCTTTGCTCGGTTTGTTTTGTAAGAAAATGTGAACTGGTGTTTTTCACAAAGGAAATAACATTAAAAAAAAAGGGAAAAAAATAACAAAATCATCTGGATCGACAAAAAATAAAGAAAGCAATGATCTGGAATCGAAAAAAAAGTAAAAAAAATAAGTGTGTAAATGATCGTGACACGAACCACGGCCTTGCCGATTGCCGACCGAGCTATTATAACATTATTTTTAGGTGAAATTTACCGTTGTATTCGAATGATATTTTTCATTCCCTGAAAACTGGGATAAAACGACATTTTCTAAAAATGACACCTAGCTAGATTGATTTTTCGCCCACGAATCTAAGCACATACTAAATTTCATGAAAATCGCTGGAGCCGTTTCCGAGATTCCGATTATATATACAAGAATTGCTCGTTTAAAGGTGTAAGATTTCCGAACTTGATTACACACAACGTTTGTTAGTCCCAAACTAAGCAAAGCTTGTGTTTTAGCTGTGTGCTAGCTTACTTATTACAAGCGAAGCTAGCCATGGTCATCTACAACACCGGTAGGGTTGCAGATGCGTTGCCACCTTTTAATAAAGTGGGTCTCACTCACCAGACGAAACGCAAAAGTATTTCTCTACCACTTTACAGTCTTCTGTGAGGCCGTGGTCCTTCTCTGGACGAGTTGCGTGGCCCTAGATAGCTGACAAATATACGTAAACATACTTTTATTTTGTAATTTTTTCAGTGCTTAGCTGTTATACAAACACCCAGACACTAGAAAAAATACTACGTTCATTACTCAACATAAATCCTGTAGTGAACACAGCTTCTAGCGGAAGGAGACAAAATTATAACTATCCGCTGTAGTTTACACTCGCAGCTTGAAAAGTACAAAACTTAATAGCATATTTAAGTAGATGTATATTCAGAATCCAAAGAAGATTTAAACATTCGCTCTTAACAGACGTAACAGGGACTAGAGAATCGATTCAACGAAAACATGGCGGAATTAATGAACATCGTAGTATGGATTTTTCCGTGACATTTCCTCTTTTTCATGAGTGTATGACGGTCCGATACAGGCGAGCCCTTATGCAGTTGCGCTGACAAGGAACAGGAGGCGGGAGTCAGGAAGGACGTGGATTGGAGCGCGATTTGCGATACGTTCTGCGTAACAGACAGATACGTCTTGTCAGGTATATATAAATGAGCACTCAAACCTTCCCGTGCCATAAATATTTCGTTTTTTTTATTTATTATATCACTAATATGCTGACTATTAGATATAGACTATAGATAAAAGATGGTGTGAACGGAAAAAAATATGTTATTTTTTTACACAGTGTCCCCACAGACATTTGTTACGATTTTGCGAAAATTAGGAAATATCCGCTTGCATGCAATGACATTACATGCAAAGATATGACATTACCGCACCGAAATTGAGGCGCTCAAATCACACCAATTAGTGATATTCTAGAGACTGCTACCTCTGCTTCTCTTTTCCCTGCGACTGGTGATATACGTTCTATATCATCTGTGTCATATCATATATGTCATATAACGTAAAGCGGAAAAATTTTTGAACGCCGCGCCGCGCAGTATGGACATACGTCATATTATTAAACACCATTGCTTGCATGCATTTTTATACTCTTATGCACAAAATCACTACATAGTATAAAACAAAGTTGTCCCGCTCTGTCCCTATGTAAGCTTAGATCTTTAAAACAACGCAACGGATCTTTACTAGATACAGGTTTTTACTAGATATAGTGATTCAAGAGGAAGCTTTATAATTGTATAATACATTAAACCCGTACGACGCCGGGGCGGATCGCTAGTATCGATATAAAATAAAAGTATTTTTATTTATTCACCTAATTGCCTTTCTGATATTCAGAGAAATGTCACGTCTAGAAAAACGACGTTTTAACAGGTTGCCCAGCGTGTTCAGACTCAGCTCAGACCTCGGCACCCTCCCAGGTGGGTATGATGAGTGCCCTAAACACCGCCGAAGGCTGGTCGTCGTGGTGCAATGTCCAGTGCCGCCAGGGCCAAGGCGGGGCCGCGTGCAACTGCGACCGCGCCCCCTTCCAATAGACGGACCCTACGCGACCACGGGAGGAAGGTGAACGAACATCCCCAGATCAGAGATACCAGGGACATGCCTTAAGATGATAATAGTTCACTTTAAAATGCCTCCGCAAACGCAACCTTTCAACTGGCAAACATCCACATATTTCGAAACCGCTTTGATTGAAAACCGTATTGACTTTTTCGATGATTGATTGCTAATGACAGATGTGGCATAGCTTTTATTTTTCTTTTGGGCTTTGTTCTTTTGTAAAAAAAAGTAAAAAGTAAAAAAAATTAAAAATGTTTAAATAGAGTAGAAGAATATATTGAACTAATATATTATGCAATTTAGTTTTTCATAAAAATAAATTATTATCGCTTACTAACACTATATTGTTACTGTGGGATCTTTTATAATATAATATTTAACATCTAGAGGTACGTGGCTTAAATTCTTTGTAGTAACTTAAAATTAGTTGTGTTTTAACGTATTCCTTTTTTACTGTTTAATATTCATATTTCTATTATAATGGGATGTGGCAATATTTCCTATTTGTAGATAGATGTTTTATCTAGTCACTTATTAAATATTATTTGCATTTATTTTTCTTTCATTTTGTTTTTTTTATTTATTCCTTTCATACCTACCAGTCAATTAAGATCGACGACCTCGTTTTGGTATCACGTTGATATTGCAACAAGTGTAGAGCAAATTCACTATATGCCAAAAGGTCGTCGGCACACATTTATTTCGACTCCCTAAATTTTTCAATTTAAACGACGTGTTGTTACCGTAGATAGGTTTGGTGTAGCCATGTATATCGATATCGGAATATTATTATTTTTTAATGCTGTACATAAATATTTAAAATTCAGATTTTTACTACTCTAATTAACACTAAGAATTAAGTATAAATAAAACTTTAGAGTAATTTATGAATCAAACTACTTTACACAAAATTATATTACCTCTATACTATTATTATAAAAAAAACTGTTTCTTCTTATATTTTTGTAATCTACTACTTTCGTCTGTAATTGCAAGAAAAAAAAACATAAAATACTCACCATCAAAAACAATTTCCAGTGTTATCCAGCAGCGACATGACTTTATATTAGAAAATAATTAATATTCTAAATAGATTACTTTAAATAAATTTGAAGAGAGTAAACGTACAAACTAAAAATATCCACAAAGAGCACGTCTATCTATGATAGTGATGTAACAAGGACTCATCTAATGTAACCAATTAATTACTATTGTCACTTACGGCTCTGACTGTAATCGGAAACAGTCATGTCATGCCTTACTTCTCTAACCACTCGGTATGTTAAAATTAACAAAACATGATTCGATGATATTTTATAACCTATTGACTTTAGGGTTTCATTTTGTTTTTTTCCTTTTATTTGTCATTTTCATTTTGTATGAAGTTAAGAACTAAAATAACATATAAGATCTTCTTAAGTGTATGGATTACTGAAGTTGTTATAGAAACGTTTATAAAATAAAAGATTATAATATATCATATAGCGTTAAGGTATTTATTACAAATATAAAAACAGTAGTTTGTATATTTAGTCTGGTGCGAAAGGGCCGAATGAATGCAGAGTTTGTGATATTACTATTACTTTGAGGATTTTTTAAATTTTTCATACATCGTTTATTTTGGTCAGGCATAAAGTGTTTTGGTTTTATTTTTAAAAACCTTATATAACATAAAACATATATAACATCAAAGTTCCAAAAAAAATGAACGTTGGATGAGAAAATTATTAAATGGAATGAAATAACGAAACGTTTACTTATTTCTAAACTACTAAACTTTTTTTTATTTGAACTAAAAAAAAAAATTACGCTGTTATCCCTAAGGTAATTTTCTCTTATAATCATTAAAAATGGATCATATAATCATAAATAAATGTTTAATTTTTAAAAAAAGTTAATTAAATTTTTCTATCACCCCAATAAAATAATTTATATAATCATTTTATAAAAATTCAAATAAAATAATAATTCACGAAAGTCTTCCAATAGTTTAAGGACAGTGTAAATGGTTTGTATATATAAGTATATGAACAAATTCAATGTTAATTGGTGTAATTAAGCAAATTGTTAAGATAAGTAAAGATTATTCGGAATGAATAAAAAAGCTGAGGCTCAATGCCTATCGTAGACATTTTAAAATGTGTATGCAAACAATTATATAGCATATCAGTTCTATAATATTATAATATAGAACCTTAGATTATAATTATCACAACATAATTTTCAAAAATGCCTAAGAAATAGATATTACGTAAGTAATGATAAAATTCTATTGCCACTACTTTTTCCTTTTCATTTTTCAACACATCTCTTCAATGAGTTTTGATGTTTGTATTAAATACAAGAATATTTGCATTTTATCTAGCTTTGTGTTTTAAAACCACTTTTATAATTTTTGACAAACACATACTTTTACATCTTTTAACGCACAACGTGTAAAAATCATTATAGTTAATTATTATAATAATACCGTAACGTAATATTGGTTATAATTAATAACAAAGCTAAATTTCATTACAACTTAAATCGAAGATTAACTGTTGTTCTTAACATATCGATTTTAATAATTCTTTATACAAAATGCCCAATTTTGTGGTATAATTAAAATTACTATAATATATAAACTTCACTCAAAACTAAGTACTTCATATTTTTTTCTACCATAGTTAGTAGTGTTAATGAAAATAATTTTAAAGGCAATTACCACAGTAAGCTACCACTGGTAACAGCAAAAAGTTGAAGAAATAATAAAATATTATAAATAGTGAAAATAGCATGTCTCGCGGAGCGTAAGCGATATATTTTTTTTGTGCCGTACAGAGTAAGAAAACCAAGACACAGAACATAACATTTATTAATTTCATATATAGCATTTATTAATGTGAAATAGGTGACATGTATAAGTGAAATGTTAAATTTTCATTGTATCGTCAAGATCATATCATAGTTTATCCCAATATTGCTCAGTATAAAACGTTCTTCTTGATTCTTCATAAATTATTACTGTCTCATAGGTGTAATAAAAGCTTTTATTACATAAATTTTCTTAACGTCTCCATTATGGATATGTATGTTTTTAATTTAAAAAAAAAACAAGGTAGGTAAAGTTGAAACTAACTTAGTATAATCTTTTTAGCTCTTTTCGGCTACGATTTGAAATATATACATTACATTTAAAATACTTCATCAATTAAAATTAATATATATTATATAAGTAGGGAGATGTTTTTAATTACCAATGGGAAAATATTGTACCACTTGTATAATTTGTAAATCTCTATTGGTACATGGGCGCAAGGGTTTGAAGTTAAATAAGCAATCTCCATTGTCTCAATCTCAAAAATAAGAGATTTAAGAATTCTCATGGATTTTTTTAAAAAAAGAAAAAGAACTTTACTTGTCTAATCTTAGCGGACTTTGTATCTAACTTAGAGACATGTAATTCTTAAGTTAGATACAGAATAATACATGACGTGGATTTGAATAGATTAGAGATTCAATAATAGTAAAAATAATGTCATTAACGGTAATACTAACCTTGCGCCCTGTATCAGAAAAGTAAGGTAAAGTTTAACCTCAGCCCTCAGCTTGCTTGCGAAACATTTTAAATCATCCAATTTAAATCTTAAAAAAAAACATTTATATTTAAGAAAAACTGCTGTGCAGACAATAATAAACGTAGCTAACAGTAGTGTTATAGGTTTAAAATTAGTTAACAACTTAATAAACTTCTATCTGTTGAAGTATTTAAGCAAATTTTGTCGTTACTAACAATTCTATAAGTTAGAGAATATATCAGTACAAGGCAATTCTCAAAACTCTAGGCACAGCAAAATACGTGTATAAAAGTGGAGAACTTTCGTAACATTAGATTAAAACATGTAGAAATAAGGCGTTAAAATTTGTAACATTAGATGTTCAATAAATATCAGTGTTTAAATAAATTATCTAGTATATTATAAGTAATTCTAAGTATATAATTCTACTTAACAAAAGCACCGCAATGTGAAGATGTATTGATTACGGGTTGGTTGAGAATGGTGGTAGATGTTTTTGGTCACTCTAACCAACGCGGCGAGTCGTTCAGTCATGGTCTTCCGCGTTCAGGAAACCTTTAATGTTCTACAGATACAAGGCAAAAACATCTACAATTATTGCTTAATGCAGCCTAACAAAAAAACGCAGGACATTGGGCAAAACAAGTACGTCAACCAAAAACCGCCGAATCAAGTGACAAGTTTTTCGACGAGTTAATTTTAGGTGCAACTAACAGTAAAGATAAAATTAAAGCACATGTACCACAAGAAGTTGTTATTTATGACATTTCAAATTACCTACTTAAATATAATTCATTATATAATATGTATATGTTTGGCCTTCATTTTCGTATCTTAGCCTGAAATATTTATGGCATAATCAGTAGTCTATTAACATTAACATAAATTACATTTTAGTTTTTAGATATGACTAATGTTTGTAGTATTAGAAAGTCTACGTGTTTTAGCAATGCATATTATTATTGTAAATATATAACTGTAATACTAATTGTATCCAGATATTATATATGTATGTGAGTATTATATTTATAATATTTAATAAATAGCAAGCTTTCAATGGTACCTTTATTGATGTCGCCTGTGATAAAATTTATTCAATGTCTTCTTGATGCGCATAAAAAACTCGCTTTGTCTGTTGTATTATCATTATCGTGTCTACTGTTTAAATGTAATAAAGTTCTTTCCATGAGTATATTTTTATTTCATCCATGACCAATATAGTTTTAATAATTTTCAACTACATTTATATGATCTTTCGTCCATTACGTCTAGTATGTCTAAATAATATAATATATAACTATACAACCATATTTTTTAAAGTATCAAGATTTTCTGGCAAGTATTCATCAACATCAGTCGCATGACATGATCTGTTGAAATACTTTCCCATTAGAACGCCACCACCCACCACGAAC